TAATGATTGCAATTACTAAAAAATCCTTCTAGATATAGATTCGATATAAATATATATAATTTACATAGATATAAAAAAATCCAGTTCTTTTCATTATAAAATTTTTTTGAAGGGCATGATGGTGTCTAACTATCTTTTGCTGACTTTAGGACTAAATAAATGTCTGTGTATATTAATAGTAGTTTAGGTACTGAATTGCCTTGTGGAGTTTTCTTTATTATATCTTGTTGTGGTGGTGTTAATGGTTTTCCTATCTGTTAATTGTTTTTTGGAAGAGAAAGATTTCTTATCAATATCAAAGAAAGGAGTAAAGGGCTCTGATAACATTTTTCTATGTTTAGGTGATATGATTCTAGGTAGCATAAGATAGTACCTTTTTTAAAGCAAAGCGTGGCTGAAAAGACTTGAATAATCTTTTTCAAACACTGTTTTATACAATTCAATTGAGGTCTAAGGGATTTAAGAACTGGTTTTCTAAGACTTTTTATCACTTAATAACCTTTCCAATCTTTCATGATGGAATTTCTTTTCAACAGATTATGAGTTTTTTTTGTCATATTATTATATAGTTTCAACTGGTAATAAATATAGTTCGCACTGAGATGATTTTGAGATAGCTCTGTATTCTCTAGGTATGGATTGCTAAACTTCTTCATGTCCAAAGACACAACCTATTTAAAGTAAAGTAATTGAGACTGTTTTATTCTTAGGAAAAACTTTGAGTAATTCAATTTCTCCTTGTTTAATAAAATAGATGTATTCTGGAATCGAATTCTCCATGTAAATCACACTAAACATAGAAGGTTTTTAAACAATAATATTCTCCAAAATACCTCTTAGTCTTTTATCGGATAATTTGCTAAAGAGTTCAAAATTCCTGAGCAGAGAAATCTTTTCATTTTTAACCTGATCATGATATTATTATAAAATGGCTTGAAAGTCTGGATTGGCTAAAGTTATCATTAATGTATCCTGAGTGCACAAGACAGTTGCTGTTCTAGTCACATTACCAATAAGAGCGATTTCTCCAAATTAGTCTCCGCTACAACACATATTAACTATGTGTAAACTTGGGAAGAGTCTTTTCACCAGATTATCCAACCATTTATCGACTGATATTTGATTGGGATTATTAGTGTATTCTTCAATTAAGGATTCTTAATCGACTTTTTGAATATCTACAAAAAATCAACTATATAATTGAATAATTACTGATTCCTAAAAAATTGCCATAAGCCTGTGCCATAATAATATCCTTAAGGGCTCTATTATTGAAGGCGGACAATCGAGGACTGTAGATGGCCGATTGCCTCCTCAGTTATTATGGATTAGAATCTATTCCTTTTTTGTACTCTTCGATAACCTATTGGTGAGTAATGCTTTTATCATTTGGACACAAAATTGCAACTTAACCCTGGAGAATTACATAAAACTATTCAACATTATTAGAACCTACCTATCAAAATGATCTTACCATAATGAAATACGACTTCTCCTTTCTTGAATTCTTTTAATTAGATCTTTTTAAGCATTTAACAATATAATGCTGGATCAAATAACTACTATTTTTCTTTGAAGAATTTAATATCTTGAACTCCCTTCGCGATTATGTCAGTAATGTCTTTGCTTCTATTGCGATAACCCAATGCTTGTTTCAAATCACTCAGACTTTTTTTTTAATCCATTATAATATTATAGTTATAATCAACAAACTCTGAAATTCTGACCACCTACCCACTTAGACTTGTTTTCGTCCCTGTGTTTGAAATCTGCCGGATTACTATAGGGATTGTCATACAAAATAAAGGGAGTCCCTCCTTTGATTGTGCTCACAACACTTGTCCTAATGCTTCTAGGTCCAATTATTTATTTGTCCTTTTATCTCTGCTCCAACCTATCTCTCTCTACATTGGTGATATAAGGAGAAGAGCATCTGACTATTGGATGTTCTCTGCATAAATCATAGTCCTCCTTAGTGGTAGTGCCCTTTGAAACTCTAGACTTTGCAGTTTGAACCCTCGTCAATTTAAAGGTTCGACTTTAAGTTGTAGATTAAGGCCTTTATCTGATTCTCTGTCCAGTACTAGCCAACATTGAAGTATTCATAGTTCCAGGCACCTATAATTATTGAATAACGAATACATACCCACAGAGGCTCATTCTCAGGCAATAATTATTCATCTATGTTTGGATGCAACATCTATCTAATTTCAGCAGCTGTTTTATTGAACTTCTCAGTTGTATCCCTATGTTCATGATTCAATTTGGTTGAGAACTTAGCAAATTTAGACTTTTCTAAGTCAGTCTCCTCTGTTGATTGCTTAGTCCTTGGAGACTACTTCTATCTCATTGTTTTCATAGCCTCTTACAATTATCCTTGATCATTTATAGCATTATTCATAACAATCTCCAATTTCTTTGCCTTTTTACCTGTAAATCCAACATGCTTAAATTTAGTTAACACTTCAAAGTTAAATGCTGTCCTCTCACCCTTTTATTAGCTTTCTGCTTATTATTTAGTCATGTTCTCTAAATCTAATTTGTTCTTTCTTAAATCATTATTAGCCTATTAGATTGATAAGGGCACATTGGTGCAAGATCGTATTTAAATTAAATAATGGATAATGAAGTTTCTAAGAATTAATTGTGTTTCTGGATATTTTGGATTGATATCGAATTATAAACCAACAATGTTCTCATTCACTGTAATAACTTGAGGTCCTTTTGATGAATCTGCTAAAACAACAAATGTCTTCTTTGGATTTAATACATTGAATGGATGTATATCCCATGCATGTTTAGAATGAACTAAGAATTCTTGCATTACGTCTTTAAATAAGTAATTTTAAACGAAGTTCTTTTTTATCATGCATATTTCCTCATCTTATGTAGATGTATAAAGTCCATAAATTTCCTTTATTTTTTAGGGCTTATAAACTGGAGCCTGCAACATGTACTTTCCAACTGTATTGAACTCTTCAACAGCTCTTCTAGAGTGTATACCACAATTCGCTATAGGAATCCAACAATTTGCTGATTCTATCTTATCAAAGTAGATCCCGTAGAGATCACCTGTTATGCTGTCCAAAAAATATTCATGCTTTGTCATTTAATCAAGTGACTTTGAAAGCTTGCTCATATCACCAAGAGGACCACCCTATGGACCATTTACCACCTCAACTGGCTAACAATATAAAACTTATTCTTACAGTTTCTAAGTTTGTGGCCACAAAAAAAACCAATGCTTGCATGGCTCCAGCTGTAGCTAATAAAACTTTGTTAGTTCTTAAGCACATTCTAATCAACACCATAACCTAATATGCCATTCAGACATTTACTTTTTTTAAATGCTTCGACCATGGTCTAAGGTTGGCATCTATTTCTATAAATACAAAATCTATAAAATTAAATTAGTTTGCTGCTTCTTATTTAGAATAACCAGAGTCTTAATCGTAAAGGAATTCATCCAAATCATTTGCATCTCTAGAAAAAAATTCTGTCTCTGTGTCCAATAATTCCTTCTAATTCAAGAATAACTATATGATATTTATGATGCTTACTTTTCGTATTTATCCACAATATCTTTCAAATTATTGTTTACCAGTTTCTGATTTTCCATATCCATTTACAATTAATATTCTCATTATAAAAATAATCAAATTAACAATTTATTAATCACTTTCATCCAATTTTAGATGAGATTCAAGATAAATATAAGAACTTAATAAAATAGCAATATTAAATTATGTTATTCATCTGTTCCTTTTACTATTTTCGCTTTGATGACTTTGAGGTTTGTTACTGCTCTTATTTTAACTCATTTTGACTTCAAATTTTAGCTTCTCTATTTGATCTTTTAATTACTGCCTTTCTTTTGAAAGTTTGATAATATCATCCTTCAGCTCACTGATTTCTTTATCTTTTTCTTTCAATTAATTTTGTAACAAAGACTTTTCCTATTTAAGATATCCTTAGAACTGTTGCTCTTTCAACAAGTTTTGTTAAAGATCTTCCTTTTATATCAATAGTTCTAAAGATCTATCAATATTATAATTATACCTGTAAATTTTTTCTCCATATTCATGATTTCCTTATTCTATCTTTCAAGCATTATTTGGAATTTAGTGTTTTCAGCACTCAACTTCTTTACTTTATCTTAAGTTGGTTTGTCATTATCATTTTCAAATTGCTACTTTTAATTGTACTCCTATTTCAACTTCTCTTGAAATTATTTCAAATCCTATGCACATTCTAATTTTGTAGTATAAATTTGGCTATCCTTTTCAAATTATAGCTTTTTTATCTTTTCTTCTAGCTCTTTCATTCTTTTATCTTTATCAAAATGAGATGGTTCTAAAGATTGACTTTTTGATATCTTATCATTAGAATTACTAAATTTATAATTAGATGATTATTATGTATAATGGTTTGTTTTATTTAATTTTTGTAGTTGAATTATTGTTTTTTTTGCATCATCTAGTTCTAACTAGAGTTAAAATATTTGTTCATTTTATTTAGTTTAATTTTAATCAGAATACTTTTCAACAAAATTACTTTTTTTAATTGAATTATTCTATGAATCAGATCTCAATTTGTTGTTCTCTGAGTTTTTTATTATAGATTACAAGTGCTAATTCTCGAAAATGAGTTTATCTAATTTACCTTAAAGGTTTTAATTTTTCTACTTTGTTTCTTGGACTTCATTAGTTAATATTTAAATTTCTTAGCTTCTTTTTGCTGCTAAAATCCCAAGGGCAGCATCAGATGATAATTTGCTATCATTTTTTAACGTTTTTTTTTATGTTAATATCTCGTTTTCTGATTTTAGGTCTTCAACATTTTGTTTAAGGTTTTGATTTTCTTTTTATAATTAAACTATATCCTTAACCTTAGTTTCTAATTTTTAAATGGTTTTAACAAGAATTTGATTTTCAACAATCAGGTTTTCAATCTGTGAATCTTTTTAATTTTAGGTCCTATCGAAAGAATTTAATGATTATTTAGCTTTACTACTTGTATTTGTCTTATCACTTGTTTGATTTGCTTAATTATATTCTTTTTCTGTTCTTTGAATGGCATTCTGTAATTCATTAATTTTTTCTTTGAGTAATTTTTAATTGAAAGGAGACTTGAATTTATCTGAAACACCCTATGAATAATAATTGTGACTTGGATTTGATTAACTCATTCAAACAAATTTTGAAATATAATTATTACGTTTATTTTGTTTGAATTTAATTTTACAACACTAAATTAAAGACAATGTTGATAAATTTATTTTATATATGATATGTAAAATCTACGTTTATCATTACTATTATTATTATTATTTCTATAACATTTGTGGAGGAATGTTGCCCATCATACCACCTGGGGGTTATGCAAATGCTGTTTTTCCCAATAATTAGACAACTCCAGTTTCAATTGACTTTAGTAATTCCATCATATCTGGATCTTAGAATAATTCTAAAATAGTGAGAATATTGTACATGGATTTTCAAGATTTGAAATATAGTCTTCTTCTTCATAGCTATGTTCTTCAAATATCATATCTCCCATAACTAAATTTAAAACCATTGGAACCAATTATCCAGATTCATAAGTTGTAGGCAATTTGTCAATCATATTCTTCAAGAAATCTTGTTTCTCGTTTAATAATTTGATTTGATATCTGATGATTTCTTTAGTTGCATTCATCTGAACCTACTTCTATTTTGGTAGTTTGTCCTTGATTCTTTATCTGGCTGAAGCTTGTAACATGAACACATGTTATCCAAGTCCTCTTTCCATTAACAACATTTCGCTTTGTTCAAGTGTTTATTGTGAGATATCGATTTTCTTGCAGATTTCTTCTTATGCCTTCATCAAAAGATTTTCAATGTCATTAACATAATCCAATAATAATTGAACATATTTAGCTCCATCAGAATAAAGCACGTCTCTTCTTGCCTTTCTGTTTTCCAAAGTAATTCTAATAAATTCAGGTTCAGCCAATTCAACACTGCCTTCAACTATTTAAGTGTATGTCTTAATGCTAATCATGTTATTGGTATTTGGAATGTGCATAGTTTAAATTTAAGAAGCAATTTCATTTAATTTGTCACTCTTGAATGTGTAATTGGCTTATGATTAGAATAAAATATGATACATTTGTCGTTTCCTTCATTTTTTGGTTGCACATCTAAGACTTTGGTAGCTTCTTAGGTTTCTTTAGGTTTGAAGACTTCTAATTCAGCTAATTTTTAATCAAGCCATTCATTGGTTTCTTTGATTTTGTCAGTCACTGACAAGTTATTACCCACCCAAGGTAATACAATACTGTTCACCTATCCTTTAATGAGTGATGGATTAAGCAATAATTCATCCTTATCATTTTTAAAGGCATATTGAGTGAGTGATTTTAAAACAATAGGTTCTAGTTTCTTATCTTTAACCTTTTAGACCAAATCCTTAGCATCGTATTATCTCAAATTTTTGATGTTTATTAAGAAGACTCTTTATAATGAATCTTTGAGGGTGTATAATCTCTCAAATAGTTAATCAAAATGTTTCATTAGGTTATGTTCTGTCTGCTCAACCACTTCCCAGTTGACCCTACAAGATGAAGACAAGAATACATTTTTTCATCACCCAAAGAGGCCAACACTGTCTCGATATTAGCTGCCAAATCTTCAACTGTAATGGACATTCAACCACAAATTAATTAAATTTAATTTATATTTCCCCAACCTTTTATTTTTATATTTCACGAAATATCACACTATATCTTAATAACATCAACATCATCTATTTCCAATTTTCTGCCTTCAACTAATTATTAAATATATTTTTATAATCATGAATCTCAGATTTTATTAGCATTCTCTAAATTCGCTCTTAAAAAATAATCTGCAATTACTATTCATAATTTTCCATTCATATCTCAACATTGTATTTTACTTTTTATATCTTAACAATGTGTGTGAATTTTCAGGAAAATCAATCAGAATAAATGAAAGGTATTATAATTTAAGAATATCTTTTATTATTTGCAAAATAAAATAATTAATAAAAGATTCTAAAACTCAACTATTAGCTTTTTAAAAGAAGAATTCTTATAGTGCAGTTAATTGATAAAGTAGATTATAATCGAAATTTGTATAGTCTTTTTCATTTTCAATAAGAATGTAGTATTAAAACCTAAAAGTACAAAATATATAAATTGTTTTAATTCAATAAAAGAATAGATTAATTTTGTAGTCAAAACAATAATATTGTATTAATTTATAATAGTCTGAATTAGATTACTAGACCAATAAAATTTCGGAAAAGTCGTTACTAAAAATGTAAGCAATAGATATATCTATAAATAAATTAGAATTAAAATATGATGATTATTTCAACAAATTAGATTAATTGATAAATTAAGAATTTAAAAATCTTAAAAGATAAGGCAAAATGCTAACAAATCAATTTGAATAACTTTAGATCCCCAAAATAGTTTGCAAATATCGATTGAGTCTTAACTCCAACCAAAAAATTAAGTATAAGAATAGAGGAACTATTCACAAAATTATCAAAAGATTTTGAGAGTCTTATTATAAAATGAAAATTCTAATGAATATATTTTGGATTAATAAAACTAATAGATAGACTCGAATGAATATTGATTATTAGCTATTTAATTGTTAGAGGTATAATTTTTATGGATAGATCAAAAACAATAAAGAATGAGGCTGTAAATTATTTTAACCATAAATTGCACTCCTTATTTCAGCAATAAGCTATTTGTGTATATGTTAGGTAGTAAGAAATGGCTCAATCTATGTATTATTTAAGTAGGATGTTGCAAATAAACACTTTGGTAGAACTACTGAGGAGATTCTATAATGGAAAATTCGTAAAGATGAATAAAAATTAATATGATTGTTTATAAAATTATAATTTAAATACAAAGAGATGTCTAATTACGGTCTGATGTTTAAGTATATAATCATAGGGGATACAGGTTTAATTGTTATGCAATGATTAGGAGTAGGAAAGTCTAGCATCCTTTTGTAATTGATTGAAAATGAAATCAGAGAGTAACATGATGCCACAATAGGTGTTGAATTCGGAGCAAAAATCATTAAAGTGAATGGGATGAATGTAAAATTGTAAATATGGGATACTGCTGGTTAAGAGAACTTCAGATCTATTATTCGTAGTTATTATCGATCAGCTATTGGTACTGGAATATTATATGTGAAGGAGCTTTACTGGTGTATGATATTACGAATAAAAACTCGTTTCATAACCTGCAAAGATGGATGGAAGAAATAAAAAATAATGGGAATGCCAATATGGTAATTGTGCTATGTGGTAATAAGATTGATTTGGAATCTGAGTAATTAGCATTGATTTTATGTAGAGGCGAGCAGTAACATATGAAGAAGGATGGTAATATGCCCAATCACAGTCACTGATCTTTCTTGAGATATCTGCCAAGTAGGGTATCAATGTGTAATCAGCATTCTATTAATCAACGCAAAGGATCTTGCAGGACATTGATGATCAAAAAATAATGCTTGGATAAGATGTAATGATATTATTTCGATATTAAGCCAGGAATTAAGATTGGGGGATAGTATAAAAAGAAGGACAAAGAAATACAAGTAATAAACAGTTACGAAGAGGCTGTTTAGTTGAAAACAATAGATACTCCCAATGGAAATAATTGTTGTTGATACTTGTTATAATCTATTCATATTAATAATTATTATTATCTATAATAATAAAATAATGAAAAGAATTTTAGGTTTATTTAGATTTGGATCAGGTGGACATGGCCATCACCATGTCAAATTAAACACAGTCTAAAATTGGGTTTCTAATGAGAGTGGCAAATTGGTTTGCATTACTGGCTTCACTGATCTCCATGATCATCCTCACCATGACAATACAAATCCATATCAACATCTAGTGGATGCTCCCTTTTTCAGGTTTCTGATTTTATTCAAATACATAGTTTTGAGAGATTCTATTGGTCGGACCCATACTTCCATGCCGATGAAACTGACCCCTTGGCAAATTTGCCTCATGGATATTTAGTAATGGATGATGTAAACTTTTATTTATATCTTCAAGCCTCTTACACAATAAAATAATGTCGAGTTACCACTTTATGAATTGATTTTCGTATTTGCTGGAGCACTTGTATGAATAATAACCTTAATCTGTAGGGTTTAATCATTTTGTACGGACACAACAATCTCCTTAATTAAAGCAGAGGTGAACAATTCCTTCAGACACACATCACAAGAGAACTCTTGGAAGAAGAAATTAGGAAGATCAGAGAAGAGACTTCTTAACTCGAGCAAAGAAAATAAAGACTCCAAGAATTATTGGGTTAAAACTCTTGACCATTTAAATAAATCATATTCATATAATACAACACATAAAATATTAGAGTAAATAAATATTGGCATGTTTGAACAAACCATTCACTTTTCTAGAATAAATATCTATAATTTTTAATTATATTGTAAAATTAGACTAATAATATTACTAACTGATTTTGAATCACCTGTTCTTATTTGCTATTCTCATTAAAAGTACTTTATTAATTAATTATTTAATTATTTTCCTATCTCTTTTGTAAAATATTTAAATTAATAAAGCAAGTAGATTTCTTTAAGTATCTCCTTTATAAAATATTATACAAGTTGCATATAAGATGATTTTTGCAAGCTAAATGATTTAGATATTAAAAGGAGGAGAAGAGTTTAGATAATAATTCATAGATATATTGGCTGGATATGAACCAAACAAAGGGATTAAATTAAGCAAAAAGAAATATTATTAGAAAAATAAATCTGAAATTTTAGGTTCAGTAACAAAATTTGAAGGGATATTTATAACAAAATTAGAAATTCCTAAATTAACTCAATCTCAATTATAACTCAGTATAAAACAAAGTTAACTAAAATAGTTAAAAATTTTAGGATTCAAAATCAAAGGAGGATTAATTTTTATACAAGACAAGAATTTAAAATTTGAATTTATTAAATATTCGCCATATTCTGATAAATTAGAAGATTGGTTGATTCAAATAACTAAGAATTTATAATATAATTGAAAAGATAACTTTACCAGTTTATTGCAATATAATATTTCATCTAGTAGAAGATAATTATATTCGAAAGTCATTAACTATTGAAAATAACATTTTATAATTGTAATTATGTTCAAATTGTGAATGCTTCAATTCCTTATTTGGTAACAATCTTAACAATGAATTTATTTTAGGCAATCAGAAATCTAGTTTATAATTCTTTAATGCATTTCTTTATTATTTCAATTCCTTCTTCTTTTGTTAAATTCTTATGATATTATCAATTATATACAGGCTTATATTAATTATCCAACAAACCCAAAAGGAAGTAATTTGCATAGCCTTAAGCTCCTCTTGTGATCTTTTATAGGGATCCCAAATAGTCAAGCCAATAAAGCGAGGGTGTGCCATCTGAATCAACTCCTCCTAATAAACCATTGCATTAGTGGGGGCCATCTCTTGATCTGATGGCTTAAGCATACATGGATCTTATCGAATTACTCATTATAATACCTAACAAAATGAGCAGTTTCTTGTAGATTCATGTATGAGCCTGTTTTATACCTTATAAGACAATGATTCTTATGCACTAATTCTCCAAAAGAGTTTCTGTCAGCTCCTTCTCCTGAAATACCAAAAATCTTATGATCATCAAGCTTAAGAATTTTGTCTTCGGTTTCCTTAATTTTTAGAATGCTGTGAGCTATGCTGCCATCACATGCAACAATAACAAAATCACCTCCTTATAAGCCGAAAATTGAATCCATATTAATTTAAAAATAAATAATACCGATGTTGAGAATTTTTAGATTATATATACATATCTTGAAATACTCATTGCAAATATTATAAATAAATGGAGAAATTAACAATAGATCATTTTACACTCTTAAAAGTGATAGGGAAAGGATCCTATGCTAAAGTGATTCTTGTGAAAAAGAATGTATGACATAATTCTTTACACAATTTAGGATAACAAGGAAATTTATGCTATGAAGATTTTAAAGAAAAAAAATATTGAAAAAAGAAAATAAGAAGACCATGTCTTGGGTGAGAGAAACATCCTTGTTGAAGTAAAGCATCCATTTATCATAAAAATGTTCTACGCTTTCAAAAATGATGTGAAATTGTACTTTGTTCTTGAATATTGTTCAGGAGGAGAGTTATTTAATTTATTGTAAAAGCGTAAAGTATTCACAGAAGATCAAGTAAGAGATACCAATATCATGTTAGGCAAGATTCTATGCTGCATAAATTGTTTTGGCTCTTGAACACCTGCATAATCATGATATCATCTATAGAGATCTAAAGCCTGAAAATGTTTTGATCGACGCATAAGGCTACATCAGAATTACTGACTTCGGATTGTCAAAGAGGAATGTTAAAGGAACCAAAGATGCTCAAAGTGTTTGTGGTACTCCAGAGTATTTGGCTCCTGAAATTTTGTTAAAGTCTGGCCATGGCAAGCCGGTTGATTGGTGGACTTTAGGAGCAATTATATATGAGATGTTATCAGGATTTCCTCCCTTCTATACTCAAAATAGAGAGGAATTATTTGAAAGCATTAAATTTGCGTAATTAAAATATCCAGTGAGTCTGACTCCAGCTTGTAAATCCTTATTGGAGGGTTTGTTTTCTAAGAATCCTGATAAGAGGTTGGGAAGTAAGGGAGCCCAAGAAAGTATGATTTATCCATATTGTATTTAGTCAAGGATCACCCTTGGTTTTTGAATGTAAATTGGGATACCTTATTGAAAAAGCTCTATAAACCACCATTCATCCCTTTGGTGAAGAGTGAAGTCGATGTTTCAAACTTTGACCCTGAATTTACTGAATAACCATTGGAATCACATGATCCAAATTCGTTATCGATTGGAGGTGAAAGCATTGGTTAAAAATATTAAGATTTTACTTATGATGCTAAATTGGAATGAGATATCATCATAAATATTAAAATAAATTGATGTGTTAGAATAATGTATAGTCTTATGATGCACATTTATATTAAATTATTTATTAATGATCTAAAATGTTTAGAACAAACCTAAACTCTTAAACCAAATCCCAGAATACATCCTAAACAATTCAGCCTTGAATAATGCAATAAGTTAGTTACCCAAACATTATAATTTTGAAATTCATAAGACAATAAGCAGAATTATTGAAACTCAAGAGAGACTGTAAAGACAAAACATTTTAATCAATTTGCAATTTCCAGAAGGATTGTTATTATATTCTTGCATGATATCAGATATTCTAACCACATTTACTGGTTGTGAAACCTTTATAAGTGGAGATGTCACATATGGTGCTTGTTGCATTGATGATTTGACAGCAGATGAAATGCAAGCTGATTACATAATTCATTATGGTCACAGTTGTTTGGTTCCAATTAATGAATGTGCAGTCAAAACCTTGTATGTTTTCGTGGAAATTAACATTGATACCAAACACTTATTTGAAACAATCAAAAAGAATTTCACTGATAAGAATATTAAGTATTACTTAATGGGTACGATTCAATTTAATACTTATATCCACTTACTCAAGAAATAATTAGAGGAGGATGGCTATAAAATTGTAATTCCCCAAGAAAAACCTAGATCTTCAGGTGAAGTCTTGGGATGCACTTCCCCGAAATTAGAGGTATCTTAAGATAGTAGAAATATAGTCATCTTTGTATGTGATGGTAGATTTCATATGGAATCAACCATGATTCAAAACCCATAATTTGAATTCTTCTAATATGATCCATACACTTATAGACTTACTATCGAAAAGTATGATAATCCAAAAATGATGAATTTGAGATATTAATAAATTGTGAATTGCCAGAAAATGTAACCTTAATTAGTATGCATCATTATGAGTACACTTGGAAGACAGGGAAGCACTTAGATTTTGTAGAGAATTGAAGAATTATTGAGAAAACACTAGATACAATATTTTACGCTTTTGATAAGTGAAATCAACTTCGAATAACTAAATTAATTGAATGAGGTGGATTTCTTCATATAAATTGCTTGTCCAAGGTTGTCAATAGACTGGGGAGTGTAATTTGTGAAACCATTGTTAACTCCCTATGAAACTTATGTTATGTTGGGGGAAGTAGAATGGAAACAAATCTACCCTATGGATTATTATTCGAATAATGGAGGGGCTTGGACAAACTATTATCACAAACAAAAAGTTAAATTAAACTATGAATGATTGATATTTTTTGTAATTTTATGAATATTTAATTGGCACAAAAGGTTGTTGATCATTGGCGAAGCTTTGTAATTAAGCGAAAGGAGGTCAGAAGCATTCTCATTGCATAATATAAGCATAGTTATGTTAGAGTTCTCTAATCATATAAAGAGTTGAAGAGACGAAGATTCTAATAATACATTATCAACAACGCATCTAATTTAATCTACAAGGCTTTGAAAATCAATTTATGGAAAGTCAAGCATCTAAAGCAATTTTTGAATTAAAATTAAGTTAAGCGATTTTACATTTTAAAATCGTAAGAGTAAATATTTTAAAATACCTTCAATTTGCATGCTAAAGAAGTAAACGTAAAAACAATAAGGTTACACTTTTAAAATAGTTGCTAATATAAAAATCTTATCCCTTTGCTATTTCACAAAATTAAATCTGCCGTTATCCTTTTCAATTTTCACTAATTAAAAAAAACCTTTGGAGAAACAAATATTAATAAAGACGTAATAAAATATGAATTTCTTTATAACTTTATAAGATAAGTTAAAGTAAAGTTGTCAAAAAAATAATTTGAATTAACTAATCAAGAACGCACAATCCATTAGTAATTACTATAAAGAATAGATAAATTTTAATTAGAAGAGTACAATCTGTTAAAGTATATTGAATTAGACAATGTGAAGATTTTGAAGAAGATCTTTCAATATAATTGTCAAAATAGAGATAGATAACTCCATATCTTTTTTGATTTCTAACTTAGAGAACTTGCTGCTGTATGTCGAATCCAAAAGTATTTTAGAGCAAAATAAAACATTGCTTAGAATGGTATGAAATATCAAGCTATCATGAAATTGATTAATCAATCTAGAGCTGTTTATGTCATTCAAAGGTGGTTTAGAAGGATCAGATGGAATCACAGAAACAATTTCTTCAAAGAAATCTCATTTTATGTTTCACAAATTCCAACTCCAAATCTGTATCTGGATATGGAGATCTATTCGAAAATTTAAGAGATTGCCAACAATTAATAACATTCCTTAAAGTTTTTAGAATAATACAATACGGTATAACTATAATAATTTTAAGATTGTAGCAGATAACCAAACAGCAAGACTGTAATTTAAATCCAAAGGTTTTGAAGATTCGGTTTAATCTACTTATGTACAATCTTTGGCCTTATTTGATAATCTAAATGTTCCTATTGTTCCTAATTGGCTTATTAGAGAAATCTAAATGGTTTACATAAATGAAGAAAAACTAATCGATTATAGTATTATTAAGCAAGAATAAATTTAAACAAAATGGAATTGCAGAAACAGAGAATACTTAAATAAGAACAAAGAATCTTTGAAAGAACTTCAATATGAAAAATCAGTTGATATCTATGGATTACTACATTTTGGAGCTTCTATATCTTTTGACTATATTAAGAATAGAGATTACATCAAGTTCACTTATGTTTCAACAAGTGAAGCAAAATACAGAGTGATTGCATTAGCTTTGATTACTTATAGATTCAAATGTAATGGAACCAGCATTCTTATGTTTGGAGATAATATTTGGGAAAGTACTCAGCAACAAAAAACTTCTTTTTTAAGTAGATACTATTAGAAAATTTAGAAGATTTATTAAGTAGAAATACAGACTTTGGAGAAATCCGAATTATATAATGGAAAATAAAATTAAGTAATTTTATGCTAGGATAATTCTCAAGCAGAAAAATTCAAATTAGTTAAGTAAACAGTTCAATTATAATTTTTTAATGAAAAATCTCGTATTATTGAAAATTTTATTTGGATGTGTCCGGAATTAACATTTAAATAAAAATACTTAAAAAATCAAGTTTCAATATAATTGAATTAGAATAGCTTAAAAAATAGTTCACATATATAGCAAGTCAACTCCTCTTTTGGTGATATTTAATAAGATTACAAATCATTTATTTAAAATTTTATTCCATAATAATCTCTTGATATATCTCCATAATCTGGTATAATTGATGGCAGTAGTAATTCAACTTAATTGCCTCTGAAATTTTCAATCATGTGCTTAGAAAATGCAGAAATCTAATTTTAGCAACCGAAATTTAAAAGAAGAACAGAACAATCTAATTAAGAATTTGTAATGACTAGTAGATTCAGAACTCAAAATAATAGTTTAAATAATTCTAAGATTAAAGAATAAAGTGACTCTTAGAACTATAGTTGCATTTAACCAAAGAAAAAGCAATTCACACTTGAAGATATAAATGAGCATATTGAATATTCTCAGCTTAAATAACAACAATAGGAAATGGCTTTAATTGAGAATAAGGAGAAAATCACAAAAATTAAATAAAAGAATTTAAATGAGAAGACTTTTATTAGAGAATTTCAAAATTTTGCAAGTTTACTACAAAGATAAGAGCAAAAGCTAATGAAGAATCAAATGAGAACAGCTAGAAATAATACATTAGAAAAATCATAAAAAACAGAAAGCATAAAATAAACAATAAAAAGTTAATCAGTTACGAGAAGGGAAGATTATTAAGATGTTTCAATAGTGTTCCCAAAAATAGAACCAAAAAGTTCTAAAAAATAAACAATAAACTCAAGGCTATCCAATTATCATAGATATGTCGTGTTTCCAGAAGAATTGTATGCTATTTCTACAAAAAAAGAAACTTTTCATTCTTGATACTATTTATGTTATTTAATTTATAAAATTAAGATTGATCTTCTAATTTTGTAAAGTTTAATTTTGAGTCTTATATATTAATCAGTAAAGTTTAATTTTGAGTCTTATATATTAATCGAATACACAACTAAAGAATTCGTAATAGGTAATAAATAAACCTTTACATATACAACCGTAAGACTGTCTAAACAATTTAATTGAAAAATCATATTGTTTGATTAATAACATTAAAAAGATCAAATTTATTATAAATTGACATTTAATGCTATTAACAAATAACAAGAAAGAAAATTTTGGTTAAATTCTATAGATTTAAGTCAGTTAATCATTATTATAAATTCTATGTTTGGGTTTTTTGTTCTAATTTGAGTTTCTAATTCAATTCAGTAGCAGCAACAACTTGATAAATGTTTTTTTGTTATTCATTCATTTTGATTTATAAGACTCTTTCAATTTTCTAAATATAAAGAACTTGATTACACTTCGACATAAATAGCATTCCTCCTTATTTTTCCACAAGTCTATGGCACAATTATAGCAGACTCCTCCATGTCCACATTACATAAATAATGCATTAGGTTCATTTTCAAAACAGATGCAACAAGAATTGATAGACGATAAAGAGATCGAACTTGGCACATTAGCTTACTAAACCAGCAATAATTATACACAGTACTTATTTAATTTCTTATGAATCATTTTCTATATCTGCAATACTCTTTTGCCTTCCACTCACCTTAATGTTAATTAAGGATGACAATTTGATTTTTTCATTTTGATCATCTGAACATCTTTATATTTATGATGACAATGCTTTATGATGAGAGGGTTTCTTACTAGACAGTTAAGTCTCAGACTTTTTATCAGAAGGTAGATCCTCAAATCCAAAATAAGTTTTTGATATTCTCTTTACTATTTTTGGAATATGTACTTGGGGCTCTGATACTCGACTTTCCCCAAAGTCTTTGTTGTTGAATTATTAGAGTTATATTTCTCCTTGTTAAGTAGGTAGAGTGTTGAGGGGATTAACAGAATCGTTAAAGGATAAATAAGACTATAAGTTGAATATCATTTCAGGTTTAAATCTCACAGTAAAATAAGAAAATACGACTTGGTTTATAATTAGAATAATCCTTGATGTGTCAATAATGTTTCCATAATTTCCTAAGTTATGATAGTTTAGTATTGATATAGGAATCAAAAGGAGAATGGATGTATTCGATATCATAAAGAACAATATCCAGAAGTTTATAATAACTAAGAATATAGACAAATCTTAACCTAAATTTTTTAGTCTACTATTTTGTTCTAATAAACTTTGGATTCCTAATGCCAAAACCACAAAAATGTAATAAATTACTATTGATGCTGATATCCCAAATAGTATCCAAAACATCCACAGAGCATATAACCATTATATATCGAAGTATCCTTCAAGTTTTAAGCTTAAAAATATTGAAATTATAAATAAGGCAATATTTCTAAAAACATGAAACATATTGATTTATGATATTGATTGTTTAAAATATTAATTTCCTTCATTCAACTTTAAAATCACAGAAAGAAATATATTTAATAATGGAAATATGTTTGAAAGTAATAGTAAATCTCTTGTCCCCGATATTTAATATAAATTAAGTACAAGTAAATAAGAACCTTCAACTAATGTTGATATTAATCTTAATAATGTGTGTTTTTCTGTTCTAATTAATTAATAAGACTGTCATACATGTTAAAATGTAGGAATATTCGATAAAAATAGAGCTAATGTATCAATTGCAATAACAATTTTGAATCAATACAATAAATAACAGATAGCAGATTACCATCAAAACTCAATTGAAAACTGAATAGTAAAACTGCTATTGCATAAATAGAATTGGACAGCAATACAGAGCTCAAAACTTAATTGGCCTGCTCAAACCGAAATCTAAATATGAAAAATGACATTACGTGGTTCCTAATTAGGGAATGTTTTCAACAGTTTACTAACTTTATTAAGTACTAAGATCTCTTCTCATTAGAAAAGACAGAGAAGAGTATTATGATAAATAATTTAATGAAAAATATAGATCTCTAAAAAGAATCATATGTTTTAATTAAACTTCCCAATAAGAGAACCAACTACAGTTTTATTGTTATTAGGAGTGTGACTATTAGAATGGTTTTTTTTCGGAGTGATCTACAAAGCCTTTTTTGGAGTTGTGACTCTAGGGGGCTAAATTAAACTTTATATTTTACAATAATTGTGTATGTTTTTCTTAGTTTTGGAGTTATAACTGTGACTTGATTTTAATTCTACTCTTTAATTTTTTATTCAGTTTATTATTTTCTATCATTCAATTGTTACTAGATGAGCAGATCTATGCATTTGCCAACATATGAATTATAGGAATTAAAGCTGTCTGGTTTACTCACAGTTTAAACTTAAGGAAGAGGTGCATTAACTATATTCTCCTTGCTTTCTTAAGCTTAGTTTTTCGATTCATGTTATTTTAAATTATATTGAAATACTTTTAACCCTTCCTTACCAACCCATTAAAATGCAGGTTTTTTGGATGATGCCAAATGAGTTTTCTTGATTAAACCAATAGACTTTAAGACATTAGCAATATCATACAGTCTTCTCACTTTTGTTTTCAATTTATTTTGATCAACTTCATTTCCGAGATATTTAGCAGCTTCTTCCAAAGTCCAAATTGATTTTTGTTACATAAATAACTTGATAAACCCAGCTGAGAGTACTTCTAATGATTTCTCTCTTTTATGCGAAGTTATGTCGAAATGAACTTATTTATTGGCATACTATTATATATATATATAATAAAATACTTGTTCTATTGTTGAATAAATAGTTTTGAATCCACTCCAACTATATTAATTTTTACATTTTCTCTTCACTACTTACAAGCTTTCGAGTATATTTATTATGTCATAAATTCTCCTTCTTTCAACGCCTAGGTTTGTATAATACAGTACCCAACTCTTCGGTGATTTAATCCAAGCAGATAATTTTCTCATCATAATCAATCAAACATCGTACAAATTTCTTACTCAATTCCTCTAAACTTTTTTCCTTTCTATTATAGATCTTGTATTTCATCAATTGTTTACTAAAGGATACTTGGCATAATAAATACTTATTTGGGTATACAATTTTGAAAATTTTTTTACTCTTGCTAGAAATTTTTTCTAACAATTTCTAATCCTACTCATCATTGAGTAATGATAATGAGACTAAGTCTAATGAACATTATATATATATGTACTTTGATCTTCTTCCATCTTTTGAAAAAATATTTTTCCGCTAATTATTATATTCAAATTCAAATTCCAAAAAATTAGGAAAAATATCAATAAAATATATCAAATTTATTTTTTACTCATCTCTTATTTTATTATAGATCTACTTAATATTTGATATTTATTGTCGAACTGCAAAGGTTAATCCGCATTTTATCTAGAATACTTTACTTTGACACTATAACTCCTCATCTCCTTCTCCACTGCTTCCAATTGAAATTAAGTTTCACTAAGCTTCTTCCTCAATTACGTCTATGATCTATCTCTTAATTAATTCATATCTGTTGTTATGTGGTCCTTTGATTTTTGTGACATTATTGACCTTCCTATATATGTCATATGCAGATATATACTTGTATTTGATATTCGAGTAGCATTTGCTTTATTGTACCATTTTTTGGATGACTTAAGTTTGTTCCTTAATTTTTGAAGGGAAAACACTTCAGGATGTTTAAAGATGATTTTCTTCAATTTTTATAATGGACCTAATTAAACTCCAGGTTTTTCAAAGGATAACAACGATGTATCCTAATCGTTCTGTTTTGTTTAAAATGTGATTGTTTAGGAGTTCTTGGAATCAACTAATGTTTGTCTATCAATAATTCTCATTTGTAGATCTTATTTTGTAATGACTTCCTAATTTGATTTCATTTTGACTGGAGAGACGAATTTTGAAAATTATGTCTTGTATTTCAATAGCTTTTTATAGAAATCATTCTCCTTTTATTAGAGCTTTTCTTTGCTCAATAATTACTGTGACTGAGATTTCTTATCCCTAATATTTATGGAATACTAAATTACTCTATATTATCAAGAACTATTTTCTCTTCGATTAGTTTTTTAATCATTTTATCAAGCATAGGAACTGTATTTTGCTAAATTTATTGCGCTTGTTGACTATTTGCACACATTGACTAATTCTTCTTCTCTGAAAAACTTGTTGAGAATTATGATATTGATCCACGAAAAGACTTTTACACATTCAAATTAAATGATGTATTCAATCTTTTTGGACACTTCAAAGTTTTGCTGGATTGTCGAGTGTCCATAGAACTCAAATTTTCAACAGGGATATCGATAGATGGTACATCAGTATTCTTTTTTTGTTAAGCCAATGCTTTGATCTAAGGAGTGCAATAATAAAATTCTGGTTAGAATGAGGTGTTCTTGTCATTCACATTATAATAATAATTGACTGATTGTTTATACTACTACTTCTCTTGATTCTATTCTTGAGTTTCTCTCATTAATCTCTTTAATCTTGGCATTCCCACATCATCATCTAAACAAACAGCTTCTATAACTTAATTGAAAATGATTAATTCTTTGTATTTAGAATATGTCAATGAGGATACATTTTAAATATAGTTTGCCAATTCATCATTTTGAAGAAGATAATAAAAACTTAGCCATTTGAGCAGTGTCATAATGGCCTAGCATTTTTCAAATTTAAAAATGGATTGATAATAATAGATAGATTGCATCCAAAACCAAGTTAACGGTTTTAATAATTTCATAAATTTCCATTTACATTTAAGTTTTCTTTTAAAATCATTATTGGCCTCTAATTACTATACCAAATATGTTAAATAATTAATAGTAATTGAACTATTGACTTCTTCTAAAATTTCCTGAGCCATGTCATTATTATTTTCAAAGCTTTTAATTAACAAGTTAGTTGCACATAAAATGTACTGAGATAATTTGGAAGCCCTTTTTCCTTTTCCCTGAAGCAAGATTTTGCTTACATCAAATGATAATTTTGCGTATCTACCTTTTTCTTATGGTTTGATATCCTAATAACTTAAGAGTCTAAAAGAAACCATAATATTTTATAAATAAGTCTCATATTCTTATTCTAAAGAGAAATTGGTCACTATTTAGTTCAGTTTAAGTTTCGTATTATTATTTGTGATGTGAATTTACTGCTGTAGTTTATCCTTCAATATGGAGTTCCTAATTTAGTCTCTTAAACTATGTTTAGTTTCAATTTAGATCATGTCGAAATTAGAGGTTAGTTTAGATATAAGAATAGGATAGATTTCCAAATACTTAACTATTTTCTATTTCCATATTTTAATGTCGATAATATTTTTACGAGACATATCCTTTAGTATACATTTTTAATATATCTTATTTAAAGCTTTGAGCAGAATATTTTAACAGTGAATTTTGTCATTCAAATGAATTTAACTAGAATGATCATAACGATCAAAGAATTTTGACAGTAATGCATATAATTGTTTGTATTTTTTCTAGTTTATAATGATTTGATACTTTTGGAATGAGCTAATTCAGTTATTCATTAATAGATTCGAATTAGGATTGAACAGATTATAATTAAGTATAGTTAACTATTAAAACCTATTCTTAATTATCCATATTATTAATAAAAATAATAAATCAACTTAGATTATATGAAATCGCTTATTGTTGCAATGACTTCAACACCAGGTTTTCATAATCCTCTAAAGTAACTTTCCCATCCCCATCTGAATCCGTCATATGAATCCAACTTCGGACATCATCAACAGTAGGCTCATATTTCATTCCTACCCTCAAATATAGCAAATTACCCATCTATCTGTATGTTTCACGAATTATTTCATAAACTTCATCTTCAGTTATGTATCCAGAGCCGTCTGCGTCAAGCTTCTTGAAAAGAGTTCTTGCTACTTCGAGTCTTTCTTCAATATAATTAGGTTATCTATTGTTATTTAAATATCAACTTGTTAGCTGATTGTTGTTATTTGAACTAATAAGAAGTTCCGCAAAATTTCTTCAAACAATACTATTCCACATCTTACAATGTAATTCTATTCTAAGCACTCTCTAAATATCAATCAGATATTGAATACTATTAATTGCTTTCATGAAACCATTTGTCTCATTGACTTTAGGTTTGATCGTGATATTCTATGCTCTGTACGCATCTGTAAACATGGATCCAACATCAACAACATCTATATATCCTTTTTTGGAGACTTTTATATTAAATTTTCCTTTTTTATACTATCATAAGTCTAAAAGATTTTTCTGGCAAGCATTCTGCAGCCATCTGGATCTAAAATACCTCCATATGGCATAGATGGCATGTTATAAGGATTGGTCATGTTATTTAATGTATTCATTATTGAACAATTCTTATTGATAATACTTTTAATTAAAATATTTATGATTCCCACATTAAACAAAAAGAAAAAATAAAATTCATAAATCTTCATTCTATAATTGGAATCCATTTATAGTTTTTGCATATGCCAATATAACTATCAATATCAGAATTCCTAGAGTACAAAATACATGTATGATTAATGATTTTGTTAGATAAATCCTTACTTTTTTCTCTTTTTTCAATTCAATGTTATTTGGTTATTGGTAGGTTTGATAAATTTCTTAATTTTTTTAAGTTGTTACTACTTTTGTTTAACCAATTAACTCTCCCAATTGATGTTCGTTTTTCACATTAGCACTTGGATCATTAAGTAATTGATTGATATGATCAGAATGTTCTCTATCAATTTTTTATCTTTTTGTTTCATCTGAAAGGCTCTTTGAAATCTCTGATACTAATTTAATGTGAGTTATCTTATTCTTAGCTTTTTAGAACTATTTTTTGGCTCTAATTGATTTTATCATCTTCTCAGAGATAGATACACTATTTTATATTTAAGGTTCTTTTTCAACTTCTACTTCTTCAATGCCCAACTTATACCCAATTGATGTCATGTAGTAAATATTCCTAATTTCATGGCATTTATTGAAGTAAACCTTTTGATCTATTGTTACCTCTTCGCCATTGAAGCATTCAATTCGACGTTGTTTCTCATTTCTTTATACTAATTTAATCTAGGGAATAAGGCAGTCTAACTGCTAATATTTTTTTTCTTAGTTTGATTTGATATCTAAACAGTCTCTTTGTACATAATATTGTTATGGTTTAATATATTAGGTTTTCTTATCACTTCTGAGAATTAATTTAATATTTTTTGGTGGACTAGAAATTGATTTCAAGGTATTTTAAGATTTTTATGAAAAAAATGAGTCAAGCATAGGGTTAATGAGTTCATCCTCCTCTTCGTTTTTTTAATAACTATAATCTGGTGATGTGAATAACCTATGTTTTAAAACATTATTCATTTATTATTTTAATGATCTTTAGTATAATATTGCTTCAAATTTTCTGTAAACTAAACTTTAAAATGTATTATTGATTCAATTGAAATTATAATTTTTTGATAAATTCTTTAAGAAATTGAAAATAAACTTAAATCAACAAGAGTTCTAATAAAATAAAAACCATGATTAAAGCATAGCACTATCTTGATTAATGAATAAAACTGAAACCGAAATTTTAAGAAATAGTTGAATATTATTAAATGAGTATCATATATTACCTAGAATATCGAGACGGTAATATAAAAAGTAGAACTACAAAGTTGATTTATTATTTTTTCTGCTAATTATGATATTTAGGAGTTGGGGGACATAGACCAACACTTTTTAGGGTTATCACTAGAATATACCATTAGATAAGAATTCTATATAATAAGATACATAAATGAAAGTATTTGAATTTGATACACCAGAAGTTAATTAAGAAAAAAGAATTAGAATCTTCATAATATTTATGATTATAGCGGAAACTTGACTTAATAATAAATCTTACCAGCCTGCCAAGGAAGGTAGGACTTAAAGAAATTGAAAATGATAATTTGGTAATGGAATAAGTATAAAATTACTTATTTAGATATTCCCATTAAAGAAGAATTTTTTTGGATAATATTGAATATATATAATTTATATCTATAAAAAATAAAATGGAATTTGAAGTTTAAGAAAATTAAGGCAATAACTCTATTTAAGGAATAATAAATCTTTAGCCTTAGGTGAATTAAGTGAACTAAGTCTAATCATAATAGTAAGAAATACAAATTAAACAAACTGACATTCAAGTTTCAAGTACACTAGAAGAAAGCGTAGCAGTCACATTAGTACATCTAAATTTAAACCATAGCTTCGAGATTTGAGATAGATAGGAGTAAAATTGAGATGCGTTTTGGTACCAACAATGTCAACTGATAATGCTAGAGAACTCAGAAATTGTAAATGAATTTTTTAATATTATTAGGGGATTTATGGGGACCATTAGTATTTTGTTTGATGTTAGCATTGTATATTTTAGTTTGACATTTTAGAACCCTAAGTTTGAGTGGTAATAATGATGATGGTCCAGGAATATTTGCAACAATATTTGTACTTATTTGGGTTGGGTCCTTTGTAGTCACTCTAAATGCTTAATTATTGGGTGGGAAAGTGTAAATATAGAAATAAAATAAAGATCATTTTTCTAATCGGTTTGTGTTTTGGGATATTGTGTATTTCCAATAAATTTAGGAGCTTTATTTACTTTATTTTTTTAGTTCTTTTATTTGAAGATGTTTTTGGTTATTGGTTGTTTTCTATGGTCCACTTACTGTAAGATTACTATAATTTATTTTATAGCTGCTGTTGGATTCATGAAATTATTAATTCCAGAATAGAAAAGAATATTAGCACTTTATCCAGTGATTCTATTCTATTTGTTTTTAAGTTGGTTTGCTCTGATAGTTTGAATACCATATTTTATATTAATTTATATATTATTTATAATGGGAAGTTGCCAGTGTCGCAAATTTTGTGAATCTGATCCAATCAATTCCAATCTACACTTACAAGAAATTGCTACAAATGATGATTATAGGGTTAATAATTAGGAAGGAGCAGCTAAAGATTTGTTCATAAAGATAAAGACTTGGCAAAAAGAATCATTTTCACTTTTTGATTATGAAAACTAGAGTCATTTAAAAGAGTAGAACTTTTAAGTAAATGGATTAATTATAAAAGATAAGTAAGGGAGGGTACTTAATTAAAAATAATAACGAATTATAATGGATTGATGATGATGTAGATTGGAATAAGAGTGTAATTAAATAGGAACAAATTCTATTCAGAATTGATAAAAATGAAGGAATTTTCAGTATAATAAATAAAAGAGGAGAATGTAAATAAAACTATGAAGATGACAAGTAAGAATAAACTACTAAGTATCATGGAGATAATAAAGACTTTTAATAATCAGAAAATCTGGATTAATTGGAAGGGGATGAATTTCATTAACCTAATGACATAATTAAGAAGTATAGTCATCATCAAAAAATCAGTATGAGTTAGAGAACTAATACTAAATTGATGGAAAAAGGAAGTAAATTGTGGCTGGTGGTAAGATCTATCCAGTAAATGATGAGTAACAATGGAATTAAATTAAAGGAAGGAGATGTCATAAAGATGGGGAGAGTGAAATTCAAAATCCGAGAAATTCAGTTAAACTAAAGATAATTAATGTAATCTTTCTCTTTTTATTGAAAGACAAGATTCAGATTCTGCAAAATCTAGTTAAACTGATGCTATTACATGCAGAGTCTGTTGCAGTAGTGCATATAGCAGATCTAACCCACTTGTAAATCCATGCAAATGTACTGGCTCTATTAAATATATACATCTGAACTGTTTAAAAAAATGGTTAAAGTCTAAATTCCAAACCAAATAAAGTGATCACTGTATCATTTATATGTGGAAGAATTTGGAATGTGAATTATGTAAATTTAATTACCCACCCATTTTCAAAAGTGATGAAGGAGTATTTGATTTAATAGAATTGAGTAAACCTACTGAATATCCGTATATTCTGATGGAAATCACTCAGAAACGATATGAAGTATTTTATAATTTCGATAATCAAATAGGAAATGTAAGAAAACAACATGAGTGATGATACTTAATGGAATTAATGTAATGGAGTCTATATTGTTTCTTTTGATAATAATAATGGTGAAGTCAAAAATGGCAGAACCAATGAATTAAAAATAGGCAGAGCGAATGAAACTGAAATTCGAGTGAATGATATATCAGTAAGCAGAAATCATGGAACACTTAAATTAATAGATGGATAAATTTATTTAACCGATAATAAATCAAAGTTTGGAACATTAATTCTCATTCAATAGGGTGTAATTCCCTTAATTCCAGAACTGAATGGTATAGAAATACAAGTTGGCCGAAGTGTTTTATAATTTACTCTTGGCAATAACAATGCCAATTAGTAATCATAATAATAATAATACTTAGAATCTGAAATTTTCGAGTAATTTGTTTGTAATATCATAGTAAAATAATTGGTAGAAACTTTGAGGATGAAGAATTGGATTATCTTTAATGAACTAATAATAATTTATGTTTAACTTTATAATAACCTATTTCATAAAAGAGTAATTGGTCAAATATATATCTGTCAATTGAATCTAAATTTTCAATGTGGTAAAAATATTTTAATAGTTTATAAAATTAATGATGTATAATCTATTTAATGATAAATGTTAAAGTAATAATAGTCTCACTAAAACAGTTTAGATTTTAAATAATTCTTATTATTTGTCCTCTGTTTTATAGGATTGGAACTTGCCATTCGTCATTAGAAATATAGAGGATATCAAATGCAAATAGCTTTTGTTGTTGAGAATCTAAATTAGTTTAAAAATATCTCAATAATTAATAAGTTTCTTAATCCTCTTTTGAAAGGTTGATTGTAAGTGAAATATCTAACATAAATCTCTCAATAGCACTTAAAATTAGTAAGGAGGACTAGTGAAATAAAAAATTTTCAATATAAATTTTTTTTCTTAAAAATAATATCAACGGCTAGAAAATCTGGAGGTGAAGTTTTAAGGCATTTCCTGTTCCTCATTAAGGAATCTAGAAGAGAGTGCCCAAAAAGACTTAAAATTAAACAGCTAAAAATTTATTGATTACTTCATAATTTAAGCTTGATATACGTTTTAGATAAAATTAAGAATAGGAAGGTTCTAAAAACGATACCTTATGTAACTTAGGATAAATCATACATTTAGAATGTGTTTTTTATTATCAGTTATAATCTTGTAATCGTTACTTAAATTTATTAATTCTCATAAAATTTACTCTTTTTTTGAGATTACTTTTATTAATAAAATTGGACTTTTTGAACGATAATATTTTTAATTTTATGTTGAACAAATATTATTAGATTGCAAAATAAAAGCAAATATAATTATTCATTTTATAAAATCAGTTCTTATAATTAACTTATATTGATAGTCCAATAATTTTGATGATTATTCCCACTCCCTTCACCCAAGTATTTCACATAATTTTTATTTTTTTTCAATGTAAGCTTTTAGTATGGTGAACAATATCTAATAACTAATATCTAGAATGATTGAGTAATTCAATTTAATTCTCAATTCTTTATTTGAGGATATTTATTTATTAATAAATGTCTGAAAGCTCTCTATCTTAAAATGACTTTTATGAATTGAAACATGTTAGAACATTGAAGGACAATCCTTCTAAATTTTTATAAAAGAAGAAGCAAACTCAATTCTATTTGAATCAGGTAATGCTTGATAAAGAATACATAAAAACTGATTTGAGTTGCGAATGTTCAGAATGTGGAAAATGTAGTTAATTTAGTGAGACAATAAAAAAACAATACCCATTCTGTGAAACAAGGTAATGAATTCATAAATTTAAAGATGGTAGAAAAGAAAAAGGATTTTTAAAAGATTTAAAGCAGCAACAAATGCTATTATTTTTATCTTATCATATAAAGTGGAGGCTATAAAGAAATTTAGAAAGAGAATGCATATATTAAAAGCAGTTAGAAATTTAACCACATTAAAAAAATCTTAAATTAGTGCTCCCACTCACTTATAGCAATAGCCATTGATTAGTATCCCTCATTCGAGATAATCGTAAAGGTAATTTTTGTTATAAAAAAAATAAGGATCAAAACTACTCCTGATGAGGAGACATTTTTTCATCACGTCATAAATAGTGCCCGAGAACCGAGGAAAAGTTAAGTTTCGATTTACATGAATCAAATGTTAAAAAACGTTATTCCAAAATCAGATGTTCATCTAAAACCTTTGAGTTATTTAAATCAGAAGCAGATAAAACAAAATAATGCAAAATCAATTAGTCAAGCATCTTTTTCTCATCATAATTATTCACAAGTTACATCGAATCCACAGAAGTGCCCAACAGTGCATTTGGAGTAAATTGTGAATAATCAATATAAAATGAATAATAAAGATCTTTTAAAATTAATAGATTCTCTTAAGGTCAGACATAGAATTATTAGATGTAAGAAATGATTATATAATTTATAATTTATTGATTTTATATTAATTTTTCTTTGTTTATAAATTAATTAATAAATGGACCTTCTGAAAGATCCTGTCAATGATCGATAAGTGAAAACTTTGAAGCCTCCACCTCATCGTCCATTGTCACGGAATCTAATGTTTCCAGATAAATTGAAAAGTAATCACAGCATTAAAAATAGACAAACCTGATTGGAAATTGTTAAGAGATCATTTACAAAAGGAAGGCAGAATTGCTAAAGAGGATCTTTTTAAATTGGTTGCCGATTGTAATAAATTATTGAGTATAAATCTATTATATTATTAGAAAACGAAGGCAATGTGCTATATTTATAAGATCCGCTAACTGTTGTCGGTGATATTCACGGGTATTAAATTGAAATTTATCCTTAGTTAATATTATGACTTATTGAAATTGTTGGAGCCTAAAGTGGGAGGAAATCCTGAAAACACAAAGTAAATTTGAAAATATTAAACTAATAGATATCTCTTTTTGGGAGATTTTGTGGATAGAGGATCATACTCAATAGAAGTAATAATATTGATGTATGCAATAAAATTGAATTTCCAAAATTCAGTGTATTTTTTAAGAGGAAATCACGAATGCAGATAATTAACAGCCTTCTTCAATTTCAAAGAAGAATGTTTGTACAAATATGATTAAGAAACTTACGAGATGTTGATGGATTCATTTGACTTGTTCCCTTTGGCATGCATAATAAACTCTAAATTCATTGCAATTCACGGTGGAATCTCACCTGATTTGAAATCAATAGAAGATATCAAGAAGATAGAAAGATACCACGAACCTCCTAGACAAGGACTATTTTGTGATTTGCTATGGAGTGATCCAGTTGATCAAGAATAGGGTTATTTAGATACTGCATGGAAATCAAATGAAGTAAGAGGATGCAGTTGGTTTTTTGGAGGGGATTCAGCAAATAAATTTTTATAAAGGAATAATTTAATTTCCATCATCAGAGCTCATGAAGTAAGATAAATAAATAAGATAAGGCATAATTGGATGGATATAAAATGCATAGATGGAATGGTGGTTAAGATTTTCCAGTTGTCATAACTATTTTCAGTGCTCCCAATTACTGCGATGTCTATAACAATAGAGGAGCAGTCATCAAGTTTGAAAATAACACTTTGAATATACAGTAATATCAATACACACCTCATCCCTATTTATTACCTAATTTTATGGATATATTTACGTGGTCAATTCCATTTGTGGCTGAAAAAAGTAAGTTCTTAATTAATATCAAATTAGTAACTGAAATGTTATATAATATCTTATAAACAGATATTTAGGGAGATGATGATGAGTAAATCAGTGAATCAGATATATAGCAATTTAAATAGTTGACCAAATAGACTGGCTTACAAAAATAATCAACGACAGGTAGTTCATAAGGAGCATAAAAAAGTAAATTGTTAACATATCATACTTAGACACTGAGAAATTGAAGAATAAAATCAAATTCGTATCTACAATGATGAAGATGTAAAGAACTCTTAGAGAAGAGAGAGAAAGCATAATCTAATTAAAAGGGGCTTGTCCAGATAAAAGATTACCAAGAGGAATTTTAATGAAGGGAAAAGATGCCATCAATGATTGTAAAATTTAATACTAATTGTTAGAGCTTGCTGATTTTACTACTGCCAAAAGTGTAGATCTAATTAATGAAAAAATGCCGTATGCTCAAATACCACAAGAATCCATTCAAATAAAAAAACCATCAACCTAGAGGAAAAAATGATTTCTATATTTTTATGTATATTTATTCAGCTGTGATAATAGCATATATATTTTGAGAAATAATACTTCAAAATCTCTAATTTTTATTATTAGTATGAGTTTAGTGAAATCATTTGAATTGGCTCTAAAATAAAACGATATCTTATCTAAGGTGTTACCAATATTAAAGTTCATCAATCACACCATCCCATTTCCACAAAAGCATAGTTCTATCAATGAACCCAGAATTATTCGGTTTTTACTGTAATTACACTGCCAAATACCAGACACTATAGATATGATTTTAATCTCGTTGCTAAACATATTCAAGCATTCAAAGGAATGGATTAATGGTTGTTTTAAGGCAATTGAAGAGTATGCTTAACTTCCAAATCAAGGAAATGGAAAATATGTCGCACTAGAATTTTTAGAAACTGTTTTAACTGAAATCTCAGAATTGGAGTAATATAATAAGTAATAAATACTAGTTTTGATATTGACGATAAATGTTATGCGTTCATTATATTTCTTTAACATGCGGAAAATGAGAAATTGGTCAGGGCAATTATGAAAAAAGTAGGATAAATCTAGCAATAATTAGGAAATAGAATGAAATCTGCAAATCAACTCAATCAACTTATTGAAGAAAGTATTTAAAAATATTTGATTAAAGAATAGCTGTATTAAAATTATACCAAGAAGAGGTTTAAAAGAATTCAGATGAATTTCATTATTAGAATGTTGCCATTGAATTATAGGAAAAGGGTAGCTAAGCAAGGAAGGGGTCAAAACCAAAAATGTCATTGATGGCAATGAACATACTGTAATCTTAATCTTTGTCTTCAAAAATGCCCTCAAAATAACAACTCAATAATGATCATTTAAATAATAGCAATTCAGATGATTCTATTAAGGCAAGTGAAATGAATATCGATGAAATTTTAATTTAGCATAAACCAAGAATCGATTCAGAATAAAGCGAATATCTAGCAGACATAGATGCATTATAAAATTTATTTGCTTATATTACCAATCCCGTGGCAACAGAACCAGGATTGATCTTCGCTACAGATGCCTTAGCAAATGATATTCAATAACCTTGTGATGATAATCAATACAAATAACATGTGATTAAACCTGATAAATTAACCACACTAAGATCCTACAAGGCTATGTTATTTCTTACCGATTACCATAATCATTAGATGATCATGTAAATTAACTAACATACTATGCAAATTGCTTGTAAATTATAGATATTAATAATAAGTTCGAAGCATATCTGGATTCTTTCAAAACTTATAATCAAGTGGAAATTTGACCCATATTATTGCTTTACTCTAATTTTACTTAAAGTATGAATTGAAAGAAACAGTTTACAATTTTCTGTATTTTTAATTTCATCAACAATTTTTAGATTATCTTTGTATTCTAATATAATTTATTTTAGACAATCCCCTTTATTTAGATTTTCTCATGCGATTTATGGATCCAAATTATTCAAAAATTCCTTAAGACTTAAGGAATTATATTTGGTAATTCCTAAATCGCTAAGGATATATTTCGCTTCTAGTAAGTAAGATTACAAACAAGGAAAGAGAGGGAGTATTTCTTAAGAGGAAAGATATAACTAAGGAAGGATATTAATTTTTAAAACATATTAACGATTACAAATTACAATTACTATAAGATGATGATTAAGCTGCTATAACTTATTCTATTAGCAGCAACATAGATCAATATTTAGGTCCTTTGATTCCAGGAAAAACTTTGATTTAAAATAAGCAACTGTTAGAGAGAAAAATGCTGTTGAGTTCACATCTCAGAAGAGGCTCAGACTTATCAAGTTTAGCAAGATAAATCAATAAAGTTATTATTTAAGAGTATATTGATTTAACTGAATTAAATCAATAAGGAAGAGATATCGATAGATTATAGGATGTGGTTTAATTTTACAAGGATATTAGTACTCCTGCTGAGACTCCTACATTATATAATGTTTTTAGACAAGCATCAGAAGGAATGAAAAATTTCTAATTTGAGTAGAGATCTTAAAGATCTTAATTAACAGAACCTCCCCTTAATATCACTTAATTATAAAACACTTTTAAACTCCCATCTTTAAACATTTAACCTACAACCATCATCACTGATTCAATAACTCTAAAAAATACTTAGCGTAAACAAAAGTCAATGACATTCTCTGATAACATTCTTGCATAAACAATCAGTAAAAGATCTGATCAACCTTAATATATGAGTCTGGTTGGTGTCAATGGTAATTATTGTCATCTATAAGATAGATAATAGTTCAACTTTTAGATAAATGAATGTAATTCAGACACCAACTTCTTTGGCTAAATCGTTTGTTTATTATCCTAACTAAGACAATAGTGTTGTGGATACAATTATGAAAGAGGAGTATGCAAAATACGAAACTCAAAATGATGAAACGACATCCTTTAGAAATAGTACTCTTTTTAAAAACATCATTTAATCGATGCAAAAGTTTGAATATCATTATGCTTTCGATGAACTGTTAGATGATTAATATATTTTGTTCGAAAAATTATTGAACCATTACTCCATTACGTAAACAGCCTTATTTTAGAGTTCATACGAAGATAACAGTTCAAATAATTGTTAGATTATTCTTATTGATCTTATTCAAAGAATCAATAAAAAACCCATGAATGAAAAATTAACTAAAATATACATCACATATTTACCCAGGATTTGTAGAAACCTAACTAATATGCATAAGATGTAGAATGAAAATAGAAATAACATGGAGTTATTTACTAATTAGAATCAAATTGGGAGTGTGAGAATATTCAGCACAAAAATTATAGATTTGATTTTACGAAACTTTTAATAAAGGAATCATCGAATTTACTTAAAAGTCAATGACACTTCCTCATTCAGCCTTAATGAATAATTCCATTAATTACCTAACCCTTTCTATTAGAAGATCTTTTACTCTATTATGAAATAACTATGCTTGTTTGCTTAAGAGAAACAGGTTTAAGCTATTCTATTTAAAGCTAATCTATTAGAAGGAATCAGTTAAGGATTCCATAAAAATGTTATTAACAAAGTAATGATTAAACAAGGAAATGTAGAGGTTTATCTTATCCATTTAGCTTTGCTAAGTTAATTAATAATTTTAGTTTATGAATTAAGGGATGATTTGCAAGTCTACAAAAGTTCTCTATTGAGATTGTAATGCTTTTAGAATCTAAAGGAGGTTATGGATATGTTTAAAAATAATAAATTGATTCAATCATAAGCTTTGGATATCTAAAAATAACTAAGAAAAAAAAAATGATTTAAATTCTTTATTTTTATTAATTATATGCCTTTAGTTTTTATAAAATTAAATCAAATATAAATGTTCCTATCCGAATCAAAAAAATGTCTTATTGGCGCTGTTTTAATCAAAATAGGATCAGCATTATTGTTAACTTGGGGAAAGACTAATGTTTATTTCTATTCTTTCTACAAGCAAACAGAACCTGATTTATCAATAGCAGTAAATTCTTAGTTTATTTTTAGTACAACACACTGCCCATTGCCATCATGGCACTTCCTATCGCCCTTATTACAATATTTTCAGTAAAGATTGCACGGAAGGTTGGATTTAAATTGCACATAAGAATAGCCACTACAATGCAATGTGCATCAATATTAATCGCTCCTTATATGCCTACTTATTTGACATTCCTAATCTTTTATATTTTCTTATATGGAATAGGGTATTCAAGCGTGGCTTTTCCGGTTTTTTCATGTGCTTGGAGCCATTATAAAAAATCAGAAGGACGTGTTTCTGGTCTTTTATTAGGAGCATATGGTTTTGCCTCAGTAATCTACGTGATAATAATTACCTATATCAGCAATCCAAATAATTAATAAGCAGACCTTTAAACTGAACATAAGACTTAAATATATAAATATTTTTCAGGAAGTGTGGCTTCAAACGCATAAAACGCTGCTCAAATAGTAAGTTATGTTGCGAGTTTATGCTGTTTAATTGGAGGATTCTTGATACGTCCATATGTTTAGACGACTTAATACAATTAAGTAGGGACTGGCGATTAGAAAATATAATCATTCGAAGAGGAAACTCCTAAATAAAATGATAAAGAAGTATAATAAGATTCATCTGTTGAAATGGATCCTTCATCAGTGGCTGTAAATGATCTACCTCTTGAAATCGCTTCAGACCATGGCTTGTATTTTTTTTATAATTAGTAGACCTTAAATTAAAATTAAATAATCTTTATCTGCAGCAATAAAATCAATGTAATTTCTAACTATTGTTTGTTGCTTGAGTGTCTTAACTTTATTCCTATTGACTCTTGGATTAAATTATAAGAGTTATTTCCTATCCAAAATTAATGAAGACTTCTTTATTACCTTTGTGGATTTAGTTGCTTTATTGGCATCATCATTTGCAAACATACTTTGGGGTTTTTTGATCGATCGAATTAATTTTAAAATACTATTTGCAATTATCTACTTTGTAAGTGGATTAGGCGCTATTGCCTTGCCATTTTCGGCTGCAGACAAAATGTCATTCTTTATTGTTTATGTCATTACGATGATGTTTGATAAAGGTGCATTAGTTGTAACAGGGCCTGCTTTAATTAAGATTTTCGGAGATGATATTGGACATCAATTATTCCCTTTAACATATATTAGTTCATTAGTTTCGGTTGTAGTGGGTCCTGTTAGCTAGTTTATATTATTGAAGTACTTTTCATTTGATATAATATTATATTGTTAAGGGTCATTAATTTTATTAGTGATTATTTTCATTATTAGACTAAATATGAATTATTAAAAATGACATAAATAATAATATAAATTCAAAATCTTTACTAATTTTTATTTCTATATAGTTTAAATTATACATGTAAAATATTAAGCCTAATATATTGAAAGGAGTAATGATTAATGAATCATTTATTAAATAATATAAGGCTTTGATTTTTATTTTTCAAATACAAGTTCCAATAGTGATTCTGCATTTTTATTATAATGTTTTCTTTAATCATTAATTATTAACGAATTTATTTCGCAAAATGAGCTAAGTTTGCCAATAAAATTTGATTCCCTCAATATTAAATTCATATGCCTCCAACAGATATGAACTAGGATCCTTTCAGAGAGTTAATTCGCCTGGACTTCCAAATTCATCCTTAAGAACTAGTTGCAAAGGAGATAAGAAGAAATTAGAAATTGGATTGATTACAGATCGAAAACTGAGCGAAAGTCCTTCATTAAGGAAAGCCATTTCTACTGAAAACTTTAGAATGTTAAAAAGAAATGATAGCATTGTTGAAACACCCTAGCCTTGGGCCTAGCCACCTTAAATGGAACATCTTACAAAAAAAAATTTTAAGTTGATCGACAGGCTTGAATCAGATCAATTATGCATAAAAATATATATGTCTGAAGAAAACTAGAATTAAATCTTGTTTACAGGAATAAGTAATGAGATGAAAGCTTCTGAATAAAATAAAAAAGACATTTTATAAAATTTATAACAACTATTCAAAGTAGGAATTGAGGGATAAAATAAATATATCAAATTAGAATCTTTAGAGAAAGATTTAAATTTAGACAACCAAAAGTATTATGGAATTAATGCTAAAAAGCTTTATAATTCAAGCAAAAGAATAGCCACTTAAGGAAATGACACAAAATCAATATTTGATAGATCATTATCCATTTCAACTATAAAAGATTCTAAATCTATCACTTCTAATAAAATAAAGAAAGACATTGAGATTATAGAATAAGGGATTTTGAAATACAAATTGAATGCTAAGAACAAGTCAAATTCAAAGCAGCCTTTTGGATAATATAATTCTACTGCTACACTCAAAACAAAAAGAAATGGATGCAAAAGTCCATTACTAAGTGCTACTTCACCTTCTAGTAAGACTTAAAGAAAAACTGATTAAAGATCAGCAAATAAAGTCAAATTTAATACCAAATCTATGCACGCATGATGAACAACCATAAATTGTGATTATCTTTAAATTTATGTTCTATAATAATTATATTATCAAATAAAGGATATCAAACAATTTCAGTAGAGAAATCTAAAATACAAAAGTGATATTTATTAAAAATCTAATCAGAAATTATATAATAGATTCAGAAATTAAGATATTTTTAATATAATTTACAATTACTATCTTAGTAAAGTTTACTAGAGAAGAGAAATTTTTAATATTTGATCTAAAACCTCAGGTTTCAGTATATTCTTCAAATGTATTAGTTTCGTTATAATTAAAAGATTTAGATGTGACAGATGAGCGGAATATTGATGATTGATCACAAAATTGATTTTTATTATCATTTTAAAAGTTTAACCATAGAATTTAGTAATTCTCTATTAAAAATGGTACTCTCTTTTTCATATTTTTGAATCCAAGAATGCTACATAATCTAGAAAATGCTTAGTCTCTTTTTTGGATCCTTTTAGACTAAAGCGCGCACAAAGCTTTTACATTCTTCACTTATAAAATTTGGGAATTCGAATCCACTATAGATGATTTTATTCATAGTATCCTCTTTTTTCTTTTCATAAAAAGGTGTCTCTCCAGTGCATAACTCAAAAGTAAGAATTCCTATTGCCCATAAATCTACTGTGTGATCGTAATCTCTCCCAGCTGCAATCTCAGGAGACATATAATCTACAGTCCCACAAAAAGATTGCCTAACTTGATTTGCAGGATTATAAGTTGACAATCCCATGTCAGCAATTTTGAGTAGAGAGTGAGTGATTAATATATTTTCTGGTTTAATGTCTCGATGAATTATGTTTTTACTGTGCATGTATCCAATTCCTTCTATAATTTATCTAATGTACCCAGAGGCAACTTATTCTGTAAATCTTTTTTTAGGTTACTTTTTTAAATACTTAAAAAGCTCACCATCAGTAGCATATTCTAGAATCAAAACTACCTTTGACCATTCTTAGAAATAGCCATAAAGTTTGAGTATATTTGGATGATCTAAATAACCTTATATTTTAATTTCATTTGCTAGTTGTTTTTCCATCCCATATTTTGAAATTGTGGCTTTTGGAATGACTTTTAGTGCAACAATTATTTTAGATTATTTGTCCTATGCCTAATAAACATCACTGAATTTCCCTTTCCCCAAAAATTTGCATATCTAAAATCTTTCGCTTATGGTTGAATACACTGGAGCTAGACTTTACGCTTGCTTGACTAAATTTACAGGTTTCTTCAAAGGGGATTCTCCTGATTAAGGCAAAGGACTTTCTTCTTTAATTTATTCTTCCTCCACTTAATATGCTGGTATTATGTGTCTATTCCCAATTTCCTTATTCATCTACCCTATTGTAAAAGTAAGTCTTGTTTGCATATTTTTTATATTGTTGTCTATGCTTTAACATTTTTCCACTAGATTCTACCAATCTTTATCAATTGATAGTATAAATCCAATTTGATCTTAATTTGTCATATTATTTATTTTAATTATGGAAGCATATAGCAAATTCGATTTTGATGGAAATGAAAACTTTTAGAAATATCTCCTAAATGTATATCCGTTGCCTCCCAAATTAGACAAAATCAAACGTAAATGGTATAAAACATATATTGACCCAGAGTTTGATATCAACATAGAATCTCAGAATCCTAATTAAAACACCTAATCATAAACATCATAAAATGAAATGCCACAAAAATAAGAAACTCATTAATAACAATAATAGTAATCTTAACAACAACAACAATAATAATAATAATAATAATACTACTAGAACAGATAATAATTGCCATCAATTCCTATTTGGACTATAATTGAGGGAATGCTTAAAGTGATATATTTCCCTGCTTTATTGTTCTTGCTTTCACCTTAATTGCACAAATATTTGAATTTTGGGAGTATTTTTATTTGCTTGCTTGCTATATATCGATTGTAAGGATTACCAAAGAAAAATTATTTTAAGGAGTATATTATCAAAATAATTTAACTTGAATTCACCTCAAATATTTTCTTTGTTGTTTCATTATTTACAATTGATAGTTTTGCATTTTAATTGCCAATCGCTTTACACTTCATGGTCGGAGCTGCAGAATTTTGGACATAAATTAATCAAGAATAAGGAATCTCTCTTAAAGTTGCCAAATATATTACAACCAATAGAAGTGAAATAATCCTTACAAAATAGAAAATAGAAATCTATCTATTCCTATACTCTGTTGTTGGTATATTCTTAAAAAAAACATCATTTGTTTAAGCCATAATTATCTTCCAAAACGTGTTACTTAAAACTAAATTTAATAAAAATATGAAAAATGCATAAGCTTATATTAGAGTATGGTATGCTGATAGGTTAAGTGAAAATAGAATATTACCTGAAGGTTTACGTAAAATTTTTAGTATTATCTGGAAAGGATACGAAAAGTTATTAACACTTTTTTGAGTAATTTATCCAAAATTGTTTTATATCCATTCAATATCAAACATATTATCAACTTCTATTTGATTAGATATTCTTGTTTATAATAACTGATCATCATATTTAGTCTCTCCGTTTTGAAAATTTAGTTATCTTAAGATGCCATTTGAATAATTTAACTTATAAATCAATTTTATAAAATATAAAAAGCCAACCCATGGACTCAACAAAAGAAAGAGTTGAAGGAACTAAAGCAGTAGTCATAGAAATACTAGGAAGAATAGGTGAGAATCTTAAAAATAGACTAGGATCTAGAGGAAATATAACTTAGGTAAAGGTGTATGTGGTGGATCATTAAAGAACATTAATAAGGAATGTCATGGGTCCAGTTCGTAAAGGAGACATTTTAGAGCTCATGGAATGTGAGAGAGAAGCTAAAAGAGTAAGATGATTTGATGAACGTGTGACATTGTAAACTTAAATCTATAACCCAGATTGCTAAAACATCACAAAGCCGAATATATTGTTATTATATTTATATAATATATATTATTATGTTAATTAAAATTAGACCGAAAAACAAAAATACTACCAACTAAACGTTTCAAAATTCATTCAATGCAAGCAAATAGCAAATCTGTCCCCAAGCAGATGAAACTATTCAAGATTTTAATGAATTAGGCTTAAATGTATATCATCCTTCAAATAATGGGAAAAATTTATAAACTTAAATGGATGAATAGATGATAATTGTGGAAGTAAGCATATTGAATCATCATATAAGAATTCTCAGAAGAAGTAAATCATTGTGAATCTAAATAAAAAGACCATTAAAAAGGTTAAAAGATACATAGAAACTCCTTAAATTATTTTAGAAAGAATAAAAAATACATAGACTGAAGTATGATATTCCTATATCAAGTAAAACCCAACTTGCAGAATATGTCTCGAATAAGATTCATTAGATAAACTTATTTCTCCATGCAATTGTGATGGAACTATCAAATATATTCACATGGATTGTTTAAAGACATGGCTTCTGAGTAAATTCTCGATTGATAATTTGATTGATAGTAAAGTTATAAGAAATTGAGTTTTAGGCTTAATGCGAATTATGTAATAGCTTTCTATAGTGTTCATTAACTTTTTCTAATAAATATGTCTGTTCAAGATTGAAACAGATGACTATAAGTTAAAAAATATTTTTCATCATTTTTCCAATGCTCACTTTAATATTATTTGTTTTGGGGATCTATTTCATAACACAGATAATAAAGAAAGGTAAAGATTAATATGCATACATATTTGGAGTGGTTGTTTGTATTCCTTCATTTTGTATGTTGACTTACTTATTTGTAACTATGTTGATTGATGCAGTGAGAGTGAAATTTGTAAATACTTGGACTATTTTAAGCCAGGATAACAGAAATGATACTGATGCAAGCATTAAACCATTAAGAGTAAGGGCCAGATCATAATCCCTTCCTTAAATTTACCCAGAACAAACAACTTAAGAATAGCATTTCGGAAAAACTATCTTCAAATATATAACAAGATAATAAATGATATGACCATTGATAAATTAGATTTTAAGGGTATTTGTTATTTAACATATTTAATAATAACTTATTTGATAATATATATATATTTTCATTTGTCTTTTATGTTTTTATTCTTTTAAAAAATATACTTCCCATAGAACATTTAATCATTTAACTAATATTGAACGATATCTTAGTTATTGATAATCAACACTTTGGGCTTTTTTGATTTCTAGATATATTGCTTATTTAGTTGATTAGAATTCAAATCCACATTATTATTAATATAAACAAGTAGTTTTCTTGAATGTTTACTCATAAAAAGTTCTGAGGAAAATAATACAGTAACAAGAAATTAAATTTAGGTTATTCATGATACATTAACCCAGACATAATTTAAATTAATTTTCATAATTAATGCTTTTAACTTTTTTTCAATTACTCTGGTGCTGTTCCTCACTTATGTTATAATTTGTTGAAGATGACAGAGCCAAATGTTTAGATGGTACCTAAGGAGTATTTTTGCTAATCAAATATAGTCTTATTACTTTCAAAAGGGATCTGGAGAAGGGTAGAATAAATTTATTGTATTTTTCGAGGGAGGAGAGTAAGTATAAGTAATTATAGAAGGCTTATTTTAGGAAATACAGAAGAAGAATATTTAATGAATGCTGTAGAAAAGTTTAAATATGAATTTAATTAAGGATGCAAACCTAACAGGGAAGTTCATTAAATAGAGCTAGTGCATTTGAATTTGATGGAGTGCTATCCTAAGATAAACAAGAAAATTACTATTTCCATACATGGAATTTAATCCATATAAATTATTGCGATGGGGTTGGTACAGATAATATATATGCTTGTAGGTTTTTAAGGTTATAAATCGGATTAAGTTAATTATTAATAGCATTTTTTATATTTCAGAGGTGAATTAATAATAAGAAGCATTTTTGACCATTTTATGACTAAATTTTAAAGAGCTGAAATAATAATATTATCTGGTTGTTCAATCGGAGGAGTGGCAGCACTATAATGGGAATAGTATTTAACATCAAGGGTTCCAGAAAATATACCAATTTTATTTGTCCCAGATTCAAGCATATTATTCGATATGCAATCCATTGATGGAAATAATTTATTATAATAATCATTGAAGATTATGAATTACATTGCTGATGATGAAACCTAAGTTCCTCATAGCAAATGTGCATACAACTATCCAAATCAGAATTGGAAATGTTTGTATTTCTAAAATTTAATAAATTTTATTTAACGACCAGTATTTATTATTCAACCCTTTTACGACGAAAACTTTCTATACAACTATCTCGACATCAAATGCATAAAAGATTAAACATTGGAAAATTGTTAAAATAGTGAAATGGATTTTATTGAATTGGTTTATTCAAAATTTAATCAAATAATTAAAGAATCACTTATTCAAAATTCAAATATTGGCTCTTTTGTTCCTAGTTGCATTTCAAATTGGTAAATTTTTATGTTAAATCTAGTTTATTTGTAAGTTAATTATCATTTTCTCGAAGTTGGACGATCCCTGAAGGTTCAAATAGGACAGCCTATCAAACTCTAGTCAAATGGGTAGAAAAACAAAAATTAAACTAAAATTATCAAGGGGATTTTGGATTGATAGATTAAGTTCCTTGGCCAAAGAATTCTGCCTGTGCTGAATTATCATTACTAAGCTAATTTAAATTGATAAATATTATGTTATAGGTTATTATTATTATTCTTTTTTGATTATTTTTGGTTAATTATTATTTAGTAAGCTTTCATTTTTACATTTTAAGTAATAGCATCACCATATTAATTATAATTTTAATTTTAATATGATATAAATTTAGTTATTCATTTTCTTTTGTTGATAGTTTAAGAATTTGTTTTGATATGAGAAGTTTACTATATAAATTATTACCTTTCTCGTTCGTAACTGTCTTCACTATAACGGTTGGGGGTTCGAGTCCTTTTATGTTAGTTATTTCTCTATTAGTATGAGCCTTAATCATCATATTTATTCGATTTATACAAGTTAAGATACTGATTAGGATTATTCCTATTCGATTATATTTAATAATCTTCTTTTTACTAATACTAAAATTGTTGATATTGACCCTGAGAATTATTATGTGTATCCTAATCAATGTCATTTGGTCTCTACATTCTACTTACAGCAGCAATTGGATTGATTTTGTTAACTCTCTCATTCTGTTCTTGGCGGTACTATTGCTATGTTTAAGGCATTCTTTTATCAAATTATTAATAGAATATGTCATCTTTAGGTATTCTGCTTTTCAATTCTTCTAAATATTATAGTCTTTATTGAAATTGTTATTGTTTCTAAATAGGAAGTTCTTAATTAAATCTTTAAGGAGATTGTGCTTGATAAGAAACATATTATCTTTATTATTATTATTAAACTTCTCTTTGGGATTACTGTTCATTCTTACTATTAACTTATTATCTGGTTGAATTTGATATGTATTGTTGTGCATTTTGACAATTAAACTCTTGAGATGGTTGTTGTTGATACTAAAATTACTATTAGATTGCTTAACTTTAATAATGATATTATCTTTATTGCTATTATTAATAATCTTAAATCTATCCAAATTAGGGATTTTCTTAAATGCCTTCATTTATTCTTTGGTATTTTTATTATTAATTTATTGATTGTTTGTTTTAAGGTATTTTTTATTATTCTTATTGCTGATCGTAGTTATCCCTAGAGAATAATTTTGGTGATAAAATAGATTTACACTATTGATTCTAGTTGTAGTAGTAATTTTTGACTTCCTAATACCTATCTCTTTAATCATTATTATAATATTTAGAAATTGGCTCTTATTAATGTTACTAGTTAATTTAATTATGGTTGCCTCTTTGTAATTCATTTCTCAAATGGTTATCTTAGAGTCGGTTTGGCTAATCTTAGATTGTTATTATTGATTTGCTACAAACCTAATCTAAAGCAGCTCTGTTGTAATATGGATTGTTTGAAAATGGTTCATCATATTTATTATTGCCTTAATAATACTATCTATTATGATCTTCAGTTTCTAAGCAGGTATGTTATTTCCTAGGGTTTTACTAATAATTTTCAATGTTGTTTTGATCTTCATTATAGAGTTGCTTTGTAGTTGAATGATAATTTTTATTTGGAACTCGATTGTGATAATCCCCTTTGGAAAGAGGTTGCTCTCTATAATTAGCCATATTTTTGAAAGTGATTATTTATAAAATTAATCTGTTAAAGAAATAGCAGTTAATAATTTATCAAAAATAAACCTAGGGGTTTTCTGAATAATATGGACTTGGTTCTGAGTACTGGTTCTGACTTGACACATATGAGGATCTTAGTAATGGTTTCTTTAGTTTATGCTCAAAAGATTTTGATAAGAGCAACTATTTGAAATCATAATGAGATGTTCTCCCTATTTTATAAGAAAAGAATTTAACTTGCATTCTGAGAGATATTCTTACTGTATCTTTCAAATTAAGAACTATGTCTTAATTATCTTTATTTAGAATATTAACTCTTTGCTGATTGAATCCTATCACTGATTTTCTATTATTAGTTATTCATAATACGCTGTTCTCAAGATCAATTGATAAGCCTCTATTTCGATTAGTCGACTGACGACTAGTGCTCAACTTAAATTTTTATTTCATTTTCGATTAACTTAAATCCCCTTATCTAATATCAATATCAAGTATCTTGTCGAATAATATTGAGTTGCATTTGTTGATCTCATTGTTTCTCTATATCATAAGGAATCATTATTATTGTTTACTCATATTTATTTTGATATCGACTACAAACTGACAAAAAATATGGTTTATAAGGAGTAGTTGTTTTAACTATCGATTTAGCATTTCTAACACTGTACAAATGTTTATCATATGCCTGTAATTAAGGAATTATTGTACTTCCATTTGAGTTCTCATGTGACAAATTTTACTAGCAGGAGTGTAATTCCACATTATTAATTTAATTTTATAATAGATTCAGAAGAATATAAAAATGATTCCTAAAATTAAAACAACCTGGAAGGAGAATAAACCAAATTAAAGCATCCTTGATTCGAACTCAATATATTTACCCAAAATAAAAGATGTGACTAGCTTTTTTGAAGAATTCCCTTATGTTGAATCACTCTCAAAGGATACATCAATCAACTTACTACATTCTGAGGTATTCCTATCTATAAGCTGAACTATATCCATTTCATAAAATTGGGAATTTTTTTATTTAGATAAATTTCATTTTATGTACTTTATGTAACTTTCAGACTCTGATACAACAACTACATATTAGTGGGGGAAGATTAGATAAAACATAGACAACATGTTTTTAAAGTTTAATTAGTTTTAAGTCTGCTTCTTCACAAACTGGAAATCTAAACAATAATTCATTATTACAATAAACTACTATATCAATATATTAATATAATATATATATAAATAAATTAATTGGTATAAAACATTCTCTATTAGGAAATATTCATGGTCAAAATGACTTTTCACTCCAATTGGCCTATGTAGGCTTCTAAAGTAAAAATTGTGAAGATAAGGTATTTGTGATAAGAAATATTTAAAAATTTACATTTTCTTTGTCTAACCATTTTTCAAACTAATCATAAAGAATTTATTTTTTACTTAAACCATAAACATTTATTGAGGGGGGTTGGTTAGATGCATTAATGAGGTGAAAACAATAAATCAAATTATTATTGAATTCATTTGATTTGGAATGATAATTTATGAAAATGGCCTGGCTATATAAAAAATGGTTTGGTCGATGGTTTAAAATTTATCCATTAAAATTACCACGCAATATAAGCGATTCTTAAAAAAATTAGTCAGTAATAATTCAAGAAGAGAAAGGTAAAGCATAATATAAATATATATATCTAAGTTGTCTGAAGATGATATGAATTGTTATTTGAATTATTATTAAATATAATATTTATGAATCACTTCTAATCTTTTGAAAACAGCAATTTACAAGAAATCGATCCTCTAGCTCTTGATAAAAATCAATCTCTACCTTTAAATACAAAGAATTCTTCCAGAAGAGCCTGGTCTTAGAAAGAAGACAACCAACTCAGGTGTGCAATTAAATTGTACGGCACGAATTGGTTGACTGTCGCTTCAGCTTTATAAAATAGAAATCCTTCTCAATGTGCTTAGAGATGGAAACGGATAAAGCCACAAAATGTAAAATATTTTTTTCACATTAGGAATATAGTAAAAGATAAATATGGACAAAAAAAGAGGATTAATTATTAATGCACTTTGTTTAAATCTATTAAAATAATTGGGTTGAAATAGCCCGAAATATCCCTAATAGAACGAGCAAACAAGTTAGAGAACGATTTGTAAACAAGTTAAATCCCGAAATCAATCAAGAGCCATTCACAGATGCCGAAGACAAGCTTATAATTGAGGGATTCAAGAATTTTGGGTCGAAGTGGTGCAAAATCTCCAAGATGTTACAAGGTAGACCGGTATTATAACAAATATATATATAGGAAAATATAATTAAAAATAGATTTTATTCATATCTTCGAAAGCATTATTTGAAAATTGATAACCCTTACTATGTTATTCCTTAGCCAAATTAAGAATTATCTCATTCGTTTTATCGGGAACACAAAGAAAATAGAGTCAAAAAAATTTAGAAACACAAGAAAGTAATTGTTTCATTTTATTTTGAAGTTTTCAAAAATAACTAATTCTAGGGCTATCAAAAAATAATAAAAAAGTTAATCCATCTAATTTAAATCCAATCTCGATGACCAAGATTAAATAGAAAACTAAATACCTTATTAAGCATCAAATAAACAAGAAAAATAAGAAAAATTACAATGCAGAGTACAAGATCAACAGGAATCGTTAAATCTAGTAAAAACTGAAGAGCCATTAGAAAATGAGTAGGAGGCAAAACTTCAGAAAGAAAAATTAGAATATTTCTCATCTAATTTTTAACCACATTCTTTTCCCTAAATTAATATATAACCACCTTACAACCTAATATATTGTTATAGTCCTTAATTGAGTATGCCATTTATTCCTTAATATTTTATGACTACCCCTTTAATTCAATACGGAATGGCGAGTTAAGAAACTTTGCTTTCGAGATCTTAGGAAATCTAATCAAAGAATTCAAGTTGATGATTTCCATATTTTACAAATTATGCAAAATTAATATAATTATTTCTTGAAATCCAATGGTTATTTCCATAAGTTAAACAGTCGAAACATAATTTATATATAATTTTTAAATGAAAAAATCCATTTTGTCAATCAAGTTTAGATTATTTTATAAAAGAATGTTATTTATATAATATTAGAAATAAATATCAAATATTAATGGCAATTTTTGTTTTATGTAATTTTATAATGAAACTATATCAAGTTATCAAACTAAACTTATCCATCATTTCAATAAATTCACTATAATCAATCTATTAATATAATTTGCTTATTTACTTCTCCATCTCCATTTTTGTCAGCTTCCCTAATCATGTCATCCCAATATTTTTCATCTATGACTTTCTCACTCTCTATAATTTATAGTTTATGTTTAATTACTTCCCAAAACTGTTTAGAGCTCTTACTTATCAATTTTACCACTCCCATCTAAATCTAACATCTTAAAAGCTTGGTACAGTTTTTCTTCCTTCATATACAATGACTTTTCCATTGTGGCAGCCAAAAATTCTATTCCATAGCCAAAATAAGATACCAGTATAATTGATAGTTCCATTTCCATCAGTATCAATACTCTTTATAATATTAGCCAAATCCTTCTACTAAGAATCAGTTACTCCAGTTAAACCTTCTCTCAGTTCATCAATAGTCAATACACCATCTCCATTTTTATCCAATTATTTAAATAATCTAGTTTTAGAATACTATTAAAATTTACTTGCCCAAATCAGTAATTTCTTATTCGTTTAATTGAGATGCAATAAAAGTCAACGCAACTTTTTTCAATTTATTGCTTCCATTAAAATTCTTTAATTAAGCAAAGTTTAGTTTTAATTCTAAAGATAATAGCATAAAATTATAACATTTAGTCGGCTTATTTGACTCTATCATCCATTTGTGTTTGAGAACCTATGAAGCCTTGTATCTCATGCTAGGTTGGGTAATCATATGTCGAATAAGATCTTTGGCTGATTCACTTACAGCTTTGAGTTCTGGAATGTCAGTTGTATACTCTCCTTTTTGTACTGCATCCAAAATCTCAGGATCTGAGTCTCCATAGAAAGGTGGGACTCCAGATAATAAGATATAAAGGATGACACCTGCACTCCAAATGTCACACAATTCATCATAACTCCCTTTTAAAACTTCTGGGGATATGTAATAAGGGGTTCCAGCCTTAGTTTTCATTGTCAGTTTTTATCCAGTTTGCTTTGAAGTGACAGGATCTTCAAATAAGGTACTCAATCCGAAATCTATAACTTTAATCGGTGAGTCATCAGCCTTGGTTAAAAATAAGAAGTTTTCGGGTTTTAGATCTCTGTGACAAATGCTATTGGAATGACAATAATTCAAAGCCTAATTTCCAAATGATAAAATTATTACTTGCATAATTTATAAAAATATTTCATATGCTTCATACTCACTGAAGCATCCTTTATCCATAATTCTATCGAATAATTCTCCTCCTTCACATAATCTAATAGATATAAAAATGTCGTACTCCATAACAAGATAAACATTTCTTTAATCTTCGAAAGTTTCATATAATTTAATAATATTTGGATGATCAAGCTATCTCAATATATCTATTTCTTTTTTGAATCTATCTGGATTCTTCACTTTGCTCTTTGGGATTACTTTTACTGCCCTCTGATTTTTTGTACCCTTCAATGTAGCTTTTACAACACTTCCATATGTGCCTGAACCAATTACCTATTAAATTCACATAATAATAACTTTTTTTAAATTGATATCATAAAACTGCTCTATTTTACCCTAATGGGAAAGAATAAACCATTATTTTTTAAAAAATACCTCCTCCTAATTCATCTTTAAAAATTAATATAATATATTATTGACATGCAAATTAAAATACAAATTAATATGTCAATAAATGACTATTAAATTATTATCCTAAAGATTCTAACTAGAACTGTAAAATTATATAGAAAAACGCAATAATTTATAAATTAAAATGGTTTATTACACAAATATTTATACTAACAAATATCAACCATTAGAACTTAATTTCTCTATGAATTTACTTCAATATTTCAATTATGATAAGCCAAGACTTCAAATAATTCAGATATTTAAATCAAGTATTTTATATATTAAATAGTCTTTTAAATTCAATACATTGAAAACTAATAAATATAATATAAAATATTGAAGATTTATAATTAAATCACATTTCACTATAAGTTTTTGAGTAATAAAAATGAATATAAAAATTGATATTTACTTTTGAAATTTGTTTAGCAATCATAATTATAGTTGTATACAGTAAAACAACTTCTTTTCATTTAAACTGTTATTAATTAACTACGCCCTACTATTTAAGATCATATATTTATTATCAACAAGAATCTATTGGTTTGATCCCTTTAAATTGATATTGATAATATTTTTAATAAAGAATAGTTTGAATCCTTCCAAAGCAAGATTTCCTCAGAGAAATATACTTATCATGATTCATAAATTGATTTCTTTTTAGTCCCTTTATATGGATAAGCTAATTCAACATATCAACATTATTCAATTCCTCAACAGAGATAGATTTTTTTTGAGATAGAATTCCTGACTCTCCAAGAAATTGATAATTCTTATTCAAATTGGAGTAGTTTAAAAATTAAGTAATGAACATCTTCGAGTGTCTAGAGTGGCTCTAATTTTTAAAGTAATAAACCTTGTTATTATCTGAATATTTTATTTCTAAGAGTTTCACTTAAATTCAACAACCCTTAGATATTTATGGATTAAGATATGAATGCATGAAAACGAGAGGGTGTTCACCATTTCAAATTAAGGTTTTGATAAATTAATAAATCATTATTTAATTAACTCATGAAAGCATTAATTCTTGTAGGAGGATATGGTACTAGATTGAGACCTCTTACATTTAAATGTCCTAAACCGCTCGTTGAATTCGCAAATAAACCAATCCTCATGCATCAGATTGAAGCATTAGTACATCTATCTTAAATCTTTAGGTAAAAGTTGGAGTGTAGGAAATTATTTTAGCCATCAATTACCAACCTGACACCATGAAGGAATAGATCAATAAATTATAGGATCTCTATAAAGTCAAAATCATCTGCTCCTAAGAAACTGAACCTTTGGGAACAGCTGGTCCTATTAGACTTGCCAAAGATCATATTATCAAGGATAATCCTGATGGTTTGTTCTTTGTTCTAAACAGTGACATTATTTGCGAATTTCCACTTGATAAATTGTTGCAATTCCACAAATAGCATAATCATGAAGGGTTTAAAATATTTATATTTATAGAACCATATTCGTCAATGAAGTCGATGATCCATCAAAGTATGGAGTCATCTTGGCTGATGAAACAGGCAGAATCAAGGATTTCATTGAGAAACCCTAAGAATTCATTAGTAACAAGATCAATTCTGGACTCTATCTATTCAATGTGAGCATGATTGATAGGATTCCTGTAATACACATCACAATATCATTAGCTAAAACCAACCTCAATAGAAAGAGAAATCTTCCCAATTATGGCTAAGGAAGGACAACTATATCAATACATTCTGCCAGGATTTTGGAAGGATGTGGGATAACCCAAAGATTACTTGGCAGGCACAGTTCTCATCTTAGAAAGTTATAGAACACATACACCTGATGTCTTGGCAAAGGGGAACAACATAGTCGGAAATGTTTTGGTTGATGCTTCTGCTTAAATTGACCCTAATGCTGTTATAGGACCTAATGTAATTATTGGACCAGATTGCCAAGTTAAGGAGGGAGTCAGATTGAAGAACTGTGTTCTTTTAAAGGGAGTAGTAATCAATGCAAATAGTTGGATCAATGAATCCATTATTGGATGGTCATCAACTATAGGTAAATGGGTTAGGATTGAAGGTGTTTCTGTTTGTGGTGAAGATGTCTAGGTAAAAGATGAGGTCTATATTAATCAAAGTTTTATCTTGCCACATAGAGGTATTACAAGTAACATCTATAACAAAAATACAGTTATAATGTGAAATATTATATTCAAAAATATATTAATGTATTTTAAATGGAACATTACATATAAATATAGAAAATTTTAATTCATTTTGGATACATTTTAAGAATTCTCTCTATTTATTAAACAAAGTATTAACTTATATATGTATATTTATTTATAACTCATACAAGAACAATTCCTATCTCTTCTGGTTTAAGCATGTTGCTTTCTAATTTCCAATTGTACAAATAATAATTTAATTGTCCATCTCCAGGACAAAACATTAATTCCTTAAATTAAGTGTAATAAATATACCTTTAAAAATTTTTCATTATCCATTATATCTAAAGCATTAAAGACATCGTATCCTTCGTTTTTAGCTAAGATTAATGCATCATACATTAACTGTACAATAGGTGTTTAAGTTGCAACATTATAATAGGAATAAGCAGCCTTAAAAGATAGGTTCAAAAATACTTTCAAATGAGTGTATTTAGGATTCTTTATTACTTAACTTGGTAAATTATAAAATGACAAAAAGTCTGTCACTACTCCTTATTCTTTCTCCACTACATAGGTACTAATCACATCTTTTCTAGGGATAAACCAATGTTTCACTTCCTCCTCTGTATATTTAAAATACAACTTGAAATTTCTAAATAGAAAGATTTAATTTTACTTCAAATATTCATTTAATAATTTAGTAACCTACGCCACATCCTTCTTTTTCATTGGTCTAAGTCCAGGAGTCTTTGGTTCTTCAGGTAATTTGTATAATTTTTGTTATCTTGATATTGTCTATCTTGCTGACAATGATGAGAATCCAACTTCGATCAATTTCTTTGCGTTCAAGCTTCTATGATAATATCTGGTCTAAGAAATGGGGGTTGGGACAACAATTCCTGCTGTATATACAGCTTGCCACATATTCTTGATGTGTACTCTTCTAGTAATTTCTTTAATCAAGACAGGAGCTAATCTATTAGCCCTTATTTTTTTATGGACACACAAAAAATTAATTTCTGTCATTTTCACTTTGTTTTGTTCATTTTCAATGTGGAGTGTTACGGGAATACCAGAAATGAATCCAACTAGTTTCTAATTGACTCTTACGCCAATCAACCAATCAGCATATTGTCCAGGTGGTAATAGTGCCCATCTCAAAAAATCTATTGAATAATCGAATCTAAACATATTATCATCGTCCTCAACATAATTCTCCTTCAATAAAGTGTAAACCTAATTATTATTTCAAAATTTCTTACTTATTGAGCTTATTCATCATTTCTCAAATCAACATTAAACCATTCAAATTTGTCAATTAAATTCAGAGGATCTTTTCTGACCTCAGCCAATACTCCTTGTTGAATGGGACCAGGCTGTAATTTATCCATCTCATTTATATTGGGCATAGGTTGAGTTTACCAAAATTGATGAGGTTTGCTTAGTTTGTCAATTAATTATTGGTTGTATTAAGTGTTTTTCTTCACTACCACTTATTATTACTATTATGGTTGGACTTCTATTTCTTCATCACTTGATTCTTATTTTTCTTTTTATTACATATTATATTCAAAAATTAATATATTATTTTTATCATTCCTACAAGGAATTTATATAATAAATTATTTTAATTAATTATTCACATTATGTTTTATAGATTTTTTTAATCTAAATACATGACAACAGTAATTATATAGATACTTTTGGTATTTTTTTATTGCTAATTGATGATCCTGTCATCCTATTGATTTTTTATTATCTTGAGCTATAAGTATAAGATTTGTGCAACATAAACTGTTGTGTATTACTAGATTCATTGACATTTCCTATTCTTTAAAACGATACTCTCGAAATAATCAGTTATTGACATTCGATTCTTTTGGGTTAATTTCAGTTTTATTCGAAATAACATAATTGATTTTTTATACATCAACATCTTAAAAGGATACCTTTTGTTTTCTAATAGTTTTTTGGGGAGTACAGTAAATTTTAATTTTAGAAATGATCATCAAAATATAAGAATAGGGTTTATTAGTTTAATTCAAACCCTTTAATTTGATAATTCGTAGCTATATAAATTATAATTTAATTTAATGTCCTGTTTTGATTTTAATGGTTGAAGTTGTAAGTCTTAAATATCCATTAGAATTGATTTCTCATTAATGATTATAATGTTTCTAAAGAGATCGAAATAGAAAATATCCTATTGCAACTATCGTGCTATTAATAAAATTTAATAGGGAATCTCTATGGGAACAATACAATTATATTAAAATATAGAATTCATTGTTAATATTTTAAAAAATGTAGTTTCAGTGAATGACGGTTTAATATATATCCTGCATCATAATTTAATTATTAATTTTTCTGAAAAAATATTAATGAATATTATTAATCTTTTATAAAAAATTTAATAATTGTTTTATGTATAGAAAGGGTGATTAAAATCTGAATAAATTATAAAATATTAAACTATTAATCAAATCTAATGAGTTAAATTACAAATCTAAGCTAGCAAGCATCATCCTAAATTGGAAGTTCTTCACAAAACTTTCAATTCTAAAAGAATCTAAACATGCTTTAAGTAAAATTTGGGAAATTAATTTTTAGTAAATGCAAACATAAGTTGAGGAAAGTGGAGGGAATTATTATCTATAGCAAGATTAGATTATTGGGGGTGGGATTGAGAAAAATGTAAAATTAGTCCTAAATTCTTAGATTATAAACGAAAGAAAACAAGAACAGGAAGGCACAAAGTTTGGTTGTTCCACTGATTAAAATAGCTAATCTAAAAGATCAAATGGGAATGTATATAGTGCTATTATAATATTAAAATCAGATTTAATCAATGAGATAAGATTCGGAAATGGAGTACGATAGTACCTAAGGAAGTGAAATGCAGACCCAAAGTCAATAGTAGCAACATGCTTAATCATCCTCGGTAATTCTTTGATTCTTAAGGTAGAGCTCTTAATAAACGAGCTATCAAACCCAAACAATAGTAACAAAAACGATAACAACATTGCATCAAGTCTAGCAATCCGGAGCTGAGGGATAAGTATATATCATTCAATACAAATAGCCTGACGTTGCTGAATATGAAATGATGAATGGTTAAGGTGGAATGGAGGGGGAATCCTACGAGGGTGCATATGGAGTATTTATATATATTAATCAATATTATAGTTGTATAAGTATGGTGGTTACAATCTATAGGCTGATCATGCTAAACTTGGTGGAGGATTGATGTTAAATAAATATAATTTTTCTGATGCTTCCTTAAAGGTTATTATAAATTAATTAGAAATTAGGAAAAACAATTTAAGAGTTCAGCTGGTAAAGTTTAGTTGGCATGTGAAGCTGCAATGGCTGCTGCCTTAAGAAGACAAGACGAAGCAGCAGCTGCAGCAGGAGGTATGGCAAGTTGGGAATTATAACTGAAGGCCATGGCAGAATTAAAGGCCTAATATCAATTATCAGCCAAAATTACAATTAAATAGAAATCCTTTTTAATGTATGGTTTTGGGTTTAGAGGCAAAGAGGGAAAACCTTAAAAGTGTGATGATGAAGATCTTTCAAAAAGGAAATGTGATGATGAGGAATTAAATAAATAAAAGTGTGATGATGAAGAAATCAACAAAAACAAATGTGATGATGTTGAATAGGAGAAACCTAAAGAAGGTTTGAATTTCGCTGTTTGCGAAGCTGAATGTATAGAAAAACCTAAGAAAAAACAACCAGAAGATTTGACAAATGCTCCATGTGATCCGGATGAATTCACAAAAAAAAAGAAACCTGAAGAACCAGAAGAGAAACCCTGTGATCCAGAGGAATTCACAAAAAAGAAGAAACCTTAAGATCCAGAAGACCCAGAGGAAAAGCCTTGTGATCCAGAAGAATTCTTTAAAAAGAAAAAACCATAAGGTCCAGAAGAGAGACCTTGTGATGCAGAAGAATTCACTAAAAAGAAGAAGCCTGAAAATCCTGAAGAAAAACCATGTGACCCAGAAGAATTTACAAAAAAGAAGAAACCTTCTTCCGAATAATAGATATATTTCCCAGTAGATTTAAGTAAAAGCAAGAACACTCCTCGAATTTAATCCCCTGATTGTTTTTTTAAACCTAGAAGTGAAGATTTCATTAGATTAATGCCAAGAAGTCCATAATAAATAGTTTATCCCGTTAGTTCTGTGTAAAGTATTATTTTGCCAAAATTCGTAACTTGTGAACCTGTTCAAGTATATTTTCATCTAAATTTAAATTTAGGTTGCAAAATAACCAATCATAACATAATGTTTAAGTGCTAGACAACCACTTATCATCTAAGAAGAACCTGCACCTGTTATTCTATAAGGAGTATAATTTGGAACTCCAAAACCCTTGAGACCTAACGAATCATATGTGGCTGTTTAACCTGTGTAAAAATAACTGGTTGCAGCCCAACCCTAAGTTATCTAATAATAAGCTGTTATCTAACCTATCATTTAATAATAAGTTGTGTAAGTATAAGAAATGTAACCATTATAATAAGTTATCATGGTCCAACCTACTCAAAAGGTTGAAACCTATTCACAAAAACATATTTAAGTCCAATAACCTCATTTGATTGGTCAACCTGTTTAATTGGCAGCCTAATAGCCACAGTATACAACTACTTAGACAGTTTAAATAATGACTTAATAACCAAATTTAGTCGTTGCTTAACCTTAATAAGTAACCTAAGTTGCCCAACCAATAGTTGTTATGTAGGGAATCTAGTAAGAGATAATTTCTTCTCCAACCATGCAATAATAATAAATAGTCACAAATGCTAAATTCATATAATAAGATGCATTGTCACCCATTAGATAAAAACAAATAGTCTAATAACCTTAAGTAGTGTTGTAACCAACATAATAACAATAAACAATATTAGTTCAAACCTAGCCAATATTATAACAAAATGTCCCAATGCAATAATCTGTTTTACAAATACAACCATAATAAACTATTTAATAAGTCTAATAATTCCCATAAGTAAATTATCAACATAATTCGCTTTAGGTTACATCCCCTTTGAGACAATAATCTGCTGTTTTATAGCCTCAATTACAATACACAACCTAACCAGTTGAACTTTTGCAATGCAGATAATCTCCAATTGGTTAAAAATAATTCAAATTTCAAGCAGCCCTTCATAAAGTATGAGAATTTATAATAGATCATATATTTATTCAAATATAATCAATATCTTATTTTGTCAGACACATTTTATAGAAACTTAATAAATTTATTTATTATGTTTATTATTATAATTAATGATTCAATAATCAGAATAGCAACTAACCAATAAAATCAATGTAATAATTTATGGAAAATGTGATTCTGGTAAAACTGAATTATTGAAGGCTTTAAAAAAAGAAAATTAAAAATTTAATAATTAATTATATCAAGAAGATTCAGATGAGGAGATAGATGAAGAAGAAGCTATGGATAAATTCGAATGTGATTTATATTCTTCTTAAGTTACTCGTTGTTCATTTAGCTTAGAGAATTATAATATTTATTTTGAAGAGTCAAAAAACTTTTATTCTGATTTACTATTGAAAGCATCAAATTTTGAAGTTTTAATGTTTCTATTCAATGCCTAAAAAGGAATCTTTGAAAGTCAAATAGACAATAGTTTCTTTTTTAATTTTGATGCTTTGAAATTGCTTAAATAAAATTACAAAGTCATTTTTGCTATCACCAATATGAACAGTTGCAATTGGAGCAAAGAGAGATTCGATTTTATCAAAGATACATTATAATCCTTAATTTCGAATTTATAATATACCATAATTCCTATTGATTCTAAGTCATTCACTAATATAACTAAAATAGAATGTTAATGGTATTAAGGTAAGTCTTTGACTGAAGAGATTCTATCCACTAAATTAAATAATTTTCAAGATATTTTGAGGATTAGAGTCTTAGATATATCAAAAAGATGTAATTCAGCTTATGAATGTAAAGTTTTAAGTGGACAATTAAAATAAATAGAAAATCCATTAAATTTGAACTCAACATTGTAAAAAACTAGTGTTTAAGTTATTGGAATAATGGATTCGATAGATAATGTATAATCCAATATTTCTTAAAATGATTTGATATAAGTAAGGCTACTTTACTTACTAATTTTAGATCTTAGTAGATGAAAATACAAGACTGAAAGTTGGAGATATTTTATCACTTCCACATTATACGTCTTGCTTTCTTAGTAAAGAGTTGCTGGTGGATATTTAATTAGAGAGTCAAAAACAATCATCAATAATTATAACTAGCGGATATAAAGGATATTTAAATATTTATGGTATTCAAACTCCTTTCGAAGTTATAAATGTTGAATATATAAATATAGACGGTAAAAAATAAACTTAAGATTACTTAAAATCCAAGTAATCAGGAGGACTTAAAATTAAGGTAGATTCTTACTAAATATGAAAGCTTCCAGAACCAGTTTGTTTAGAAAAATTTAATGTATGCTTTGAATTAGGGCATTTTCTGATCTTAAACATTGATTAGTATAATTTACTATTATATTAGATAAATTATAGGGTCTGGCAATGTAATTAAACTAAAACCATTATGATAGAAATTTTATGTATATAAAAAATTAGTAAATTTAATTATTTAATACTTTATATAGCTAAGCGTTGGGAAAATTACTACAATAATCGTAATATAATTAATAAGCTAATATTTTTTATCTAACTCACTTTTTTTCATCAAATTATGCTTCTTACTTTAAATCTTTTATTGCTTCCTCCAAATTTTATTTCATTTTTTCTTATTACTATTTCTTATCTTTATTATTTTCTTATTTTTTTTCTTTTTTATCATTTTTATCGTAAATATCATCTTTAAATTGAATATTAAATTACCCCAATCATCTCCATTCAACCCTCTAACCATGTCCATTTAATTTATAAAATTATATATCAATATCCTGAAATAAAAATATAATTAGATACAAACCATATTGAGTTGGGAATTAATATTACAAACTTCGAGATTTAATTACACCAAAGAATAATTGATTAAGGCTTGAATTAATATCAAAGTCGTTGTAATTGATATCAGATATATGATATAATATGTTTAATTATGTAAATCATTTATTTTAATCTTTATTATCCTCTTATTTTAGAGCTTGCTAAATAATGTTTTGCATTTATTTATTCGCTTGATCATCAGTCTTTTCTCTTTCATTTTTTTTAATCTGGTTCTAGTTTTAATTTTAATTAGCTTTAGGCAAACCAACTATATAATAAATATTGTTGTATACAAAAATCATCTCCATTTTTACCTCTGATCATATTCATTTTTTATAGATTTATTTATAATTTAAAAATTATTATCAGAAATCATGGATGATCAAATTTAAAGGTTTCTTAATTAATGATTCCTTCAACTTTAATCAAAATTATATTAATATGATACTTCTTTTATGAGTAAGTAGATCTTCCAATTAGAATTGAAGAAATTAATTATTTGGAAACTAAGAAATTACTTTATTAATGGTTTAATTAATTGAAGGTTGTAGGAACATTGAGTTGATAATCCATTTTTTATGATTAAATGTTTACATCATTTTATATCATTTAGAATTTATCCGTTGGTCATTATGTAAATATAAATTCAAATTTATTAATATAACTAATGAATTATAAATCACGCGACGCCCCATCCTTTTTGAATAAATATCTGTAAAGAGATATAAACCCTAAGCGACCTTTTGAGAGTTAAAACAAATCTTACTAAAAATATGATGTGTCTCCATTAATAAAACAACCTGTAAGAAAAACATTAGAGTTAAATTTCTCAAGTTTGGAAGAACAATCACTTAAAAAATAAGCAGTCTTGCCTAACTATGAACCAACAAAATGCTCATCAGGTCGAAATGGAATAATTAGAGCTTATGCTGCTAATACAAATTAAGGAATTGTGAGAGATTATAATGAAGATAGAGTTTCTATAATTTTGAATATAGTAAAACCATAAAATAGAGCAACAGAAAATTGGCCGAAATGTTCATTTTTTGGAGTTTATGATGGACATGGAGGAGCAGCTTGTGCTGACTTTTTAAGAGATACTTTACATTAATTTGTAATAAAAGAACCTGAATTTCCATGGAATCCTGTAGGAGCAATAAAAAAAGGATTTGAAGCAGCCGAAAATCATTTTTTAGCATATGCATTAGATCAATATTCAAAAGGAATCCAAGAAAGAAGTGGTTCTTGTGCCATAGTTTGTTTAATTGTTGGAGATGTTTGCTATGTTGCCAATGTTGGAGATAGTAGAGCTGTACTAAGTTCTCAAAAAGGGAAAAGAGTGACAAATTTATCAATTGATCATAAACCAGAAACAGAAGCAGAGAGAATCCAGAGAGGAGGAGGAAAAATATATCAAACTTAAGGAGTTAATGAAGAAGGAAATTAAGTTACAGGACCAGTTAGAGTTATGCCAGGAAGGTTATCAGTTTCAAGGACTTTTGGAGACATTGAAGCTAAATTTGAATAATTTGGTGGAAATTCAAAAGTTGTGATATCTGAACCAGATGTCAAAATATTCAAAATTAATTAAGATCATGATTTCATCGTTTTGGGATGTAATTAATTTCAGCTTATGTTTAGGTGATGGAATCTTTGATAAAATGTCATCTGGAGATGTAGTTAATATAATTTGGCAAGATATTTAAAATAATACAAAATCTAACTTACATTCAATATTATCTACTGCTGTTGATTCAGTTTTGAAAGAAGCAATCTATAAAAAAAGTAGTGATAATGTTACTTTATTGATTGTTGCTTTTTAAATAAATACATAAAAAGAAGAATAGAAAGAAATTAAATACACATATAGTAATTCTGTTGAAAGAATTGAAGATTCCTTCCATATTCATAGTAGACCAAGGATAAGGTAATTTTTTGATTTATTTTAATTAGCCAACAAATTACCAAAAGGAATGATGAAAATTTCTCTTAATTTAGTAGTCTAAATTATTGCAATCAAGCTGTCTCTATGCATAATAGTAATAAATCTGCTTTAGTTCAAAATTTTCAGAATAGACTTTTAAAATAACAATAATAAAATAAAAAGTCCTGTTTGGATGAAGTAACAAATAAAATAAAAACTAGTTATATCATTTGATAATAATTAATTAATACACCATTAAATTAAAATCATAATCATCTTATTAATCTTATTTATGAATTACACATATATTGAATCTTTTAGATTATATTTCCATGATCAAACAGTTCAATGAAATTATTATTCAAATCTTATTAAATTATCTATTTTATTATATTTTCCTTTATAAAACATAATTGCTGACTTATTTTGCTAAAAACCATAATTATCTAATTTTGACTCCGAAATGTTTTAATATTGGATATCTTTGATATTATTCAAGTGAGATTTAAACTTTAAATCAACTTTTTTCATAATCAGAATTTCAAATAAAAAGAATAGAATTGGAGATTGAAGAAATGCAATTTCTGATTCTAATTGTTCAAAATCTGATGCTTTTATAATAAATTCTAGGCCTATTAAATAAATCAGGCTTATTAATATAGCCTAAATATATAGACAAACTAGATGCAGAAAATCGGAAATGATATTAGAGTAAGAAATTAACTAAGAAATTTATTATCTAACTTTTAAAGAATCAAAGTAAACTTCAACATTTAATTCTTGAAAAAACAAATTAATAGAAGTAAAGGATGATGAAATGAAGGAATAAATATGATAATTAGATGAAATTATATAAAGGTTAATAGAGATTTCCTAGAAAAGTTTAATTAAAGTGAGAAGAGAGAATAAGTTAAAGCAAAATGAAAAAGAAATGATTTGATTTTTTAAGGGGGTTGATTGCCAATTTAAAAAGGATAATTATGATTAATTATAGAAAGGGATAGTTTAAAACATAAAATTTTATATAAAGTAACTAATATATCAAGAAATTCTCAGATATTTATAAGTAAGTCTTTTTTATGGAACTTAAATTTAGTTGTTGAAATTATATAAATTACAGGTTTACTCACAACTAAGTTGAATATATTTAATTTGATGAAAGTATGATTAGAGTTTTGATATGTGTATATATCCCTTGTCAAATATAGCATTATAAATGATTCTAGAATATTACTAAATAAAAATTAAAATAATAAATCAGTCCATTATATATTAATTATAATATATAAAAAAAAGTGCTTAGATGCATTATTCCTACACTTAAACTAAGAATCAAATATTAAGTTATTTAGGAATTCTTTGATAAAACCGATAATTATGAATGCATAAAAATTAGCATCAACTAATCAAGATTATTGCAATAAGAGGAAGATATGTATCAGATCTAATATTTATTGAATTTATAATATGCAATTATAATGGTGTTATCATTTTAGCTTTAACATTAGAAAGAAATGTATTTTATAAAATTAAGTTTATATAAGTATACTGATGTTTATTAATTGTGAATTTTCACTTTTTCAATTAAAATAGTTTAAAATTATATAAGACTTAATTGGAAAGGAGATGTTTTCAACTAACTTCATCTTATTTGTATCTATTATAGTTAATAATTGATTAATATACATAATTCATAAATAATTGATTAGAAATCCCTAACTTTAATATTAATTCATGATGAATCAGTTAAATAGGTAATTGTTAAGGCTTAAGTAGCTATATTAGAGAGGATGAAACTTTAAACTATTTGCTAATATTATATATAAATGAATTATTATTGTGATTATTTAAATATCAATTTCCATTTTCATCTGCTAATCTTGGAGTTGGATGAACTTATTCAATTTCAAGTTAAAGTGGATTATCTAATATGGTAGTTGATACTTCTAATGATTGAGCTGGGATTAGATCACTAAGTTATTAGATCAAATTGGCTCTAATTTGATTTTTAACTTCTACATCCTACTCTATTCTCCATTATTCAAGAATTTCGAATCCAATCTAATGAAGAGTTTCGAAAACCTATCTAGCAAACTCATCCTCTGGTTATGGAGGAGGAGGAGGAGGTGGATGAGGATGTGGGTGATGCTCTCTTTAGACTACATTAATGGGTTCAGCAGGTCCAGAAGCAACTTCTGTGGGAATTAGAACTTCAGCAACAGGCAACAAGTTTTCTAAATTTCCAATTAAAACAGCTCTGATCTCATTTTTAAGTGATGGGTCTTCAGTGATGTTCCATTCGTCTAAAATCACTTTTCCAGTTTTTCTTAAATTCTAGAATACTTGTCTTGGGAATTCATCTTAAGGTCTATGAGGTCGTGGATGATCTTTATCATTATTTTTTTGGTCTCTAATATGGAACCTACCTCCTCTTGGTCCTTCTCTAGGTCCTTCTCTTTATGCTTCTCTAGGTCCTTCTCTTTATACTTCTCTTGGTCCTTCTCTACCTTGTCTTTGTTCTTCTCTTGGTCCTCCTCTAGGTCCTCTTCTAGGTCCTCCTCTAGGTCCTCTTCTTTCAAATTTATGTCCTTTTTCAGTGTGATAATTTCTTCTATCTTCATATTCCTAGGACTCAGATTCACTATCTGAACTACTATCACTAGATGAACTACTAGATTCACTATCATATTCTATATATTCCTCGTATATGTCAGAAGAAGAATATGAATCTTCACTGTCGTATAAGGTATAGTATTGATCACTGTTGTATAAGGGATAGTATTGATCACTGTCGTATAGAGTATACTTATCGTCACTATCGTCACTTTCGTAAAGGGTATACTTATCTTCACTATTGTAAAGTGTATAATATCCATCTGCACTTTCATAAACTACGTATTCTTCTTCACCTAAATTTGAATAAGTTCCTTATCTTTCTGAGTACTGATCTCTGTGATGACCATGTTCCTTTCGGTCTGATCCTCTTAGACTTGCAGCAACTATTGCTACTAATAAAGCTGTTAAAAGAATATTTTTCATTAAATATATTAAATGATCTCATCAACTTTTTCGATTAAAAGGCCATGTTATTCCATATTGTTGATCTATTATATAGAATAGTTTCATAAATTCAATATAATGTTTAACTACTAAATGAACTGTTAAAAAATGTTGATCAATAGGTTCAATGCAACTCTTACTTAAATAACATAGTTTTCAGGATTATTTTGAAGAATTTAAAATACTATCAGAGTAATTTAGATGAATAAAGTTAGAATGGATTTTTAAATATGGAGATTGAAAGAAAGAAAAGACCGATGTTTGAAAAGTAAGAGAATGTTATTTTTATTAGGATAACGAATATAATGGATACAACAAATACATGCATACAACAAATTCATTTCAATAATTTTGGCAAGATTTCTTCTGATTTTCCCTTTATTTAATAAGTGTTTCCAACTTCAATTATAGGTTCTGGGTTAATTTCAATTATGGTGGCCTTTTTCTTTATAAACTAGCAAACAGTTGATTTAGCACATCCAGTTTCAAGCATTGTGCCAACTACAATGATGGTATCATAGGCATCATACTTATCCTATAATTCCTGAATTCTGCAATTTTCATTAGTATAGGATTCATCGAAAAATAAAATATGAGGTCTTGCATCTTCCCCACATTTTGGACATTTCGGTCTTAAATTCTTAGTGAGATCTGGCATTTCATAGAGAGTGGCTAACTCATCTTTTTCTAAGGTGCATTCTTGGGAACATCTCATGTATTTGATATTACCATGGATTTCATAGATGGATTCAAAATGACCATTTTTAATTTATTTTTGTGGTAAAATAGAGGTGAGCATATTGTCAATGTTTTATGACACAATTAAAGTATTTGGATTCTTCTTTTTATAATTTGCAATTGCTGTATGTCCAGCATTCGGTTTTTTATTAATTAACATCTTTTGAAAGTCTTTATGCCATTCCCAACATAAATCTGGATTGTTAGTTAAAAAATCTTTTGTTAATACTTTTTGACATTGATATTTATCTGCTCCTTTAGTCCAATATCCATCTTCACCTCTGAATGTAGGAATGCCACTTGCATGACTTAAACCTGCTCCACATAATATTAAGACATTTTTGGTCAACAATTTTTATGCTTATTCAACAGTTACTTGTTTAGCAGTTTTAGGATTTTATTCATCCGCCTTAATACTATTTGCACCCATAGATTTTCCGATATTCTCTAGTAACTTATCCATAGCATCACTGAACTATTTCTTAAAATTATCTATGTTTTCAACAGTCTATCTAGCTTGTGCTTTGGCTTCATCTAAATTTTTGAATGTAATCTCTAAACTTTCTAAAGTTTGCCTTGACCTTTCCTCAGTTTCTCTTATTTCTTTTTATATTCTTTCATATTACTCCTATTCAATTGCTCTTTTTTTTTCATATTCTCCCCAATCAAATTTTTAGTATTATTTCTATTCTTAATTGTCCATGTTTTTTAAATTTAATAATTCTTCCTTCACAATAATATAATTTTTAAGTTAAAGGCCACAAGCAGAAATGAACAGTATCTGATGAATACCATAGTTGATTAAATAATCACAATAATGAGTAAATCATCTAAAAGATTTTAATTCTGGATCCTTTAATGAGTACAAAACTTATAATATCGATTTGTAGTCTTAATTTTCTATCTAAAAATTATTAAAATAATTTTAATGAATTATCTATATATTGATGGGTTTTTTTATATTAATTACTGATTGAGCTTACGTCTCAAATAATTTAACTTAACCTCTCTTTTAGGAATGATTTAAATATCAATTTCTCGGTGTTTTTTGAAAATCTTGATTAAGGGATGACTATGAACATTTTCATTATTTCATTTTTATTGTAAATTTTTGATCACTGAATGTATTGTATTGCGAGTTTCTAAAAGTAAGTTAACAATTCAAATACGCATGTATTAATTTTACTTTAAAACTATTAGTATTTTCCTTTGGTCTTGCGTTATCAATTGATTACATGCAATGAGTATTCTTTGAAAAGCAAAAATGATAATTTAATTAGAAGCTTTAATTTTTAAATGAATCCTCTCTTCAGTATTAGAAACAAATTATTTATAATTTTAATTTATCAACCAAATGGCTATTGAATCCTATGATTTTTTAGTGAGTGAAATACGAGTCTCTTTAGATGTACAGTATTTGAGTTATCTTAGAAAGGTGATGAAATTAAGAAACTTATCCTTGAAGAAAATTTATCAGAGATTAAGAGAGCTTAAATTATATTAACCAAAGGGCAACAAAGATAGAAATTGGCTGTATGATATTGTCACAATAAATAGATTTACTCCAATTTAGGCAGACTGTTGAAAGAGGGTTTCAATTAATTATATATAGTGGTTCAAGCAGATCTTATGGAATAAAGCGAAGAACTTATCGTAGCTGCTGGAATTTCTCTCAAGAATATAAAATGCTATAGCAAAGAACTGATGCCTCTGGTGCTTCATTTCATTTAATTATACAATATGAAATATGCGGATGCGTGGATACCGACCTTTGGAAATCTTATTCATTAATTCAATTATAAAGACTATTAAGATCACATTGAGAAAATAATCATTGAAATGTCGACTCCTCGACAACCCGAAGTGGGAAGATTGATTGGGGCTATGTTGATAATTTAAGTAGCTAACTTACTCGGTGATAAGATTCAAGGACCCTTATTGGACAGAGTGAGATAACTATGCAACGATAATGACAGCGAGGTCAGATCCATAATAGCTGGGGATGTCTTTTCTTGCCTGATCGAAAGGCTGAGTCCTTGTCTTATTCATTAATATTTGCAAGACAAATTCCTACCACTCATATATGACAATAGTCCATAAGTAAAAAAATAGATGATTCAAACTTTGTTTCTGCATTACCAGAAGCTTAATGCTATTGAGTGTGTTGTAATATTTTCTATCTGATTATAAGTTTAATGCTACTCAGATGTTTATAGATTGCTTATCCACTTAGAATGAGGATGTTCTTTCTACATCTCTGGCATATTGTGGTGTTGCTTTCCTTGCTATAAAGGATTAAGTGAATTTAGAATTTAAATAAAACCTGATTAATTTATTTGTGAAATTTGGATAGCATCAGAGTCAAATCATCAGATACTATTATTTGTACAATTTACCAGGTTTTCTCACTTTAATCAAAGATGTCCAATTGAACTGCTAATTGATCTAGCCATTTTGTATCATCGTCGACGAGGATGAAGAGGAAAATAGGATTTTTGCTTGTTCAATCTTGCACGAAATGATCAAACCCTTTGATGTAAACAAAATTTATAATTAAGTATAGCTTCATTTAAACTTAAATATTTTTTATAATAACAAATGTTGTGGGTACTGAAAACTTGAAGATGATCCTGCAAATTCAATTCGCCAAAATCATTGAAACCCTATTAAATGAGGGATATCTTGCATCCTTAGATAAAATTGTAATATATCCTATTTATATATATGTAGCAAAAATAATTTAAAACTATTTTCTAAGATTTTGCAAAACTATTCGAAAAATGTCATGGAAATTATAAAACCAATGAACAATTTCTAACTTAAGTCCGACATTTTATGAGATTTGTTAAGCCAAGGTAGTTTGTAAAATACTATTTACCAATTCTGTACAAATAACAAACATGCAATTAAAATGAAAGCATAGCCATGGAGATTTTAGCCCATTTCTTTTTCACCTGTCAAGATTATGAGATCCAATAAAATATCAAGGATACGATGAATTAATAATTTTACAAGGGAAGTTCCAATAAAAAAATCAAGTATTTGTGGTTCATTAATGCTTTGCCAAAATATATAAGCAAAAAGTAGTTCAATTATCTAAATGTAAGTATAATAACCATTATTTAAGTTTAACATATTTGTCAACTTATATGCAGATAAAATTGTAGACGTTGTAATACATTTAATTAAAATATTGCCACATGTCGTCCATTATTTAATCGATCAGAGTCAATATAAATTGTTGAAAAGTTTAAAGGGAACAACGATAGAGAAATTAGTTGATGAAATGATCGTTGCAATAGAGTCAAACCAAATACATGTAGATGAAGTTAAAGAGAAGAAATTGCAGGAGAAAGAGGATAAGGTTTAATAAGATTACTTAAATTCTTTAAAAGCTAATAAATAATGTGACTCTTCTCAGAGCATTGATAGCAATTCTAAGTACAAGAAAAGGCCAGCCCCGAAATTGGCAGCATAAACTGCTAAAAAACAGTAAAGCACTTCGTAAATGAGGTATGTCTAGATCTGTATGATAAACTAGAATTGGAGTTAAGGACAATACGTCATAACCTTCAAGTAGGAGTCAAGATAGAAGCACTAACTAGGTAGTGGCAAGACAGTAGATTGAAATATAGAAGTTTAAAAGCAGACCAAGTGGATTTAATAAATTTTGAAAGATAGCATAAATTTTATTTAAAATATATTTATTTATAATTACATTTGGCAATAGTAGAAATGAGTCGATAAATTTATGTAGGAAGATTGGGATCTAAAATAAGGCGGGAAGATTTGTAGCAGGAGTTTGAGAAGTATGGGAAGATAAAGGATATTGATCTACGAAGCACACATGCCTTCATTGAATTTGAAGCTTCAGATGAGGCTAAGTAGGCAATATCATAAATGGACGGGCGAAGGATAGGTGGTGATCGTGTCACTGTTAAACAAAGAGGTAGGATGACATTTGATCGTGTGATGATAAGATGATCGACCTTCAGGTGTAAGAGGACCAACAGCCAGAGATGTGTGTTTCAATTGTGGACGCAAAGGCCATTGGGCAAATGAATGCAAGGAAGGTTTGAGTTATCATCATAAATCAAGGCGATTTGCGAGAAACATGCTACAGATGTTACAAGAAAGGCCACATCAAAAAGGAATGTCCTATGTCAAGAACTCCGAGCGATGCTAAAAGGTAATGTATGTTACAAAAGAATTAAGATAAAGAAGAGATAGAAAAAGAAGAAGATCATCCTCTTCATCCAAATCTTCTTCTTCTTCATCAAAATCTAGAAGAAGAAGTAGGAATTTCAAAAAAAACAGATAAAATAGAAGATAATCCAGGAAATCATCAAGTGAAAGTAGAAAATCCAACTCATCATAAACATCAAGAAGTTCCAGGTAATTAATAACCCCAATATCATAGTAAAAATTCATGATAAAATGCATAAATTATAAATAATTATATATATGTTAAATAATATTCTGCAGTTTTTAATAGATTATTAGAGAAATAAAGAAGATCTGAATACATTTCTATATTATTTTATAGGATACAATATTCAATATTTTACAAAATTACTTTAGATTATTCAATTGATCCTCTAAATTTATTAATTTTACATCTATAAAAATTATCATCACACCTACAATCCAATAATATTCTGAGTATTATTACCATTTATCCTTAGAATAACTGATTCTGACTACATATATTTTTAATTAAGTGTCTCCTCTATGAAGTATATTTTATAACCTTTTATTTCAAAGGATTATTATGATTGACAGATACATTCAATCTTTAAAAAGACTTGGTTATTAATCGTAACTGTTTGAAATACTTAGAATGATTCTTAGATAGAGGTTGTAATTTGATTGATAAAATTTTAATTTCGATATACATGTATAAGCTATTTAGGAAAATTTTAACTGGATTGTTCAGGCTATTAGCAATTATTAGATGTCTCAGATCAACTATAGTTCAGTACGTTGCATTCAATCCACCAGAAGTAGGTTATTTGATAAGAAACAGAAATGAAGTGATTAAGACACTTACTCTGTCTCCTTTGCATGAAGAAAGATCTAGGACTTTGGATGAACCACATTCACCTTTAATTCAAGCAAAATAGCCCACAAGACAGTCACATCAATTAACTAAGGAACATCTTTCTCTGATTTCTCCAAAAATAAAATACTACAACACTCTGTAAAGTGTAGAATATAAGTAACAATTAAGAAACCCAAAGAATTAAGAGTATGAACAATATAATACCTAAGTTAATATCCCTCACAAGAGTTTAATTTTATAAGCAATGAATTGAAAGCTATGGAGATTGATAATAATCCTGGATTGCCTATTTCTAGTTATGTGTTGGAGTCCTAGTCTGGCAATTTGATTGCGTCTATTTATATTGAATTTTAAAACAGTGAATAGATTATTCTCTATAGTCATGGCAATTCTACAGATATCGGTTTGATGTTTGATACATATGTTGATATCGTCATGGAGTGTAAAATCAACCTATTCTCCTATGACTACTCAGGCTATGGATAAAGCACTGGCTACCCCACTGATATAAACTTACTCTATGACATTGAATCCGCCTATATCTTTTTAGTTGATCAATTGCAATTTGAACCAAGGAATATCATAATCTATGGCTACAGTATTGGATCTGGACCAAGCACCAACTTAGCCTCCAGACATGAGGTGGGAGGCTTGATCATTCATTCTGGTTTGTCAAGCGGACTCAGAGTGATTGACCCTACCATTGATCACACATCGTACAATGATATATTTCCTAATCTTGATTACATAGTTGATGTGACAGCCCCAGTTTACTTACTTCATGGAGGAGCTGATTCTATGATTAATGTTGTCCATGCTGAATAATTGGCTTAGAAGGCAAAACATTTATTCTCTGTTTGGCTAGTGGAACATGGAGGCCATGGAGACATTGAATCTTAATGGAAGGAATTGTATTTCAAGAGATTATTGAGATTTCTGCAATGTATATTTAACGTTATTTTAGATTGTTAAACCGCTTATGTTATGAAATCACATTAATTATTAAGCAAAAGAACAACTCAGCATATTTATGATGAATGTAACTTTGAAAAAGAATCCTTCTATTTAAGTCTATTAGAAATGTGAAAATATAAATGGTATTCAAAATGAAACAATGTTTAATATATATATATTATCATAATTATATATATTCTAAATATCAAATTGATTTAAGAATATAACTAATATCAAAACATAAACAGAATCTGAAATATTTCATTGTATAAAATATCATAACATCATCATCTTTTATTATTCAGATTTATGTAACAGGATTAGAAATATTTAATGATTGACTTAATACTTTTAGTAAAATATTTTCTGTTTATAATTTGTAAATATTGTGGATAAAAACACTCGAATAATAATAATAGCTGCATTGTTCTCATAAATTATCAAGATAATATCAAAGACTAGGATTTCAAAAAGTTTTAGCTAATAATAATTTAAAAGAAAAGCAATTCAAATTAGTTACAAAAAACTCTATCTTCTATTTTTATCCAAAAATGATTTTCATTTAACTGAGAAATTTTAATTAAATATATCAAGCGAAGAAGAAAAAATATTTCTGTATTTATTAAGAACTCATAAATATTGAAAAAGAAATAATGGAACATGAAATAGCGCAGTTTATCAGACCGTCTATAATCTGCAAATAATGTTCTATTGATATTATAATATCAGGATCTTCTTTAAAAACCTAAAATAATCAATCAAAAAATATAAATTGAGTTGAATTTAAAGAAACAGTTAATTAGTCACTGAGGCCAGTATAAATTTAAAGTTCTGTTAAGGCGGCTTCCACTATTAAAATATTAATTCTAATCGTAAAGATAATTTTGAAGAAGAAATTCTTTTTATTTAAATAGGAAATGCAAAATCTTCTTTAATGATATTTAGACTATTAATTATGTATGAAAAACACTCAGAGGTCAAGTACCTCAAAATAGTTCACATATCATTCATAATGAATGTAATTAATGAGTGAATTCCGAAGCCAACTCCACTGAACTGACACTTCGTTTAAGTCTCAGCAGTGTGAATCGAAAGTGTCACACACTATCCACATCCTTAATTTCATGAAAATCTCATCAATTCTATCCAGATATTTGATTAATTATTTACAAAACTTTGATATAAATTTTAAAAATGTTTTATAATATTATGTGATCTCATCAAACTTAATTAAATATAATTTTTCTAAATGCTTTTTACTATATTTATCATCTTAAAGTTATCCTTATGTGATTGGAGATTGATTTATAGCAACTTTTACTCTGAAAGCATCAATACAGCAAATGATTGGGATTTTAAATAAAATTGCTCAGTTAATTAAATACAAGGATCATCAATAAAATAATGCGGCACTAACCCTTTAGATTTTTTGAGGTTAAAGGATGATAGAACAAAATTAGAAAAACAATTTTACTATCCTCATTACTAAGTTAGACTATTAACAGATGTTATTTATTTTAGATCTCTTCCAGGAGTGGATTCCTAATTTAATATATTTTTAGTAGACAGTTTTAGTTCAACTTCCATATTTTAGAGACAATACTAATAGAATGATTTATAAAAATATGATAATGTTTGTTAGTACAATTGTGGAGGAGGTGGTGGTGGTGGTGGATGTAGTAATGTGGATGATAAAAGAGTGGAAATTAAAACAGTAGCTTTAGACTCGATAATTCATCATACACCTACCTTCAACATATCATATTGTTATATGTATTAGGATTCTGATATGAGAATTGGGTTAAGAAATATATTGCTATATGTGAAACCATGTCATTTTTCATGTTTGTCCTGTTCTGGAAGCACAAGTTCGGATTGCTTAACTTGTTATTAAGGAACGCTTTAAGGGGGATTATGTCTTTGTAATGAAGCCAACTCATATGTATCGCTACTAACGGGATGTACACAAGAATGCAATCGAGATTATTATTTAGCAGATACTTTGAAATACTGTTAATTTGATCCAAGTATATAATTAATTAATTAATAACTTAGGAATAAAATCAAAAGTAAGTTATTTTACATCGAATTCACTATCAAATGGAAACCTATTACCTTACGACCCATGGACGTTTATACCTGATCCATTTTACTTGAGAAATTAATAAATGTTATTATCCTGTGGTGGAACAGATCTCATAGGAAAATTTTACAATTATGAAGGAATTTAACTAGAGTTAGCTTAAAATAAAGCATTGAAGTTTATTCGAATAAGAGTATCTTTTTATTTTAACGGTTGGCAACCAGATTCCTAATTAATTATTACAGCGGATTCTTTTTCAAGAGCTACTATTCTAAAAACAACTACCAATTATACTTACACCTAATCAAGTTTGTCATATTTTAGCACCCTGAGTTGTTCTGGTCTCAATTATGATTTAGTGAGAATAGAGACAGTCCTTAAAACCTATACTTATAATCCAGTAATAAAATTTCAAGCAATAACAGGGTTAACGTCTGAAACCTGGGCTTTCAGAAATGTTACTATTGATTATGGATTGTGTTAAAGTAATTGCACAAGTTGTGAAACTTATTCACGATGCCAGATATGTGATTCTGGTTATTAATTATACAGAGGTACATGTGTAAGCAGTTGTCCAATATACTCAATTTTGTTAACTAATGGAACTTGCTAAGATTATGAAGATCTAATTGAAAGTAAAGATAATTCATATTTCAAGATAGTCGATATTTAATTAAAGCATTTTATGATATGAATACAACACTGGAGAATCTGGGAGATATTGTGGATAATTTTACAGATTTGAGCAATGTTATTCAAACTTCATTCACTGGTTAAATATATTCATTTGTTCCATAAAAATCAGTATTAGGAGGTGTGCTAGTTTGGAAATCAGGAAAGTTTAAGAAATCGTTTTATTCGCTTCGTCCTCACTATTAAGTAAGTTATAGGCTGAATTTCACTTATGGGGATGAGAATACAGGATGGTTTAAATACAAATTTCATTCGTTCTAATCAGCTTCAATAACAAACCCGAATACTGGAACATATAATTCAGTTGGAGGTAATAAGAAGGAGACAACAAAGTATTACGAAATCATTTAACAATCTCATACAAGCAGTTAGTTAGACATAGAATTATCAGCAGATACAAATCAAGGTAATTTACAAGATGCCTTCATGTACGTTTCAGAATACTTCGTGGTTGTTCACTATGTATCAAATCAAAATATTATTAGTGTGCTCCCTTTTGTAGTGGTCTTTGTCATGGACCATAAATAGGAGATTGCGATTCTGTATACACTGGACATAATACTACAAATTATTGTGCTTCAAATGAATATTTGAATTTTGACACTAGCACTTAAGTCTATTCTTGTTTAACTTGCTCTTTGTTAGGATGTATCGAATGCTAAAGTTCAACAGTATGTACTAGATGTGAATTCACTAGTACAAACCAATTTAATTTGGACTAGGGCTAATGCCAATGCTATCCTTCAGCTTTTTTGTCAGGTACATAATGCATTTGTAAAAATAATTATTTATTAATAAGAATGTGATAATTATTGTGAAAGTTGCTTTGGATCTAATAGTAATGAGTGTTAAAGTTGTGTCACTGATTTTCATAGATCAATATTTGAATTTGAATGCAAATGCATAGATGGATATTATGATGATGGATATAATCTATAATGTTTGCCAATATGTGGTGATTAATAAATAGTAGATGGTGAAGATTGTGATGATGGTAATAGTAATCCTTTTGATGGTTGTGATTAATGCCAATTTTCATGTTAAGAAGAATGCTCCTATTGTTAAAGAGGTAAATGTTACGAGTGTAAAGATAACTACATTTTGATACAACCTATTTATTACTGTATAAATAATTGTGGAGATTAAATTGTCGTGGGAATTGAAGCATGTGATGATGGAAATATATATCCAAATGACGGTTGTTATGATTGTTAATTTCAGTGTTATGAGCATTGCACAAATTGTTATTTTGGAATCTGTTTGGAATGTGATTAAGAGAATGGATGGTATTTGACTGGAAGTAATTGCGAATCAGTTTGTGGAGACAATATAATTGTTTACGGGCAAGAAGAATGCGATGATGGTAATTTCAATCCCTTCGATTTATGTGATTCCTGTGTTTTAAGTTGTGCAGAGTATTGTGATCTCTGCACTGATGGTAAATGTTAGAAATGTAAGAGTGGATTTTAATATATTGCATCAACTTAATAATGTATACCTATTTGTGGAGATTTCAAAGTTGTTGGATATGAAAATTGTGATGATAACAACTTTGTCATATTTGATGGGTGTTATCAATGCTAATTTAAATGTTAGGATTCCTGTACAAATTGTTTGAATGGATAATGTTATGAGTGCAATACCAAAGGGTGGATATTAAACTTATCAACTTTAACTTGCGAGTCAGTTCTTGATGATAATATTAATATTATTTCTGATGAATAATGCGATGATGGTAATATTGTACCCATGGATGGATGTTTTTAATAGTAATATGAATGCTAAGATTCATGTATTTAATGCTATTTAGGATACTGTTTAGCATGTTAATCAAATTGGCAATTAGATATGTTATCTCACTCTTGCTATCCTATTTGTGGAGATGGAATGACAGTAGGCAATGAAGTTTGTGAGGATTCTAATTCTTCAATTTATGATGGATGTTATTAATGTTAAATTTAATGTGATTAAAATTGTTAGATTTGTGATTTCTCTGTTTGCTAAGTTTGTTAATTAGGCTTTACTTTAATTAATAATCGCTGCGTAGAAGTGTGTGGTGATGGAATTGTAGTAGAATAAGAGGAATGTGATGATCAAATTAATGATTTGGATTAATTATGTAATCAATGTAAATATACATGTAATGTTGGTTGCAAAGTCTGTGGGTAGGGTACTTGTGAGCTATGTGAAGATGGATATTTACTATAAGACTTTTAATGTTAATCAATATGTGGAGACAGGATAATCAGTGGATCTGAATAGTGTGATGATGGCAATTCAGATCCTCTTGATGGTTGTGATTAATGTTAATTGCAATGTCAATAAGAGTGTTTAGATTGTTAATTTGGCAGATACTATGATTGCAAAGTAGAATATTTAGTTGATAATTATTAATGCGTTGATCTGTGTGGAAATGAATAAATTTCTAAGAATGAATAATGTGACGATGGAAACTTAGAACCATTTGATGGATGCTATAGTTGTTTATTTTCATGTGACTAAAATTGTTAAGTTTGTTAATCAGGATACTGTCTACAATGTAAAAATGTTCAATGGCAAATCAATCCTATTGATTTTACATGTTAACCATTTTGCGGAGATAAATATGTTGTTGGTTCAGAATAATGTGATGATGGCAATGATGTTAGATATGATGGGTGTTATGAATGTTATTTTGAATGTTAAAATTCTTGTATTAGCTGTGTTGAAGGGGAATGTTAGGAATGTGATGTTGGATGGGATTTAATAAATAAATTATGCACTCCGATTTGTGGAGATCTTCTGATTGTTGGAAATGAGTAATGTGAAGATGGCAATGATATACAATATGATGGGTGTTATGACTGTTAATTTCAATGTTAAGATGAATGCACATTGTGTAACAAAGGAGTTTGCTAAGCTTGTGATACATTAGGATGGACTTTGATTCATAACTAATGTTTTCCGCTTTGTGGAGATGGAATAGTTATATCGCCTTTTGAGTAATGTGATGATGGAAATTAGTAATAATTCGATGGTTGCTATGATTGCAATTTTTAATGTTAGGAAATTTGTGGTGAGTGTATAGATGGAAAATGTTATAAATGCAATGAATTAGGATGGTTAGTAGAGAAATTCATTTGTGTTCCTTATTGTGGAGATGGATTGATAGTTGGAAATGAATAATGTGACGATGGAGCATTGGTTTCAAATTCTTGTATTAATTGTAAATTGTATTGCGATTCATATTGTATTGATTGTAATAATGGCATATGTAATTCGTGTGATGTTGGGAGATATCTGGATAATAATTTATGTTTACCTTTATGTGGGGATGGTTTGTATGTGCATGAAGGCTGTGATGATGGAAACCTTGAAAACGGTGATGGATGTTCTGATACTTGCATGGTTGAAAAAGATTGGGTTTGCATCAATACAATGTTTATGATTAGTAACTGTTTTTATTCGGTTTCACCTTAAATGAAACTAGAATTATTAACTCAATCTCCAGACAATGTTGAAAAAGTCTTAATTACCTTCAATTAGCCCATGGTCCTTAAATATAATGAGAGTTTTGACGCAAATCATTATTTTTAGGGGAATATCTCAAACTTAGTATTTGAATAATACTTAATTGAATTTAATTTCACAGTTTAACCAGAATATTAAACTGCATAAACTATTTCAGTATAAGCTACTGTCACATTTTATGAGAACATTGAAGATCCTATTTTAATTGTTATTCTCAACGAAACAGCCATTGTTTCAGAATATTAAACCGTTGTAAATGAAAATGAAAAAGAACTTAAGTTAAAAACTCCTATTGTTATTTCTTAGGGTTTGTTAGAATCATCTTAAAGTGCTAAATCTTTTACAAATACTATAATATATTTTATGGTTGCTTTGTCAGCTCTGTGTATATTGACTGGCTCTTTTGAAATGTTTTGGAATCTGATGGACTTACTACAATATTTATCATACATCAAATATGTAAATATCCAATTTCCTACTAATTTAAACATCTATTTTGAAGTTTTTAAATTGATATCTATATAGCCAATAATGGATGCCACTGGTATCAGTGCTATTTTTGGTTTATTAGATGGTAATGAAGATTAGGTAGTGTAAACATCTGAAAAATTTCTTGCAGACAATATAAATGGCTATTTTTATACAAATTTTTAAAGTTCTATCTTCTGTTTCATAGGCCTATATCTTGGCTTCTTTATCGCAAAATTTATGACATAATTGTTATATAGGATTGGTCCATATCATATATCCTTAACAGGTTACTATGTAGGAAAAGTCATCTATGTTGTGAGAAACTTACTTAAATAAAGCAAACAGGAGTTTTATTATAATGGAATACTTCGAATGGTTATGTCAAATTACTATGACATAAGCTTTTCCGTTTTTATTCAACTTGTTAACTTCAATACAACATCAGTAATTTTGAGCATTAATTCCTACGCTGCCCTAATTGTTTTTGGTCTGTAGATGGCATTTTTCGCCTATATGCTAACTAAACAAATCTCCTTTTCCAAAGAAATCACTACATCAAAAAAGGAGTAATATTCAGCCCTTTTCGATGGAATTGCTGAATCATAAAATATTTGGGTAACACAATACAATACAATTCTACTACTGAAAAAATAAATTTTTATTTTTTTAATTGTTTACATGGAATATAATGGAACTTTGTAAGCAATTGTAATTGCATTTAGCTAAACAATATTTTTAATTTATGTATGCAAATTAAAACCTTTGAGTAACTTATATGAGTATTATAAAATATTGGTGGCTGATTCCTTCTTAGCCTTCAACACATTGCTCTTTTTAGCATATGCATACAGAATTTAACTTAATCTGTCTGTTGATGATTACTTATTAATAGGCTGGTTTCATATTGCAAGTTTCAGTTTTATCCTAGTGTTTTCCCTTTTATGCGACTTAAAAAATTAGGCTGCTCAGATCTATAAAAAAATAGTGGCTCTTATAACAGTTAAAGTACCTGTGTAGAACCAAGGAGCCACTGTGATATTTTATTGAAGTAATTTTTTTTATTTCGCTTTTTTATTTTAAATACATCAATATGGATAAATTAAATATGCATAATTACACATGAGAAATCTTGTGATTATTTATATCTTAATAAGAGAGATATACTAATTTGTTAGATTTTTATATTTATATATTTGGAAAATGATACTGTTTAATATCAAGATGTATCATTGGTCTCATCTTCTTCAATTATCTCACCTAATACAGTTAAATATATACCTTCCTCTTGTTGATACTCTTCTCCATCTTCACCCTCTCCTTCGCCTTCCTCTTCCAATTAATTAGGATCAATTCCAAACAAGTGCAAGTTTTACTAGATAACTTAATGTTAATGATACACTAAATATTTCTCTGAATTGATTATTTTCATTTGCCAATTTTTCATTCTCCTCCATAATTACTTATTTTTCATCTAACATATGCTAATACAGTTATTTGAAATTGTCAATCAATTCCTCAAGTTTTTTGATTTCTAAATCCTTCTGTTCTATTTATTGAATGATTTCCTCTTTGTCCCCATCTTCTCCATCATTTTAGTTGCCTTCTCCTTTTTCTAATTGTTTTTGCAATTACTCAATAATCTAATCTTTCATATTGATATCATTTGCCATTTCTTCCATTTTCGCCTAAATATCTTCTAGATTGTAATTCTAAAATTCTTAAGCAATCTCATCAATTTATTATTGCTTCTCATTAATAGTCTATTCCATTTCTTGCATTTATTTTTCATATTATTTTTTTTGTTAATCTAATTTCTTTTGAGTTTAGGTTTCAGCATTCTTTAATTGATCTTTCAACTTTTTAACATCCTCAGTCAACTGCTAAGTTTTCTTCTTTTCTTCAGCTCCTTCCTTCTTTAAATCATTCAGTTTTTTCTCGAGATCCTATTAGGATGCCTTGCTACAGAAATAGATTCATAAGATTTACATTTTCTTCTCAACCTCTCTGTTAAGGGAATTTAATTAATCTTAAGCTTATTTAAGTTCTTTCTTAAGTTGTTAACATGTATCTTGCTCTTCTTTTAATTGATTGTTTAAGGAACCTTTTTAATCCTAATTAACATAATTTTGAAATGGATTACAGAGTTTTTTTATGAACTATTGTATTGTTCCTCTTCTTTTTAATCATACCTTGGCTTGTTGTTTGATCTTGTGCCAGAGAAATTAATCTCCTTGGCAGCAGGTTATTGTAGTGGTTTCGCCACATTGGTAACTGGCTTCTAAGTAAATTAGGTTGGTTCTTATTTGGTTGTCGCTGTAAATTTAAATTGCCCCTAAGGTTATTATGACTGTTAAGGTTATTATTTTTTTTGAGCATTTTGAGTATTTTCAAATTTATTTCCCAAGTTTGTTTAGCCAGCTGATTGTGGAGCTTTTTAATACATTTCTACAATATCTCAAATTTGCACTTTTACCTTAATAAGGAATGATTTCTGTCTTATGTAGTTGACTAATAGGTCCTTATCTATTATGCACTTGTGAGTCACAACTGTAGCATAATCTGACAACCTAGCCAATTTTACACTATTGACATTTTATTGTTGCTGGTCTTTGATTACATTATAAACATTTAACAAAGAGGGAGCTCATCCAAATTTGAATTAATAAAATTTAATGATATTTTTAATACTCCAAACTGATTTGACAAAATATACTTAAAAAAGTTAACTAACCCAAAAATATACTAAGATTTTCCATTTCAGCAATTGACAATCTCAAAATATTATCAGAACTCAATCAATAACTAAGTATTCAATAATATGAATCAAATGTGATCAATTAAAATTAATCCTTAAAATGGATCACCTTGAATCTCATGGTTACCTAATTCAAAAATTATGGAACTAGTTTTAGTTCACTTATATTCATTAGCTAATTTGAAATATAATTAAGACATTCATAAGAAAACATAAAGTTAATTAAAAAGTTATTTATAAAATGTAATTGAAAATAATAAGTATGTATTTCTGTTAGAACATAAAGTATAATTTATCAAATGCTTCAAACTATTTGATCATTTTTGAAATTTGCCTAAAAGGATTCTCCAGTAGGCTCTGTTATCTTTGCTTCTCCGTTTAATTTACCTTCCCACCATTCTCCTTCAATGGATCTACCTGTTGCTTAAATAAACTTTCCTAATCCATGTTTTTTATCATTCTTAAAATGTCCTATATTAATTCGATACTATACCTATGTACTTATCTCCATTAGGGTATCTCATTTCTCCTTTCCCGTTCATTAGATTATTTTTCCATTCTCCTCCATAGGTCCTGCCATCACTCCACTTATATTCTCCAATACCATCATAGCGATCTTCAACAAAGTTTCCTTTATATTAAGAATTATCTGAATATTTTACTAAGCCAGACCCATGTTTGCGTCCATTTTTAAACGATCCTTCATAGGTAGTTCCATTCGATTTCTTTTCATAACCTTGACCATTCTGAATATAAAACATACTTACTTATAAATCATCTTCCCATATTCCTGTATAAGTTAACTCCTTTGTAACTAAAGTACCTTCTCCATGAGTCTACCCCAATCGCCATTCTCCTACATAGTATTCTCCATCAGCATAAATGATTCTGCCAAATCCATCATGCTTATTATGACACCAGTGACCTTCGTAGATTGAACCATCGGGATAGTATTGAGTTCCTGCCCCGTTTCGTTTTTATTTATACCATTGACCTTCAAAGATGATTATTGAATGAATGTCTCCATTAGGTTTGTAATTTACGATTTGTATAGGTTGATAAACAGGATACTAGGGATCATAAGTAAGTTTGATAGGGCCAAGCTATTGTCTGATGGATTCTGCTCTTTGATTATCTAATTTGGGGATTTCTTGTAATTTCATAGCGTCTGTTGGTAAATGTTCATCTTCAACTTCATTATTGTTGTACTCATCATTGTCAATATCTTAGCAGACTTCTTCCAATATATATTTCGAATTTTAAACCCCTTTGTCCATTGACTCTGGTGTATAAATGTTTATTGGAATTTGATCAGGCATATAACCATTTTTTGGATTACAACATTATTGCCCCATTTAGTTATAATAAAAATAAATGATAGATATATATATATATTATAATTAATGTAAAAATTAAGGAACATTTATAAGAATTTTTACGAGAATGTTGTAAAAGGAGGTTAGAAGATTGATGCTCCTCCCAAATACAACTTTAAGGGATAGAAACAAGATTTCAAAGATTTCCAAAGAGGTCCTTAGTTGACAAGAGAATAACTAGCTTAAAAGTAATAGCAAATTAAATTTATAGTCAGAAGTTAGATGAGGAATTGAAACCATAATCAAGAGAATTAAGGTTGAAAAATGCCTTTTATTTTTGCATCTATATGGGATGGTTTGCAGGAGTGATATTATTTGTGATGTATAGATTAGGAAGTGATGAAATTGGAGACATGGAAAGATCAGCAAAAGAAAGGTAGCTATTTATTTGAAATTAAGAATTCGTTTACGTGAGAGCTTAAAGAAAGAAAACTAAAGATGATTTAAAATGGCATTCTTAATTTCACAATTCATTATAAGGAATCAAAATTTATTATATAAAATAATTATTATCAATCAGTTGTCATTAATCTCTATTTTAGAATGTTATTTAATTCTCTTAATTTTATATTGATAAATTATCTATCAAATAAGAAATGTAGATCTTTTTATTGAATATCGACATTGATGTTTCTAGCCTATAATTTTAGACTTGAGTGATGATAAGTATCACATAGAGCATTTAGTAAATGGTTACTTGTGAATAATAAAATGAAATAACTTTAATTTAAAGGATATATATTTCAATGTGAATATGATTACTAAAATGATAAAGTATTTGTTGTGTTCGAAGGAATAAGCAATTCTTAAATATTTCACCATATTAATTGTGTTTAAATTAATATAATTTAGCGTAATATATGAACAATATCAGTGATATTGTGTATGAAAACGCATCATTCTAAATGGTTTGCCAAAGTAAGCATAATCAATTAGATATTACATACTTCTTGTATGTTATAGATGACTATTTGATCTTGAGTCAAGTATTTCATGGATAATATTAGTAAAGGAACTTAATTCCTAATAACCGAAATATGTTCTTCAAATCAATCTTTAGTAAAAAATCTACTGGAACCAAGATAAGCAAAAAATAACACAAATGGGGTTTGAATATAGGGAGGAAGTCAAGTATTTCGAAGGAAACTGTGAGGAATTTAAATAGCTAAAGAAATTTCTAAGAAATAGAGTAATGTATAGAGATGTGAGCGATTTCTATTTGCCCATGAAATAATTAGGGAGAGGAGGCTCTTCAAGAGTACTCTATTATTTATAATTCAAAGGTTTACTTAGTAATGGAAAAATGTGACAAACAAGAATTCGCATCCAAAAATGTAGAGAAGAGATATCTAAAAGAAGATGGAGGCTTTGTATAAAATTGTGTTTATAGTCAAATTAGGAAGCGTTGTTTAATGAAATTAATTTGATGGCAGCACTTAATCATGAATATATAGTAAAAATGGAGGAGGTTTATGAAGGAGAGACTACATTTTATATCATTTTAGAATACTTAAAAGGTAATTCCCTTCATGAATTGATTTCAAAAGGAATCATATAATTGGGTTGGGATGAAATTAAGTCTATCTTGTTTGTAATCATTTCAAGTAAATCCTTAGTCAATTTTAACTGCAGTGGCTCACATGCACTCTCTGAATATAATGCATCGAGATTTAAAGCCAGAAAACATCATGTTTAAGAAACCAAACGATATACATGGATTGAGGATAGTAGATTTTGGATTAGCTACATGGCAAACTGCTGCCACCTACCCTTTCCCCAAGTGTGGTACTCCTGGATATGTAGCACCGGAAATAGCCAATCTCAAAGATCTTACATGCAAATATGATAAGATTTGTGATATGTTCAGTGTTGGCTGTATATTCTATAAATTGTACTATTATCCTAACTCTTAGAATCACATCCAAAGATTTGTTTCCAGGGAATGACTATCATGAAATTCTCAAGTTGAACAAGAAATGCATCGTAAACTTAGATACTCTCAGTCTCTATTCAACTCCTTAATCAGCCTTAGATCTAATATCTTAAATGCTCTAGGCTTTGCCCCAATAAAGGATTTCAGCATAATAGGCTTTGAATCATCCCTTTTTTACAGGGTCTTTCATCGATAGAAAAATGAAATTCCAATAATCGAAAAAGCAACTCAACAATAATAGCAAACCTTGGTAAACATCAACCTTCAAAACTGAAAAATCTGATAGACTTTAATTACCAGAAATCAAATAAAAATCTAGATAAAAAGATGATGAAAACCTAGAAGAAGATTCTTCCAGAATTAGAGTTCCAACCTTAAATAGTCCAAGATTAGCATAACATGCAAAAAAAAAAAACTTGGCTCTAAATGAAAATTCCCCAACTGAATTTCCTAAGAAAAGCGCTTTTAAGAAATTCGCAACTTAGGATTTTGATCCATTAACACCTGATACTCAATCACCAGATTCTGGGAGATTGAATTACAGTAATAGTCCTCGACTTATTTAATAAAGTGTAATAAAAAGAAAATTCACTTACTCGAAATTCAATTAATAAAGATAATAAGCCATATATGAAGTTGATGACGAATAGAAGCATTGAATCTAATAATTAATATTTAATCATATCATTATTCATCTTTCTTAATTATTTTTATTTATGCCTGAACATATATCATTAATCAAACCTAATTAATTAGTTTTGAAATATCATAGTTATTTTCATGTTACAATTAAATAAGTTTAGAAGCTTATTCGAATTTCTATAATTAAATGGTAATATATATTATTTGATAAGCAGTCATTAAATAGTAGACTACTCATTTTTCTCATAAGTTAATTTTTATAAAACTATTAATATTAAATTTATGAAAAGGAATTCCAGTAGGATATTAGGTATTTAAATGTATGATACATTAAGAAACGAGGTTACTTAATATAACCAATAATTAAAATACGAAATCACCCTGAAAATTTAGTATTAATAAAATAAGACGCATGCTCATAAATAATATTCAATTTAATATTTTCTTAATATTTAAATATAACAATTGCAAATGGGTACATCAATTTGTGTAAAAGGATCCCAATAACCGTAAGTTGAAGTAAAAACAATTTCATAACGTTCATATAAATTAAATGGACCTCCTCACTTATTCAAACCAACTCCCATTATCAGTATTTTGATAGCTGATGAACAAGTAGAGAAGGAAGAATCTCCGAAAAAGGAATTGATCTAATAATAAAGTCAAAAGTAGTTAGAACAGTAATTCTAATACACAGCTCAACAATCTGAAGAGCTGGATAGTTAACAATAAAACCCATGGATTAAAAAAAACTTTGCTATTGAAGCCACCAATTTATCCAAAGTAAAAAATAGTGATGTAAACAATTCGAACAATGGCAACTTAAATAACTCTTTTGACCAAAAAAACTCATTCATTGAAACCTCCAAGTAAAAACCTATACTTAAAAATAAGAGTGGACAAGACCTTTCTAATGTTTCAATTTCAGCTGGCTCATAAAGGTCCATTAAGAAGGTTTCTTTTGATAAAAAGCAACAGGTTTGGTACACAAAATACAAAAATTGACATCGTATTAAGAATTTTGTTATTAATTTATTTTATTTAAAACCATTATATATATATATAAATCATAAAAATCAAAATAATGAACTAGCTAAATAATTGATGAATAAACAAACTAACCAAATGTTACTTGACAACTTAAACATATCTCAAAATATGATAAATTTAAAATACTTTTCATTCCTTATGACCCCAAACAATCCTAAATTTGCAATATATTAAATAAAATGATAGAAACAAAGTATAATATAACACAAGCCACTGCAAAAGCATGACTTGCCCCGTTTAAAATGCAAATAATAGCAATTGCCAATTGTGGAAATATTTTACTTGTGACACTTAGTGACTTCTTGTAAAATTCTTCTAATTTTGTCTAATTTTTATTTTAAAACATACAGGTGGTTCTCTGCTTTATTAAGTTGTTGATTATAACTATCCAGAATTTTACTCATTCTAATCTACCATATGAATCTCTTGTGCCTCTCCCTATTAGGAAGGAACTTAATATTTAACTGCTGCGTGATTCGAATTCAAATTCTCGATATCTAAATGAATATCCTTTTTCAATCTAAATTTTGCATAAGCAGCAAAAAAGAAGAAAACGAATGTTAAGAGTAGCCAGAAAAACTCAATAATCTTAGCACAAGTTAGAAACTCATCACTCATCTTAAAATTATATAATTATATATAAAATTAACTATAGTAGGTTCTTAATTCTCATTAAATAAAGAATTTATTTGAAAATCATTTCCCATTCTATCCAGTAGTTTTATTAAAAGCAAATCTCCATAAATTCATCTATCAAAATCATTTTTCTATTGAAAAATGTTTATCAACAAAGCGATGAATTTAAAATGAAAGAACGCATTAAATTCTATTTGTTTATTACATCTAATAATTCTTTACAAAAATTCTATCAGTCGATTCCTCTACAATTTAAGATTGCCTTAAAAATAAAATATGAATTCATAAATCATATTTTATCATTTTTTTTCATTATTATTGATATTTTATAAAATGAAAGGTAATGATCGACCAATTAAAATGAATCCATCCGGGAAATATAATCTTGATTTTATAGATTGGAATAACGAATGGGCTGCCGTATACACTAATGGATATCGTCATGACGGAAAGATGGATTGTAACAGTTATAAATTAATTAAGAATGCCCCATTTAGGGAATGTCACTTGAGACCTTTAATAGATTAATTGTAATTGCTTAGCATATAATTTATATAGTCTGATGAATTTGAGAGATTTGAGTTTGAACAAGAGGATCTGAAAAATGAAGAAAATAAATTAGAAGAACAATTTGTAGGATAAATCAAAAAAATGAAAATGGGAAAATCATCTAAGAATTGTTCAATTTGTATTAAGGACTTTGCCAAAGGTACTCATTTCTCATAAAGCCAAAGGTGAAATAATAATGAAATTGCCATGCAATCATATATTTCATGAGGACTGTATAGTTCCTTGGTTTTAAAAGGCCAGCAAATGTCCAAATTGTAAATTTGATGTTAAAGAGCACTTCAAAAGTTAATAATAATGAAATTAAGAATTAGTTTAAATATTTCATCATTCAATAATTGTGATTAAGTTGTTGTTCTCTTTTTTAATGCTCTAAAATACTCCATTTTATTATATAATGATTTAGAAAATAATAATTTTAATAGTTGTATTTATTTTCCAAATGAAAGAGATTTATAAAATATTGCTTATTCGAAAAAGCATATTATTCATCCAATTATGTCTTCCTTTTAAATTTTATTTATGAAAATTGATTAATAAACCATTATTAAAATAAATCAATATTTAAAACTTCTTTATAGTATTACAATTCTTGTTTAAATCTAGTTAATTGTAGTTCATTTAATATTGATATGAAAATATATAATAAAAAGAAAGAGATCCTTTAAAATGATTAGATTATTTATTGATTAAGTTTTAAAATGATTTTAGAAATTATTTATACTTTATAATTAATAACATGCTAAATTTAAAAGAAAGTCAGGATTGGAAAAAAGGGAAAAAGCTTGATTCAGCTACATTGATGCAATTGATTTGCTTTTTTTTGTTATTGGTGAATCACAATTTAAATGGAATGACACAATATTCAGAAGCAAGCATATTTTAAGCTGATTAGTTCCGAATACCAGAAGAACACTCATTTGTAGATGAATACTTTAATTTCGGAGACACTAATAACTTTGCATTTTCTGATATTGATTTTGAGATGAACAAATTGATACCTATTGGTATTTATATCTGCATTATTAAGATAAGAATTCCCCTTTATCGATAATATGGACATGGAGGATTAATTTACTACAGGGTAGCAATAAACATTACAATTCAAACCAATATCAATGTAGTAATAATATGACATTTTATTTGAATTTAAGAGCTCAATCAAAAGTAAAGTGATTGGAGGATCTGATTTATTTTCTAAAGTATTGGATTACGCCAATAAATTGCAATTGAACAAATTTAAGTCAAGTATCTATCTATAAATTATATAAGTCCCTAAAATTAATGATAAAAACTAAAAAAAAGTCAATCACTCTTTTAGAATTAAAGGAAATAAACCCCATAAATTTATGATCTCTAAATTAGAATCATGGGATGTCCATCTAAAATCCATTCGAACACATTTTATGTAAAAGATCTTCAATAAACTCTGGAAAGTACCTACTCAATAGATCCTTAAAGCTCATTGCTTTTCAGGTAAAAGTAGTTAATAAAATAAAATTCAAATAATAGCATATCTATAAAATGAGATTGAATAAATTGAAAAACAGTATTCTGAATTCTAACTCAAACAAGAAATTTACTAAAATATAATCCAAAGAATGATTTTTTGCTTAGATTTAGCAACTTAATTAAATAATCAAGCAGACGATCTTATTTTTGATATCCTTTTTAAAGGATTTATAGCCGAATTATTTCATTATTGATTAATATAATAATATTATAATTAATGAGTTCATTACATTATAACGAAAAATTTAATTTTTAGCAACTTTCGTGAAGAAACTTGTGATCTTCAAAACATTAACGTAAAGACAATTTATTTCTAAAATTTGGATTATAATATTTAAATAAAAATTATACAAAAACTTAAATGAAAAGCTAATATTTAATTCAGTTTCAATTAATATGTTAAACATTGTTATTAATCTTTAAACTGAATCTAATTAAATATTAACATTAATAATAATTTTTGATTGTGATTTTAGATAATCAGTGATTATTCAGGATTTTATAAGAAGAAAAATATATCTTTTTATGTTTATTTAAATAATACATACATTTCTCTGGTGGATTTCTATTTAAATCGATTGATTGAACACTTTTATGAAAATTTTTAAGTTATTTTCTATTCAATAATGAAGAGAATGATAATGTTCTTATTTTATTTTATTTAATATTAGTTTCTTTTAAATTAAAAATTATAACTGATCATATAAAATTCTATTTATTTAAATAAAAAGAACTAATCTCCCAAATACTTTCTAATTCCAGATTTTCTGAAATAAGATAATTATACTAGTTTAAGAAAAATTAGTAAATTGATAATTCTCAAATGGCTTATGCTTAAAGGCTAAAGATCAAACTCTTGTTGTACCCCATCTCTGTTTATAAATTCGATAGTTTAAGAATAGTCATTAAGTGGAATTCTAGGAAAATCATAAGATGATGATGTAATTTATTTTGATACCACCTTGTTTATATTAGTAAGTAAAAGTATTCATTTAATTAATTTTTCTGTTTTGATAACTTTATTCAAATTGGAGCAATTACTCAGGAATATTTATGTTAATTAGAATTACAATTTAATATAAATAATTTGAAATAAAGATAGGTTAAATATATATATATTCTTTAAACTTATATTACAGAGCTCATCATTCGTTTCGCTTTTTTGCTAACACTAGAAAAATTAATGTAAAGTTACTTTTTAATTTAAGTGCTTTTAATTGTTCATCTTCTTCTGAATCTAATTCATCTGGAGACTATTCTTCATCTTCATCTTTTTCCTTTTCTTTTTCTTTTTCCTTCTCTTTTTCCTTTTCTTTATCTTAATCTTTTTCTTTCTCCTTCTATAATTATTAAGTTTTTAGAATTGCTTTTATTTAAGCAATCAAATCCTATTTACTCTATAAAGGCAATTACACTTTCAATTAATCTTTTTCATCATGCAATTATTGTGGCTACTAAACGTCATTAATAACATGTTATGCTTAAGGATTTGGTTCATTATTTGTCTATTCAGCAATAGGTTTTTGGCACAATTAGTCATCCTTTTTTAATTCGTTACCTGTGCTTGATTACTAGATATTATTATTGTTGCTTTTTATATTGTTATTGCAGTCATTTGGTGTCTCAATTTCCATTTTGGATTCAACTTAAGTTCTATCCTATTAGATCACCTATTCTGGATCTTTCGTTTTAGTTTTTTCTGAGACTTCTAATTCTTTTTTATTTTTATCCTTTTTCTTATCTTTTTTTGATTATTTTTTTTCAATTGACTTACTTCTAGATCTACTTCTAATAATATAGTAATTATATAGTTACTTCTTTTTCTTGTCTTTTTTTTCTTTCTTTTTATCCTTATCTTTCTTCTTCTTTTTCTCAGATTTATTCTTTTTATCCTTACTTTTTTTTTCATTAGACCTACTTCTTTTTTTCATGCTTTTCTTATCGACTGGTGATTTTTATTATTCTACTTTAGTATTTTATTGTTATTCTTATTATTATTAGGGGGTTGATTTAATAGCTTCTAATGGCTTTTCAATTTTCTCTGGAATCCCATAAATTTCACTATGTTAAATTACATAAGCTACTCTATTGGCTTTTGCTAGAATTCTTCTTGCCTATCGAAAATCAATCTTTTCGAATTCATATATATTATATATAGTTGCAGCCACTTACTCAATCTAATCCAAAGTAGCTTCTAATAGAATCCACCATGGTTAAGAAGGCATTGAATGATTACAGATCCTCAATGCTAAATACAGAGCTCCTGCTGCAATAACTTAGGGTGGAAAATGTACACATAAATCAGTCATGTATGAGTCGTTCAAGTAACACCATGCCTTTTGAGCTACCTGCTTGTCGACCTTAATAAAATGATAAAATGATTCTATGAACTTGTGCGGATGATCTGAAACTCTAAATAATTCAAACCCAAGTTCCCTAAGTATTAATTTCTCCTATTTTATTATTATGTCCCTATTAAATATCAATATGATTCTTACAACGGAGTCTATTTTTGCTTCTAAAATACAGAGCTAAAAGTACTGGCAATGTACCAAGTTTTCAGCACTGTTTCCTCTACTTTGCCTGCCAAATATATGGAAGCCATTGAAATTTCACGATAATCGTAATCAACAAAAGAATTCCTAACACCTAAAATCATAATTTACTTTGCAAAGAATCTGTGATAAATCACTAAACTTGTAATGGCAGTAGTTAAAGGTAATTTTAAGTGACTGCAGGCTTGAAAACATATTTGAGCTCCATGCATTCTTAGGGCCTATTCATCCTCATAACTAAGACCATCAGCTTGAGTTGGAGTTTGAATATCCATTGGAATATAAATATTTTCATGTCCTTCTGGAGTGATTGTCTCTAATGATAAATCAGAGCTGTGTAAAAATCTCTCTTTTAAACGATGAAATAAATATTTTTTTTCATACTGCTCTTTTGTTAGACCAACACTAGCTTCGATCTTCGAAATTTTTTATCGATCATAACTTTTGGATGACATTATTTAATTTACTTTATTTAATAATTATATTATTAATCCTATTCATTAACTAGAAATAAATAATTAACCATAATTAGGTAACCATAAATTCCAAAATTTACATAAGTGTTGGAACCCCTTAAAATTAATGTAAATTTGAAATTAGTTGAGAATTATCATACAATATTCTTACTAAATGATATCACAATTTTACTTCATAAATTGTTTTTTTGCTTCAAGGCAACTTATTTTGTTCTTGATATTATTTCTATATTTATTGTGGAAATTCCTAATGGTTCTTACTTAGATGTGAAAAACTAAACAGATCTTATACATTATTCAATCCTATTACAACTCATTATATACAAAAATGTTAATATCTATATATAATACTATTGTGATGATTAACAAAAGTGATGTATTATATTATTGATCAAAACTTTTTAGTAGTTACTTTGTGTTTTTACTACCATTATGTTGCTTCATCATATACAGCTGATTGTAATATCTCCTTTTTTAATTCCATTTTATCCCAGGACCAATCAAAAACGGAGTCACAGATAGGCTCATCATCTTTAGAATGCAATCCATCAAAATATGGATGATTCAAACATTATTCAACAGTGTATCTTTAAAAAGGACTAAAGGTCAGCATCTTTGATAAAAGATCTAAGCATGTAGGATTGACTTTTTAGAATAAAGTATTGAAATTCTATTTGGTTCTTTTAGGTAATGATCTAAACATCAAATAATAGATTACTTAATATATTTGATGGCACCTTCATTTGTAATATATTTCATTTCATCATTTGAGGGTGTTCCTAGAACAGCGATGATTCTCTATATTTATTCTAAATAGTCCTTTCCTGGAAAAAGAGGAGTACGTCCAAGAAGTTCTGCAAAAATGCATCCAACACTCCATATGTCGATTGCCTTGGTGTATTCTGAGGCTTAAAGGATTACTTCTGGAGCTCGATACCATCTTGTAACTACATATCTAAGAATATATATTAGAATGATTACTCTGTCTTATTCTCGTCTTCTATTTCAAAACCTCTTGCTAACCCTAAATCGCATATTTTCAAATCACAATTTTTGTTGACTAAAATATTGCTTGGTTTCAAATCTCTATGCATCACATTTGCTGAATGAATGTAGAGCAATCCTCTCAGTGTTTGATACATAAAATATTGGATGTGTTCATCAGTTAATTCTTATCTGGAATAGATGACCCTATGTAAATCGGTTTCCATCAGTTCAGTTATTATGTAGATATCATTATATCCAGTTCTTGATTCTGGTTTCAAAATGTCAACTAAGCTGATAACATTCTCGTGTTAAAAAAACTAAAGTAGCTTGATTTCTCTCACAATTCTTTTTGCGTCTATAAGATCCTCGAATGCATTTTAAATCTAATAATGAAAGCTTTCCATACTTTTTTTATCGCAACCTTTTTATTTTTAACTAAATCAACACCTGAACATACAACTCCATAAGCACCATGTCCTATTTGCTTATGGCATTCATAGCGCTCATCGACAACAAATTGGGTTCCTTAAATTAGTATTATAAATACCCCCAATTTCATATATATTTCTTCCATTGATACTCTTCTTTTTCTGGTGCTTGGTATTTAAGTTAATTTACTATAATGGTTGGGATTTCATAATCAAATTATTAACGGTATTATAAATAATTAAATAATGCAAAATATAATCGATGACATCTATTATATTATTTATAATATTAGAGACCCAGAAATACCGTAAACATTGGGACAATTGGATGTGATCTAAAAAGAATTTATCAACATTGAAGGTTCTAGAATAACCATTTATTGGAAACCTACTGTGAAGCATTGTTCATTTGCTTTATAAATTGCACTTTCCATCAGAGTAAAGCTCTCTCAAGAATTATTAAAGTAAATGTGAATAATAAACTTAAGTTACAAGTCATATAAAATACATATCATAGTTAAAGATAATCTCCACAATTAAAAATCTTAAATAGACAAACAAGTAAATGATAAAGAACGATACTTGGCAGCCATGGAAAATGAATATCTAATGAATTTCATTAATTAATTAATTAATTGAGATATATTACAGAAATGATAACACACAGCATTTAATTTTTATTTTAAGAATAATAAAATTTTATTAATCATGTACCTCTCTTAAAAAACTTAATTACGATTAGCTAACTTAATTACTACTATTGCTGAAGGGGAGAAGAAAACTGAAATTTATAGACAAGTCCTAGCTGAACAAAGTTTGTTTGAACCCTACACGGCATTCAAAAGATTAGATTAATAGAAAGCTGGCGAATTAACTATTTCTGATTTGGGTTATTTTTTAAATGAGAACAAAATAAATGCTTCTGTTGCTTAAGCTGATTATTTATTTAGGAAATTAGATTAGAACAGAGATGGTAGAATCACATATCCAGAGTAAGCTAATGATTATAAAAGTATAGCTTTGTTATGTTCATCCTACCTAAAGAGGATTCTAGGCTGAGGCATATTGTATCACAAAGAGAGCACTACTCTATTAAAACTAATATATTTTTACCAGCTGAAGTCGAATGGGGACTTTCTAAAGTTCTCCACTAAGAAATCTAAAATTATAAGTATTTTTCGTCCTTTTTAGATTAGTTCAATTTCAGCTGCGTAGGAAATTTTGACTGGAAGTGCTGATTTCACATCTCTTGATGCTTTCAGATGCATTGATCAAGTATAATTAGGATATATTACAATTGAAACGTAGGATAATTTATATTACTTTTTAGACTTTAAGATTTCTTGAGATAAAATGGAGTTAGGTTGTCCTTTGATGATTTACTTGCTTTTTTCAGAGTAGTTGATCAAGATGCTGATGGAAAGATCAATTATTCTGAATTATTAGAAGCAATTACTTTTACACCAGATTATTTTTAAAAAGAGAGATAATTGACAGATTAATTAAGAAGGAGTAGAGAAAGAATAATTCAATTGGAAAGAGAAAAGGAAGAATTTAATAATCTCTAAAGAAGCAGAGAGAGAGTTGAAGAGCTGAAGAAAAGTAGAGAATATTTAGAGGAACTTAAGAAAAGTAGAGAAAAAGTTGAATAATTAGAAGAGTTAAGAGATAGTAGGGAAAGATTGGAAGATCTCAAATAAAGTAGAGAAAGATTGGAGTAACTCAAAAATAGTAGAGTAAGATTAGAACAACTCAAAAGTAGTGGAGAAAAAGTATAGGATTTAAAAAATAGCAGTGAATAACTAGAGGATTTAAAAAGAAGTAGAGAAATATTATATGAGTTGAAATCAAGTAGAGAGAGGTTAAATCAATTAGAAGATTTGAAGAAAAGTAGGGAAAGGTTGGAATAAATAGAAGAATTGAAAAAAAGCAGAGAAAGGCAGATTTAGATTGAAGAACTAAGGAAAAGTAGAGAACGTCTCGAAGATCTTAGAAAAAGTAGAGAAAAGCTTATGTAATTGGAATAAGAGAGGAATAATTATGATAAAATGGAGGAGCTGAAAAAATCTAGAGAGAGGATTGAAGAGCTTTAAAAATAAAGAAAAAGGATGGAGGAATAGAGAACTTATTAGGAGAAGTTAGAATAGCAAAAGAAAGAAAGAGCTGAAGTGGATTTGAGAAGGAGCTAGGAAAAATTATCAGAGTTGAAAAAGAGTAGGGAGAGAGTCGATTAATTGGAAGCCTTAAGAAAGAGTAGAGAATAGGAGCGTAATATAGAAGAGATGAGATAAAGTAGAGAAAGAATAGAGTAGCTTAGGGAGTCTCAATTGAGAGTTTAACAATTAGAAAATTAGCGAAGAAGCTTAGAGAGAAGTAGATAATTAGAGAAAATAGAGAGAGATTTAGAGTATGAAAAGAAAAGAAGTTAGGAGAGAATATAGAGATTAGAATTGGAGGCTGAACTTGAAAGAAAAGAGAGAGAGAGAGCCTTAGAAGAGGAGATCAATTTTGTTTAGAGTCGAATTTATGATACACCAAAGAGAAGATATTGAAATAAAATTTAACCCATATAGATTAAACTTAATTATATAATTAATCTATTATATTTTGATGAAATAATAATCAAATATTTTTATAACAATTAAGTTAATAAAATACAATTATAGCCTTCATTTTGCCTTACTGCCGTCTACCCACAAGCCATTTATTACTTCTCCATTTTTGTCTGTAAATTTCCCATATCCATTTTATTTATTTTGTTTCCATTCCCCAACATAAACTGATCCATCAGAATAATGAAATTCTCCTTGTCCATCCTTTTAGTCTTCAACCCAATTGCCTAAGATTATTTGAATCAATCAAAGTACCCTTGTAGTATCTTCCATCTGGAAACCAAAATTCTCCATGGCCATGTATTTTAGTTCCTTTAATTTAACCCCTATATTTTCTTCCATCGTTCCATTTATATTCTCCGTCAACCATTTACCCCTTTTCAAATTGACCTTCAAAGACCACATCAGCCAAAATCAATTTTCCTTTTCCATGTCTTGCTCCATTTGAAAAATCTCCTTCGTATGTTTCTCCATTAGCCAAAACTTCTTTGCCAAATCCGTTCTAAAAATCAATAAGTTTATTTAGGCTTACTTTTAAATCATTTAGAAATCTTCCATCATATACGCCTCCATCTGAGTACCAATATTTTCCTTTTCCGTGTTACTTATCATCCAGCCACTCACCTTCCTTATTAAGTTTAGTTTTTATACATATGTATCTCCATCAGTGAATATCAATCTGCCGTGACCAGATTTAGTCCCTTTATTGAATTGGCCACAGTAATGAGTTCCGTCATCCCAATAGATTTCTCCATAGCCTTAAAACAAGCCATTCTTTAGGCCTCCGACGTAGATTGAACCGTCATCAAATTGGACAGGAGGTGTAACATCTAAACCTTCATTTGTTATGGACGAAGGGATCTGATATTCGCCTAATTTGGCAAGCATTTCTTTCACCAATCCATTGTGTATGACAGGGATTTGAACTTATTGATTTTGAATTTCGATAGTTGGTTTCAGAAGTTGGGTTCTGATTTCCTGATTTGATTTATTTTATTCACTTCTGGGAGGCAGGTTGTCAGCATGTGTGAATATTGGCTTATTGGGGGGATTTCTAATTTCTTTGTTAGTTTCTAAAGTGTCATCTTTACAGCAAGATCCTCCCATATGATATTCGTTAATAAATTATTATATTAATGATTAACATATAGCCAAGGACAAGACAAGAAAGAGTACTTAAATTAAACTGATAATTAGGAAGCGTTGCGAGACAAGGATAGAATAGAGAAGAGTAGGATCGATTTGAGAGGTAATTTAAACATACAATAGTAAAACAGTTGGATTTGAGGCGAGAGGATTGGGGGTTGGAACATTGATTCATCAGGCACCTCCTTAATCTACCTTATATGTTCCAGGTATGGATAGAGTAATTTTAGAAAATGAGCGATTTGACAAAGACTTTGCAGTAGCAGATAAAAAGCAAAGAGAGCACGAGGTTTGGCAGAGAGAAAAGATCATAGAAAGAAAGAGATGGGAGGGGTTGGATAGAGAAACGAGAAAGTGGGATTACTAAGAGAAGGTGGAGACAAAAGATTAAGTAAAACTAATGAGTCACACTCAATAATTAACTCAAGGGAAAAGAAATTCAAATGGGTAAATGAGGAATTTATTGTTTTGTTCAGGCTGGCTTATAATCCAATTACTTTAAAATATGATAACAGTGAATAGGGCAATTTATTGAGACAATATGATGACAAGGCAAAAGTGAGGTAATTTGTGAGGGCACATAATTTGGATGCAAGAGGAAATACTGGGTTTAATATTTTGACTGGAGAATAAAGGGGAGGCGTCGATCAAATAGTGCCCAATCATTTGCGATCTAATTATCAATAGAGACTAAGAGATGTAGATGAACAATAGAATATTAAACACTATGCTATTTAATAATAGTTATTGAATTAATATGAATGATTATGACAACAAAATTAGCAATATATTTTTGTAATATTTGCAAGAGCAGATTATTTCAAGGCAAAATAAAAATATTAAAATACATAAATAGATTTTATGAAAAAATCATCATTATTTTTTTTTCTTCTATTATTATTAAACTTTTTATTTCTTTTAAGGTGGTTTTTCATCTTCATCTTCTTCATCATCATCATCATCTTCTTCCTCATCTTCATCCTCTAAATCATCATCACTATCTTCATCATCATCATCATCTTCATCATCCTACTTTTTCTTAGATACTTTCTATTATTTTTATTTGGTTTGAGTTTATTTCTTTTGTTTTTGTTTATTGTCATCCTCATCTTCTTCTTCATCATCATCACTATCAGGAATTTAGTCTCTTTGTTATAAATAAGCCTAAACATCTATGCTGGAATGTGAAGAGGTTTGGATACCTAAATTATAGTTAGAATTAATTACCATCATCTTCAATTTCTTCGTCTTCCTCCTATTCTGAGTCGACTTCAAATTCGTCGTCATTCTTATCATTACTTTTCTTTTGCTCTTCATTTTTTTTTACTTTTTTTTTGATTTAATCCTCCTCTGAACCTTCTTCGAATTGATTTGTATTCTTTTTAGCGCTCATATTAATTTTTAATATTATTTTTTAATATTCATTTTATAATTTGATTGATTATATATTCTTTTTGTGTGATTCATTAAATTGTCATTTACTCTCCAGCATTAATTTTATTTCTTGGTCATCAGTGACATCTCCAGGAGTAAGATTCCGCTTAGAATATCGATTTAATTTGCTTACCGAGTTCTTGCAATGGGGAGATGCCCCCTTTGATAGCAAATATTATACTAATTTTTTATCTCTTTTAAAAGCCGCATAGTGGAGAAGAGTATCATCCATCTAATTAGAAGATCCATTATTTCATACTTGATTTATTCTTTTGTCAATTGTGAATGTTTAATCAGATAATTTCTATTCTATCAATCTTGTTAACTTTTCGTAATTCTGCATATGCAATTAAACAACCAAGTTATTTGAAGGCAGATTCTACGATTACAACCAAATAATTACCGATTATTCTTATCCCATAGTTTATTAAATTAATTAATGACTAAAATATCATCTAAAGATAAAAATACCTCCCTCTTGTTTATATTTCTCTATTTTGTCTAGGGCATTCCTTTAGGATTATGGTCATCTACACTAATGATGATTCTACTTGAACATGGCGTGCCCTATACAAATTTAGGTATCAATTTGTCAATAGACATTATAGCAATCCTCTCTCTAGCCATATATCCCTTTTCATTTAAAATGCTCACTGCCCCCTTCTTAGATGTTTATTATATCAAATCGATTGGAAAGAGAAGAACATACATTATACCAATTCAATATCTGATGGCAATAATTTATACGCTATTATATTTCACCAAAATCTCAACTTGGGTTTATAATATTGAATTCTTAACATTGATAGGCTTCATTTTGATTTTGCTTTCAGCTCATCAAGATATTGCAATTGATGGTTGGGTTCTCACTGCATTTAGTTCCGAGCATAATCACTTAGGGGCAACTGCCTAAACGGTAGGTTAAATGACAGGAGTCATATTCAGTACAACCATATTCATCACATTAAATTCGAAGGACTTCTGCAATTCATACTTATACACTACTCCTCAAGAAACTGGAATCCTATCATTGGATCTATTTTGTTTGATTAACGCATTGTATTTGGTTGCTCTCACATTGTATGTATAATTTTGTACAACAGAATAATCAAAAGAGGAATCTTAAGAGGAAATTGAGTAATAACAAATCAAAACCGTATTCAAAAATCTTAAGGAATTGGTTTTAAATAGAAATTTACAATTTTTGTTTTTGCATCTCCTAATATTTAGATTGTGTTTTTAACCAATACTAACATCTACTTGTATTATTATTAAATGATGAATAGCCTCCTTACTCATTGCTAAAGGATTGAAAAAAGAAATGATGGCATGGGTCCAAACTATTATGATACCCATAAACTTTATCATAATTGCCATAATTGGAAAGTATGACTAGAGAGGCAATGAGCTTTAGAAATTCTTCCATTACTTGATGTTTAGGATTGGAGAGGCAATTTTGACATACTCTATTTTTAAATTGTTCCCAGACATATTGAGTTATGAATCAATATATTAATATCTCTACTTGGTATAATTATCTCAATTATTCTAGATTATTTTTGGAATCACATCTAGTTTTTTGTCAAACTCTATTTTCATCAATCATGGAAGTTTATTCAATAGGATAAGTGACCCTCAGGTTGGGGCAACCTCCTTGACTTTGATCAACAGCATTCACAACTTGGGAGGAGCAGTAATAATGATAAACAATAGTCATAGATCACAGAGTCGTTGTCGATCCTATCATTGTCATTTCTACCCTATGATGTTGTGGCTTTCTTGACTGTTTGTTTCGGACTTAGTTATTACTTCATACTCAGAAAGCCACTGGTTGTCTTAGCCGAGTAAGATTATACATTTAATACATTTAGATAGAATTAGAAGGTGTGGCAGATATAGAAAAAGTAGCGTGATTGACATTCAGGATGTATATTAAATATTATAATTAAACACAACAAATGACTAAATTTATCTTATAATCTTATTGTTATTTAAATAAAATATAAAATGTCATTAGCAATTGAATAATCTATTGATTACTCTTATATTAGGTTACCATTCGAAGTCATTGTTAAATGTATGAATATTAATGAAGTTTTAGAATTTAAGAGCACACGAAAATAATTGGAACATGATCTCACAATCACCCTAAGTTAAGTAGCTCACATTAATTCCTCAGAGAAGGCTGATTTGGTAATTGAAAGAATTCGTGCAATTTAGAAGGCATTGCATGAAAATTAGGAACATGAAAAACAATATGTGGAATCTTATCTTTAAAGATTAAAATGTGAAGAATGTGGAAATGAATTAAAGTTACAACGATCACTAATCGACAATCTATTAAGGGAAGGCTATTTCAAAACAGCGTAAAAATTGATATAATCCTATTAAATACAAGTATTATAAAAAGTATTATAAAAAGAATCTAACAAGTTTTGAGCAAGAAGTAATTCTAGAGGCTAATACAATTATTAAAGACTTGAAAAATAGATCTATCAAAAATGCTTTTAAATGGTATCAATAGAATTCTAGTAAATTAAAAAAACTGAATAGTTCATTTTAAAATGATTTGGTATTCCAATAGTATATTGAATATTTGAAACAGGATCCTAATATGGCTCTGAATTACATAAGAGATTATCAAATTTACATGAATCAAGAGAGCATACAAAAATGTATGGGATGTTTGTTATTTATAAAATAAAACACTATGCCTCCTCAATACTAATAATATTTCGATGACAAAAGATGGGAGCAGTTGATTAGACAATTTAAATAAGAACTATACGATGTGTACTGTTTTCCAAAGGAATCCCCTCTATTAAGCTTTTTAAAATGTGGAATCACAACATTAAAAACTTAATATTGTGATTAGCCAGATTATCAATAAGTGAATAGATGTCCTATTTGTAACAAATAGATGCAAGAATTATCAAAGGACTTGTTGACAACACAGAAGTTAGGATCGACTTGGATCTGCAGAATATCAGGAGAATTGATGGATGAAAATAATCCACCCATGATGTTGCCTAATAATTAAGTTTATAGTTAGAAGTCATTGTTGCAGATGAGCGAACAATAGAATGGATAGGTTCATTGCCTAGTGACAAAACAGACATTTAAAATAAGCGAATGTGTTCGAGTGTTTTTAACTTGATAATATATTAATTCAATAGATAACAAATGAATTTCATATTATAATCAATTAAATCTAGACAACCAATTACATCTGTCTTGATAAAAGCGTTCAATCAGTTTATTATTATATCTAGGAAATTCAAATAGATCCATATATTAGTGAATAGTTTTAGGGTTTGGAAATATGCATGAAAAGTTCTTCCCTCTTCTTTTAACCTCTTCCACAGTTTGAATGAGCATATTGAAATCATTCTACGATAACTTATTCAAGCAATTGGAAGTGTTGATATTTGGGATTTCTTTTATATTCCTTTGATTATATTTGGGAGGGGATGAAATTTTGTAATTCTTCTTATCCCAAAGCGGCACTCCGACAAGGTGTAAGACATCTGAAATTAAAGAGGTCTTAATCTTTTTATCTAGAGGCGAACTGGAATTCAAAGATGGCGACACATTGACCTCTAATACCCAAGGTTTAAGATTTTCATCAATGAGTACATCGAATCCATATAATTCAAAATACCCATATCTGTGTTCTTGAGATTTGGCATTACTATCCAACATAAATGGTTCTGTTGCAATACAAGTTTTTAGCACCACATCTTTAATTCTATTGAACAATTCTCTTGAATCAACTCCTAATTCATCTAGTTTTTTTCGATAGGCATGATGAGACCATTTTGATCCTTCATCATCTTTTTAAGAGTTTTAATTCTTTACAAAATTGGGTGATAGTTTATTCACAGCAAAATTGGTCAAATGAATATACCTCTTGGTTAGATCCTTTGAATTTGTAGAGTACTTCTGAGTAGCAAATCTTACCAGGCCATCCTTATACATATACACTCTCAAGGGATCAAAGCATGATATTAAGACATAGACTCGTAAATCATATTTGAATCCATTAATTAAATGAGGATTATAAATGTAATCCATAATTAAAAAGTTTTTGTCTCTCTTAACCTTTGACTTCTTGCTCACCATTGTAATGCCTCTTCCTCTAGAATCTGCACAAGGTTTCTTAATCCACAACGTATCCTTCTAAGCAGCTTCCTAGGCCATTATGAACCTATCGTAATCATACTACAATAAATAAGTATTTGGAATAAAATTATATTCTTTAGGGTATTTCCTTTTGAATTTACTTAAATTTAACCATAATAAATCTTTTCTACCCATATTCCAACATCCTGGGAAATGATTTATTTTTTAAAATCTATTCATGTTTCTCAAAGTTGTTTTGTTGCCAATTCCCCATTACACATTCCATTCCTCATCTTCGTCATCTTCATCTATTCTTTTAAAGCCTGCCCAATCAAATGAGGTTAATACGCATTTATATGGAGCAGACCCCAACACTTTGCATGTTAATGAGTACTTCTTGATTTCCTCTTCTGTCATAGGTCTGGCATTCACTAAAGGTCTTTTATCCTCACAGACTGGAGGGTACTAGAAGAATATGGTTGGCTCTGTATTCTTTAGGAATGGCAATTGTATTATTGGCCATTTCTAAGGAATCTCATCCTGAAATACTACATTAGATTGACTATGTGATCTTCCCTATATAATTTGGTTCTGTTGATGTTATTATTATTATTGCTGAGTCTATCCATATTATTAACTTAATGGAGTCTAAATCACATGACTTAAAAATAATTTTCTTCCTTGGATTGGAGACTTGTATCTTTGATTTGAATTTCTTCTTTATATTGCTGATTACGAAAGTGAAGTGTCTCCTTTAAGTTATAATTTTTATCTCATTTATATAAAATTTATTAATAATCAAATTTAATAATTTTCTTTTCTAAATTACTATTGCCCAGCTGTTTTATAATGAATTTGCTGGAACTTTTTGGCAATCTTTGCTTTTTGAATTGCAATATGATGAGACAAGATTTAGCAATGTCTCTAATCATTGTAACTATTATTTATAATGTTGCTCCCATTATTGGAGTCAGCAATTTACTTCATCTCTCTCCGTTATTTCATTAAAACTGATACATCCTAAAATTCCATAGGCTCAGCAATTGGACCTAAGATAAAATGATGAATATTTACTGCAATCATGTAATTCCGCATGCTCAGTATGTTTTTAGGTTGGTGATTCTAATCCCATTTCTTAAATAAAATTGACCTTTATCCTATCATTTATCTCCTAGACTGGAGATTACATTGATGTTAGTATTGAAGCCGTTGAGCATTTTTTGGAAATCCTTAATCTTGAATTGTTTCTGCTATTTAATCTTTTTTTCTCTGAAGTCTTTGCAACTGGAGACAAATTAGATTTGTTCTTCAACATCCTCAATGTGTCTGAGCCTGTTTCTTCAATTATCGTTTTCAATAGATTTGATATTTTCTCTTAAGCTGCCTATTCTTTGGATGCTTAAGGGGCGAAATCAAACTAAGTCTATGTTGAAGGCATGGGAAGCGATGTCAATGATTATTACTATGAATAAAACTAAGACGAGTATTGTGACTCAATTGGAGATTGGTAAGTGTGTTAAGAGGATTTAAATTATTGTAACTATTATTGTTATTATTATTGAGATTGATGTAGAGAATACTCTTTAATTTCATAGAATGATTTGATTTGTCTAATTTTTAAAATGGATGTGATTTTTCTAACTAACAATGTAACTCCTTAATTAAATTGACATTTCTATTATTTTTTCTTAATGAACTGAATTTCTTCATCTGAATCAGATTCACTTTTGTTAATTTATGTGCTATGATCACATTTCTCTCTTTAAAAATATTATGATTAACAATTAAAATTAAATATTCTCTTGTTTTAATCAGTTTATGATAGCCATTACTCAAAAGATGATTAATTCATCTAATTTGATTACGTTGATTATAATTAATTTAACTGTTGATAATCCTGTTTAATCTATTAGAATTAAATATCACAAGTTACATAAGAATCTGGCTTAAATTTGACTTCTTCATTATTACTAATCTAAGTGGGAATTCTTAAGTTTGCTGTATCTTCTGAATATTATAGATTACATTCTGTAATGCCTGTGGCATTTTCAATTATCCTAATATCTGGTTAGCCTGCTTCAATCTCTTCTTCAACCCTTATAAAATTTGTATTGATCTAGTTATTTTATTGAATATAAGTTGGTTCTGTGATTGGAACTGACAACTAAGATCTATTGCTGGTCAAAGCAAAATCTTGTTAAATATTAATGAGCTCGTTTTATTTCAATTAGACATCTTAAGTTTCATTCTGCTTTTCCATAATTTGTTAGATTTCAAGTTGGAATCTATTTGTATCTACTGAAATTTGAGTGCCTGAACAAGGTTTACTCAATTCAATGTTATCAAAATTTAATGCTTGTATAATCTTTGGAATTTCAATAGTATTTAGCTTGCTCTCCACCCTTTCTCCTAATTTATTCTCTTATTCGTTTTTATTTATTTTTGATATATATGTGGAAGGGTCTCCAACATTTTCCTTATTTGTACATTTGAGTTAAGTTGGAAATGTCGCATCATCCTTATTCAATTTCAGTATTAATTTGTCCTTAAAATCTTCCTCGAAATTGGATTGAATTGAATTTCTAACCTTATTTTAAGCGTACTAGTCATTTGATCTTACTGAAAATCTTTCTTTGTTAAAATCTAAATTGGCCAAGATTCCATCCTTACCGTTAATTTCATTTGAGGTTACAGAGAATCTCTCATTTTCTGAAAATCTTTCTTTCTTGATTTCTTCAATATTAACAGAGAATCTCTCCTTATTCTCTTCATTTACATTTGTGGAATATCTTGCCTTTTATAGGAACTCACTCCTTCTACTCATTCTTCCGGAATTCTTAGATTTTTATATGGAATCCTCATTCTAATACTGTTGTTACAACATTTACTATAGAGGTAATTAATATTCTGATGTAACCGATTATTCCACCTAATAGTATGGATTATGTGATTATTAAGGCGATGTTTATTATTATGTATTTTAAACTTCGTATTGTTCTTAATTGTTTCTTCTTGATTTGTTGGTTCTATCAGTTTTTAATTATTAATAATTTTATGGATAATTTTAAGAATTATTTTAATCATTAAATTATTAATAACTTTCTTATTGTTATTGTTTTTATCTTTAGGAATTTTATTGCATTAAATTTTCATCTTATAATGAAACTTAAATTCCAACATCCAATGTTGAACAACTTCTTATAGAACGAAGCCTATTAATTCTGTGATTCAATCTGTTGTTTGTAGAATCTCTTCCAACACTGACTCTCTAATCCAAGAACTGCCTAAATTCGACTGATTTGTTTCTCAAATTACCTGAACTTTGATCAACATCTGATTGATACTAACTTTCATATTTAATATCTTTATTAGATTCATCAGCATTAGTTCCTAATTACTAATCAATAAATTCTCTAATTTGATTAATTCTACTGAATATATTCTATTTGTGTGCACTATTTTCAATGATTTTCTAATCGGATTAACATTTTTGTAATTCTTACTTTTTTGCAGACCTCTTTTTGAGTTCTTAAAATGATTCTATGATTTATACAGCCATTGGATCGTATACTACTTATTTTTAATTACAATTTTCAACTTATTTTTAATATTTGTTGATAATAGTAGACAAGGTCAATTCGTCAGTATGTTATTTTTTGGCAGAACTTTAACATTGTTACTGTTATTTTTATTAGGTAATTTGGGACTAGAAATGATAATAAATTGATTTGTTCTTTTCAGGAGTTCCTTGATTATAGAGTGAATCCACTAAGTTACGTATAATGCTTTTTCTTTCACTAGTTCTTGATCTTTACTATGATTACGAGTTATTTTGCCTTGGCTGAAAAGTTTGAAGTAGTTTTTCTTTTTCCTGTCTCCAATAGACTGATTTACTCTTGTATTGAGTTTTTAATTGTTCCGATAGCATGTTGGACATTACCATAAAAGAAATCATCCGTTAAATAATTTATTTATAATTTATGTAATAATAGGAAATCAACCATGCACTAAAAAATCCATTTTAACCAATTCTGAAGAAGGTATTAAAGGTTGACGAGGAATTGGAGAGACTATCATCAGAAACCTTCTATAACCCTTTTGATGTGCTGTATTTGGGAATGGAAGCTACAGATGAAGATATCAAGAAAATGTTTAACTCTTTCTCTAAATTATTACATCCAGACAAATGTCAAGATCCTAGAGCTAAAGACTGTTGGTAAATAGTCGATTAAGCATACAAAACTTTGATGGAGCCTGAGAAGAGAAAGGTTTACATTAGAATTATGAGAGAAGCCAGGGAGAAGACTGAATTCGAAAGACTCAGGGAAAACAAGAGAAGAGAAAAAACTGGAGTTGCTCCTTTGCCACGTAGAATTTTGAATTTAATTTTAAGCTGATACTTTCGAGAGTGATTTCTAAAAATAATGCAAGAATCTATTTAGCGAAATAGAAGACAGAAAATAACATCTTATGAGATTGGAGTAATCATAAAAGAGATACAAATTAGATGAGTATGAAAGAAGGAAAATGTTGGAATAGTATAAGATATTGACTGAGGAGGAGTGGGAGAAGACCAGAGATGATAGGGTTAATAAATGGAGAGAATTTAATAACAAGAAAACTGCTATTGGGACCAAGTAATCTAATAAGGTAGTATCTTTAATTCTATATATTTTCTAGGGGATTAGACCTCCTACTGAAAATATTGAGGCTAGACCATATGAGATGCCAACTAAGAAAGGGGATTTTAAAAATATTAAATTAGATTGATTCATTAGTTTTGTAATTCATATGAGACAATTAATTTATCAGAAGAAAAAAATTTATAGTTATCAAAGCATTTCTTCACTAATAAACGATATTGCTATTATTTTTAGTTGTATTATTATTATTATTATTATTATTATTATTATGAGTTCCTGAAACTTTTATTAACTTACTCAATGTTGTTGAATAATAATTGCTTAGTTATCTGAATTCTCTTGGCTAAGGAGAACTTTTCAGAGATTAACTATACTGTTAATTTGGCAGACGAGCAGATGATAATTGTGATGGAATCCGATGCTAAATTCTGTTATTGATTTTCATTTCTTTTTGAAGTTGAGCAATTTTACTGGAATTTTCCTCCTCTTTTTTTATCAACTGTAAGAGCATTTCTTAATTTTACTCCTGTAATTAAGTTTGCTTTTATAATAACTCATTTATGAGTTTGGTTTTAGATTCCAATTCATTTTTTTGATTTGTAATTTATTGTCTAAATAGCATTATTTCATTTTCCAAATCATGATTTTATGGAACTTTCTAATCATTATATCGTATATCTTCCAAAATCATCAGTGATTACACTAATTCTAACGCATCTGAATCGCTCGACAATTTTAATAGATGCTAGTAGTCAGATCCCATATGATTTATCACTAATCGCCAATACTTTTGTAACTCTTCTATCAATTCCTCATTCTTTATTTATTCATTATTTACTTTATAATGACTATCTGCAGTATCTGTATTATCATTTTCGTACATAATTTTTATTTATTAATTTTATGATAGTTAAATAAATACATCTAACACTCACCAGTAAATTTTCAAGTAGACTCGGATGTCTATCTGCTAATCCCTAATCTGGAAACCTTTCATTACCCTCCTAGATATTAATTTAGATATAATTTTATAAGATGATAATCTCAATTATTCTTTAAAATAAAACTCAAATTATGGTCTATACTCCTTTCTTATTTCACTTATGTCTTCTCTCTTGATATGTAACCTATACTAAATACTCTCCTCTTTTCGTTATTTCCTATATAAAATGTGAAACCAACAATTAGGCTACCTTCTCTTCCTGAGGTTATATAATATTTATTCTAAATTTAATTTTAGTTTATCTTTTTCTTGCAACATAAGTTAAGCGATGTATTTGTATGTAAAGTATGAACAAGCAACATAATTAGGGTGATGTAAAACATTCTCCAATTATAATGTAAGATTTGTTGAACTTTCCATTTATAACACTTTTGTATTGTAAGTTCCCTAATTCCCTAAAATATTTTCCCATTAATTTGATCCTATGGCTTCATCATTCTCTATATATTATAATTCACATCAAGTTAATTATACTGATCTCACTTTCTATTATATTCAAAATTATCAAACAATTCAAATTTTTGTATTCCAATTGGCTGAACTATTAAGACCATTAACCCAATTATCATTGATACAAACTTGCTTAGGATTTGATGAACCTTCAATGCCTTCAAATCTACTCTCTCAATTAGTTTCTCTGCTCTTGCTAATAAATATTCCCTATATTTAACTTTCATCTTACTTTTAATTGATATCCAGAACTTTTTATTTGAGAATATTTCTCGTTAAGATATATAATACTTTATATATTTCCACAGTCTCTAAAATTATAACTAAACCATAATCCTGGAAATTATATTTATTAGGATTCCAGAGGATAATTAAATTATGCATAATTTTTTGAAATAGTATTCTACAATGTAATTAAATTTAATGGATATTCTTAAGAATTTTGTGTTTTACAAATTATCAACAGAGGGAAAGCACAGCTATTTAATATCAACGTTAGTTATGCAGACATAAGTACAGATATATTTGATTGAATATTTTGACAGAATATTATAATTATTATTATTATAGTAATTTTGAATGAAACCATAATAAAATTTAAAATATGGCTCCATAGTGCGTATTCAGGGAAAAACTGATAGTGGGGGATAAGGATTCATTTCAGCCAAAGGGTAAACGAGTGTGGAATTAAGATTAGATTCTTTGACAAGGCAGTGTATTATCAAACTTACGAAGATCTGAATGATTTGAATAATTACAGAGAAGGCCTATTTTAACTTTTACCAAGAGGGAGCTTTGAGATTCACGATGAGTATTACAAAACAAAGTAAATATTTGTACTACATGAAAGGAACAGAAATAAAGGATTGCTATATAGAGTAAAATCAGAAAAGGAATAATTTTTAGCGATGATTGAAAACAAAATGAATGAAGAACTATATTTTGGGTATCAGATTATCTTAGAATAGAGCTGAAGCAATTTTTAAGCACATTGAATCTGGGTATTATTTAGTATCCTCAGATGAATGCAGTGATCAAAGAAGTGACTCATTCAAAATTAAACTCCAACCTTATTTATCAAGCAACATCATCTTCAAATTAGAGGCTTGTAAAAGTCATTAAAAAACAGGGAGACCGATTTAAACCAAAGAGTAAGTCAAAATACTTTCAGATTCATCAAAATTTTGGTTAGAAAAGAGTTTAAAGGCTCCTGTGTAATTGGATCACAAGCCTCCCTTGTCTGATTTAAGACCAGATCTAAAGGGACTTTCAAATGAATCGCATAGATACGAATTAATAATAAGTCATAATTCAACAAGCAGTTGGAAAATAGATCAATATCAATCATACGAGGAATATATCCAACCATCTAATCTAATATAAGACAGAGACCTATGCGTCTTCAATTTTACTCAAAACAATTCCTATCTTTGCATAGATTTAAGAAAGAATTCATTAGCATTGAAATAGATTGATCAAAAGACTTAAGTGCCTATAGATTGCTTATGGGAAATAACATTCACTTAGGAGAAGAATGAATAAAAATGCTAATAAACGGTTCCCTAATTTTAATCCAAGCCAATAATTACAAGACTCCCCTCTGTTTTGGCTACAAAGGTATCTCTGCCACTCTCTTTAATTGGACTACCTGGTGCTATTCAATCTTCTGGAAGAACATCTGCCAACGTTGCAGCTGGAGCAGGTCCTTATGTTGGCTAATTGACATAATAAAAAAGGAACAAACACATCTATTAGACTATATTGCTTAGACATTACTTAACTGGAAAGCTAATCAAATGTGCAGAAAGGTTGGATGATGATGATTGCATTTAAGCCTTTATTGATGAAATAGGAACTCCAATTGATTTGCAATTAGCTAATAATCACGATTAAGAATTCATTGATGGCTCGTATGTTAATTTGGTTCATGATGACAACACCTTAACCTTAATTAAATTGAATCAACATCATACTCAACAATCCTTTGGTCAAATTAAAGATATTAGTTCTCTGGGTGGGTTTTTTAATAAGCATACACAAACAGAGGAGAATCTATTCAAAACTGCTTTTAAGGGGAAAAAAACAACAGATGCTTTTATTATTAAGAGAGTTGACTGTAATTACAAGACAGAACTTATTTAAGCATTTTCAGCTTTGGAATATTTGATTAATTTCTCTGGAGCACTTAAAGTCAATCATCAATACTTTGCTTCTATGGCTAATTTAGAATAAATTAAATAGATAGAAAAATTGTTAGCTGGCTTAAGCAAATTCATCATTAATATGGAAATTGATGAAGAATAAGATGAAGAAGTAGATGCATTTGTTAACTCCAGGAGATAAATAATAATGAAAGAATTGTATTATATAGAAATTTTGATTGAAATCTTATATTCTTTATGTTATAAGTCTGGAACAAAGAAGCTTTTATTTTGGAAACATCAGAAATAACTCATAAAGACATTATTTTCAGAAACTTACTCATTACTTACTAAATTAATTTAGAATAATAATGCTAACAAAACTTACGCCTCCTAATGGATGGAAATGTATCTTCATTAATATATAATGGTGAGTGAACCATATATCCAAAGGTTCTTAGCTGAAATATTGGACAACAATGTTTAGGCTATAAAAAAATTCTTAAATTAAAACCTTGTCATTAGGATCATTGAAATTATCGGATCTCAAGTTCCTCATGAAAAATACTTAAAAATTTTAAGTTCCATTTGTGTTTCCAACGGCTTGCCTGTTAAAGAGAATCAGTCCTTAGTATTGTAACAATTTTTTCTTAAAATTGGATTTGGTATAGTTATGTGTTAATATTAGATTTTTGTTTTCAATTTAAAATTGATGAACAACAATAATTATAAGTTTTATGTCCAATCTAAAAAGTAAATAAATTTAGGACATTTGAAGAATTTTATAGAGAAAGTCAAAAAGTTGATTCATTTTAATAATGGAATTATTTTCAAAGTTATTTTGATTTATTAGGTGATATTTGTATGAAGAGGAATAAATAAGCAAAAAAATATGTGGATGATAATTTTCCCTTATAAGTGTTATTGAAAATCTTAGTAGAAGCAGAAAAGAACTCCAGGTTTAGCATCATGAGACCAATTTTAAAATTAATCAGATATGCTTACATAGATAATGTCCCATTTGAAAAAGTTAAGAGAATCAAAAGAGTCCAGATATTTTCAGCATTAGATGATGAATATCCTCAATTTGCAGAAGTAATAGATGCTAATCATCCCTTATAAGAGTTTAATTTATTTGTTTTAGTACAGTTGGAGAAAAATAAGAATTTGTGGAAAAACATTGAATTTCAAAGAACTCTTTAAGAAATATTGAAAATAATAGGATGCCAATTAGATTTTGGATTTTATGTAAATTTGGATCAAATAGAACAGATTTTAAATTACATGTATCAAATTTGTAGTAGCATAAATGAATTCTCCTTTGGAAACGAGAAAGAAAATTCCATGTTATCAAGTTAATAGGGGACCTACGTACAGAGTTTTATTGATCACAAACTCAAAGCAACAAGATTATCAGAATCGAATAGTGTTAAAATTTCATGTAAGTAATTGGCTTGTGAAATAATTCAAAAGATATTTGACTTTGAAGCTAATTTAAGAGTTTTTGAAGCAGCCAAACTGTTAAAAACTCTATTGATTGAATTAAAGATCATAGAAAATATCGAATAAAAACAATAAGGTAGTAGTAGAAACATCAAATCGAATACCAAAATTAAAGCATTGTTTACTAGTGAAAGTTCAAAACCAAATGCTAAATCTATTGCTGATAAATTAAAAAAGAAATCTACAGAGGAGGAAAAGATATTTTATGACCCTTAAAATTGGATTTCAAAATTTAAATTACTATTACAAAAAAGATCTTTGGCTGATGTTGAATTTTTCGAATTGATATTTGCTGAATTGTCTTTCTATGAAAATCCACTATTGCCTAAATATTCTATTGAAATTTTGAAAAGAGCTTATGGACAAAGAAAAGAACTAATTTCAAATTTTGAAAAAATTATCATTGTGGTTTCAGGAAAAACATAAGAGTTATCTGAATTGAGCTCTCTTATTTTCAATAAATTTGATATTTTGACAGATTCCTACTTCATAGAAATGTATAATGAAAATAGTCCAACATTTCAAAAATAAAATATCATCTGGAATCTGAATCAATAAGAAGCTTAGAAAGCTGGTCTCATTTAAAATTTATAGAGATTGAATAAGTATTTAAAAAAAGATTTTGACAAAAATAAGTAATAAGTCACTTTGAATTACGAAGATTATTACCCTGACAATAGGTCTAGAATTATTTATCATGAAAGGGAACTAAATTATAGACTTCATCAATCTTTGTTAATAGCCTAAGAATTACATATTCCAATTCTAAATTTTATCAAAATATTTGTTCCCTCCTTATCTGAAATTTATTGGAAATTACTGCATGCTTGTTATGATTATCTAACATTAATAATTTGGAATCACATGGAAAATAAAATAGCCTTGTCCAAATATAAAGAATCCATGTACCCTCATTTATAATACAACATTGGAATGATCGATTTCTTAAAAGCCTTATTTGCCAATAATAAACCATTAATTTATAGTTAAAGAGAGATTCCAAACATTTTATAAATGGTTCTCAAATAATGTGATAGTTAACCTTTGAGTAATTACTACAAATCAAAATTATTAGACTTCTTGAGAATCATCCTAATTTTTAATTCATCGTACATCCCACAAAACTAAACTTTAACCTTATAAAACTTATAAGAAAACACATATGCAAATCTTATTCTAAGCTTGAATCTAGCAGCTTCTGACATTATGGCAACTCAAAACTCTGAATAAAGTTTTAGTGATGTGACATCATAATCCTCTGAGCCGATTATTGAAAATTTAATACTAACTGAAGATCAAGTCTCCTATTATATCAATTAGTACTAATTAGAATACGCAAGATTAAATAAGGACCAGATTCAGATTGATATAAGTCCAGAACTTACATATATGTATACATTTTTTGGTCTGTTCAGTCAATTAGTTGAAGAGTAACATAAGGTTAATCAAAAAAAATGTCGAAAGATTCACACATTTCCAGATCTTATTAAATTATTATCTTTGTCGTAGTAAGTATGGCCATTGAAGAGATATTTAAGAGCATACACAAATAGGCTTTATTATTGCTAGGGAAGGGATGTAGTTACATAATTTATTTAAGTGGATTTCATTACAATTTTAGATGACTTAGAATGCATTATTGAATTAAAATCTAGTCAAAGCCTATCATTCTTTAATCAAGTTACAATAGTCAATCCAATTAGATATAAATATTTGATTTCATACATTTATTTATATCTAGAAGAAATATTGATTACATTACATTATGTTTTCAATAATATTGAATTTTTGGAAGATCTAGAGGAGTAATTATAATTGAATAGGGGTAAAAATAAATTGATAATCCATCTATAAATCTTTGATTTAATTTAGAAGCTAATATTGATTGAACGATTTTATTAAAAGTAGAATATTGGGCATTTATCAAAAATCATTTTAAATATCCTTCATAGCATAGTGTCTACATTTGATCTTCATATATTGAAAATTAGAGATTAATTATTCGTATTGACTTTGAAGCAAATTAACTCTTATGAAAAAGCAATGTAATTAAACTCATCAAATCTGATAATCTCTTCCGAAGCAATAGACTCAGAAATAAGGAATTCCCTTGAAAATACAAGTAGATATTAACATAATGAGGAGGAGTATAAAAAAAGCTTAATAGATTCCGTTTTTTCAGTTGATAGATTTACTCAAGGTAAACAAGCCTTAGGAAATTTGGTTAAATATTGGAAGAACACAAAGAGATCATCTTTATAGCCAGAAGATTTGAATGAAAAAATTAATCATAAGCTGAAAAGAGTCATTAATATATTGAGTTTGTCTTCTTCATTCTAAATATTTCTCGAGGAAGAATTTCTAGAAGCTTGTAAGAAAATGCTGTCAATTGGTTAAGAATCGATGCTGGCTTATTAAACAAAGTTTGAGGTTACATCTCTGAAACATTACATTTAAAATATAATTCATATGAGTATTTCGAATGAGGCCCAATTTACAGATGATTTAAGAATTTTCTTTTTAAAAATGATAAGTAAATTAATAACTGAAAAGAATTAGGCTAATAGTATTTAATTAGTATAAGTTGATTAATGGCCAAGTGAATATTGGATTGATTATAAATAAGAGATTGAGAATGCTTAAAACTTTTTGGTTGATTGTGGTGCTGCTGATTTAGTGATTGCACTTTTCTCTGAATAGAAATTAGAAATTCGATTAGACTTATTAAGTGAGTGTTTGTTGTTTTTGATAGCATTCTTATTAGGTGGGAACACCAAGGCTCAAAATGCCATTTTGGAAAAGCTTAAAAAAGATGAATAAAATACTGTATTAACAAACTTTCGAGTGTTAATTAGTAAGTTAACTTAAGTCATCAATAATAACTTTTCAATCATTACATAAGAATAGTCTGAAAGTTCAGAACTAATTTAGACAGTTGATAATTATGACTTTTTCGATGTTGATACTCAGACCATGATAAGATTGAATGTCATTGATCCTGATGATGCTAAGGAGACAGCATTTAAAAAGTTATGTTTAGATGTCATTTGCAGATTTTTTAGAGTTATGCAATTATTTTGTGAGAATAATAATGTGGAAATGAAAAAATATATACGATAATAAACAGATTAAAAGAATAATCCAAAAATATTATCCACTAATTTCATTGAGTTTGCTAGTGTTCAATTAAGGGTTTACTTTAAAATTCTATCTAAAGCAATAATTGTAATTCCATAATCAATGTTGGACTTTGTAAATGAAGTTATCCAATTACCTTGTATTGATAATCAAATTACGTTATGCAATACAACATTCTTTGAAGATGCAAGTCACATGGCACAATTCTTTAATGATAAAAATAACTAAATTTAAAGATTATTTGAAAATTCTGAAGACTTATAGGAATTATAGGAACTTTAGAATAAAATTCTATAAGCAGTTCTATCTGTCCTAGAAGGAAATGAAGAAAAGATATATAGGGATTTATCCAATAAATTAGAAGCACAATTTCTAATTAACTTTCTAAAAAATAATTTGGAATCCTTGAATATTACAAATTCATAAGATTTAGAATAGGTTTTATAACTTTAAGATAAAGTATTCGATAGTGACATGTAAAAAATTTTGAATGTTTGTATCATACAATAATAAATGACTTAACATTCAGACAATAAATGGCTTGTTCAATTTTAAGAGAAAATGGAATAATTTCCAGAACTTCCAAAAATATTTGAAAAATTGTAAAATTTAACACATAAAATTGAAATTATCTATCAAGGGAAAAAAATGAAAGTATTTTTCCCATTTCATCCTTATTTTCATTTACTGTCAGAATAAACAAAATAGGAGTTATTATTTACAGTAAATAGAGAAACACAAAGGGATAAATTAGTTGGAATGCTATCTTAATCTGAGATTTTATTTTATGAATTAGAACACAATTATAAGTTAAATCACTTTAGAATTCCAATTACTTAGTAAAATCTGGATTTACTATAAAATCTAGCATCGACATTTGCTGTCTTAATTAATTTAGCCATGGTAACTATTTATTATTTATGTTTAGATATTTTTTTATACAGTTGTGGTCAAGGAGAACACCTATTTTTTATATTCAAATCAAATAAACCAACTGATAATTAATCTATTGTCTTTGGGTTAACTATTCTCATAAATTGCATTATTTATAATGGTAAGCTTACAAAGAGTACCAATTGCAATAGAAAAGAATCGTCAAAAAAAGGATAGTATATTATCTTATATAGTATTCTTTAAAGAAGAAACATGCCTTATTTTATTGTTCTTGGTAATAATATCCTTTTATGGAGTGTTTTTCAATTCAAATTTTTATGTGATACATTTGGTTGAAATATTTAGTAGAAATTCACTTCTAAAAAATGTGTTCTAAGCAATATCATATAATGCAAAGCAATTATTTGTGGTTGGACTATTGGGAATTCTATTTGTGTTTGCCTTTTCTGTGATAAGTTTTAATGTTTATTTTGATGATATCTATTAAGGAGAACAAACTGAAACTTGTAATTCATTGATTACGTGCATGATAACATTAATTACTTCGGGAGTTATTGGCAATAGCATGATCAATTGGGATCCCTTAAAATTCTTTTTTGATATGCTGTTTACAGTTTTCTTCGGATTGCTCTTCACTAACATTATCCAGGGTATTATGATTGACACGTTTGCTGAATTGAGAGACTAGAGGTAAAAGATAGAAGAGGATATCAAAAATAAATGTTTCATTTGTGCAGCATCAAGAACAGATTTGGAAAAGATGAATATATCATTTGATGAACACACTCATCAGTTGCATTATATGTGGAATTACATTTTCTATGTGAAATGCTTAAAATTAAAAGAATGGACAGAATACACTGGTCTAGAATATTGGATACATGCCAAATTAGAGTCAGATGATATTACTTGGTTTCCTGAAAGCGTTAATGATGATGCTAATCTTACTGATTAAATGTCTAAAATGGAGTAAATTCTTAGCGATGTTATTGTGTTATAAAATGAAATATTAAGAAGAATTTGATCATCTTCAATATACTTATAAAATCCTTAAAATTTATTGCTTATGAAATATTTAGAATGTGACACAGAATACATTTGAAGGACTACTTTCAGACTTTTAAGTTGTTATTTATTTTATTTTGTACACATTCATCATTCATAAACCCATCCGTGGTCATTGGTGTTCCAGGCAACCAATTCTTATGGTTAGAACCATAAACTGATCTCCTTGTTGGCTGATTCAACTGAGTCTGATCCGTGGATAACATTTCTTCCAACGTCAATAGCAAAATCTCCTCTGATTGTGCCTGGCTTTGAAGCAAGTGGGTTGGTTTCACCTAACATGACTCTTCCTGTCTTGACGGCTACGTTATTTAATATAAATTTCTACCATCCTTTCCTTCCCAAACCATGGCGGCAACTGGGCCTGAACTGACGTATTTCAAAAGACTTGGGAAGAAGGGTCTCTCCTTCAAATCAGCATAGTGCTAAGTCAAAAGACCTTAGTCTGGAGCAACGAATTTAAGGGCAACAAGTTTGAATCCTCTGTCTTCGAATCTTTGAATGATTTTTCCGACAAGTCTTCTTTAGACTCCGTCTGGTTTGACCATGATGAAGGTTCTTTCTTGGTTATTCATAAATTTATTTAAATTTAATTTATGTTGGGAATTATATCTTTTTTTATTAATCAATATTATTGTTTTAAGAAATTTAATACTGCGTCATTACTTTTTAAGTAATCCCGATACAGAACATCACAAGGCTCACTGCTCTCTAAATTTTGCATCTTGATCTTTTCTAGAGCTTGATTTAGTTCTTTAATCTATTATTTTGCTAATTAAAGTTCTATATAAATCATCTATTTCTCTTAGTTCAAGGCTTTCTGCTTTTTGTGCTCATCCTAAACGTAAAGTCTTTGGTTTTCCAATTCCTTTGTTGTTTTAATGCAATTCATACCTAAATCATTGCGATTATAAGATCATTTTTTCCTTCATTTTAAAACGAGGTTTCCTTTAGCTCATCTATTTGTGTTAATAATTATTTAATTTTATTTGATTGATTCTCCACCATGCTTGTCAATCGTTCGTTGTCATCAATTAAAGAGGTTATTTGATCAATTGGCAATTTTTTATAAGCATCTAGCTATACTTCCAATTATTTATTCTTTTATTCTAGACTTGCGATCTTTGTTTTAAAATCCTATTGTTCTAATTGTTTTATTTTTATTTATAATATTTCATTCTCTTTTTTTAACTAATTGACTTATCGAGACAATCTAACATGTTCTCGATCATTTGATAAACATTATGTGAATCCAGTCAGAGTTTCTTAACTTAACTATCTTGACATCTGGAAAGGTGTTGGGCACTTATTAGAATCACTTAAAACTCTAATCAGTTAGGATTTTTACATTATTGATAATTAAAATTTATAGATAGTTGTTATATTTAGCATTTCATTCCTTAATATTATAAATCAAAAATGTACATATTTTTAAAACTACCCTCACTTTCTTTGCAATTCAACTTAAATTCTATAAGTTAATTTTCATAGCAATTTACTGAAATATAGTAATAAGTTGTTTGATAATTTTTAAGAATGGGTATTTCATTTTATTGTATCAAGACTTCACAATCTTATAAATGAGCAAACAATAAAAGATTTTATCATCTATTAACCTGTATTTTCGTATTTAAAATTATATCTTAGGTTAGTTAGGTAGTGAATATATATTATATAATAATATTATTAATATCATTTTATTGTACTAAAATTCTATAGTTAAGGAAGTTTAGTTTTGGCATCTATTTTAGTCAAGTTCATTTTTAAAAACCTCCTCTTATATTTTCTTGTTGCAAAACCAATCTTTTCATAGAACCTTCTTAAATGTGGACAATTGTCCCCACAACGAGCATGAATTTATCTCATTTTTTTCATATATTCTCTGAATTCTTCGATGGAGATTTGCTCATTTCCTATAAAAATAATATTGTGGATATTTACCTTGCTTTCCTAATTAATTTCTAATTTATCTCAGCATTTCCCCCATTTATCCATTTTTAGATTGCATTAACCTTTAATAAAGTTTGTCTGATTAATCTTCTTCTGGTTGATCTTCATCCAAGGAATCTAAGGATTGGTTAGATTAAGCAGATGAAGGTCTTGGTTTTAAAACTTCCTCATCAGAATCATGTTATTACGTTTGTTATTATTATTTTGTTGTTCTTTTAACTTAAATTTGTTATTTAAGCATTACCCAATTTCTAATTTGTTCCTACTTACTTTTTTCCAATCCCAAATTACCCAACTGCTCTAAAATTTAATCTAATAATGACTATGACTTATCACTAAAATCAAAGATTCCTTCAGTCTAAATTTCTCTATCTTCTGTTCCTAATTTTATGATTTTCACAGTCTTAGTACCATCTGAAGAAATTTTAGTTTCTTCCACAACAATATTACCATTCTTGTCTTTATTAAATTTCTTGATTATTTTTTCAACCTTACCATCCTTTCCAATTCTAGTTTCTTCTATGATTTATTCTCCGTTTTATCCTTTTTTAGTCCTAATGACAACCTTATTTCCATTAGCATCAACAGTTTCTATTTCTGTAATTTCCAGTCCATCTTTATCTTTATATTATTTTTTTTTTACTGTCATTTTACTTCCATCAGCATTAGTAGTAACTTCTTCAATGATATTATTTCCGTCTTTATCTTTGAAAACTCTTGTCCTAATTAATCTTTTATTTCCTTATTCATCTGTAATGATTTCTTCATTGATCTCGTTTCCATTTCTATCTTTATAGGCTTTCCTCTACACAGTTTACTATTACCCATTATCTCCCTTAATGATTTCAACTTCAATTGGATTGCCATCTCTATCCATTTAGACTTATTTTTGAGTATTTGTTATTTTTCCATCAGCCCCAACTATTTATTTTTAAACTATTTCCTTTCCACATTAGTCTTTCTGAGTTTTAGTGATAATCTTGGCTCCTGTTTAAGGATCGATAGATTCTTCTTCGGTAATAATATTTCCATTTTTATCCTTATATTAACGCTACTTAACAATAGTAACATTTCCATTTTAGTCCATGATTTCCGTTTCAATAGTAAAGGTACCATCAGGATTCTTTTTCTTTTTAGATGTCTTAATAGTTATAGTTCCATCAGGATTGATAGTTTCTTCTTCGATAATATCATTTCCATTTTCATCTTTCTTGATTTTAGTCCTTTTTATAATTTTATTTCCATTTTCATCCAACATAACTTCTTCTGTAATAGCAATTCCATTTTCCACAACCATTTTTTTCTCCACTTGCTATATTTTTCCATTTTTATCTATAATTTATTCCTGAATGATATCTTATCCAAATTAATTCTTTTTAATAGTAGCAATAGTTTTATTTCCATTTGCATCAGTTCTTTCTTCTATAATAACTTGATTTCCTTGAGCATCTCTTACTATCTTTCTTTTGACTGATGTAACATTTCCAAACTAATCAGTTATCTCCTCTTCTACAACCTCATTACCATCTTTATCCTTGTAAACTTTTTACTTCTTGGTTGTCTTATTACCCTATTCATCAATTGTAATCTCTTCGATAATCTCATTACCATCTTTGTCTTTGGTAACTCTCTAAATTTTATTATTATAACAATACTTTAGCCACTTTTTGTTTTCTACCCTTTTCATCAACAAACTCTTCCTCAACATAATCATTTCCATTTTTATCCTTCTTAACCTTCATTTATTTAATCCTTATTTATTTTTTTCCATTTTCATCTATATATTCTTCTTGTACTTCATATGTCTCCTCTCCATCTTTGGCTTAAACTTTCCTCACTTTTTTACCGGAACTGTCTTCAAACCATTCATTTAATTATACTTAACGACCATCTTTCGTTATAGGCTTTGTTGGTATCTTTATTTTAGCCCCTCCAACAGCAAACCCACCAAATTACTCTAAAAATTATTAAGTTTGTTTTGATTATTAAACCATAATTGGCTTATCTCTAGCCCTTAACTCATCACCTTATGCATTTACAACAACTTCCTCTTCTACTTCCATCTCTTCTTCCACCCATTCTCCTTAACTATTTTACCTTTTAACCAACTTCATAACTTTTCTTGTGATTATTTTTTCTCCAGGATTTAGAAATTCTGTATCGAACAAAGGATCATAGAATGGCACTTTTGCCAATTTTTATTTTCTTGTTAATTCATCCTTTTTTACTTATCTAGTTATCGCAGAAATATCAGATCCACAGATCTACTTAAATAGAGGATCTTTCAATAAATCATCCACTACCATTAATTCTTTCATTTCTTATAAATTTAGTTTCTCGTTAAAATCAAATCTCAATAGATTGTCTAATGAGTTCAAAATCAATTTCTTTTAATCCTCACTTATGTTAGAATTCTAAATAAACAGTCTAAATCTTTCTAAACTTCTATTATATTCCTTCTCTAATCCTGCCACACTGTCTATAAGATTCTTTATTCTGAACTTCATCTTTATGTTATCTTCAACCAATTTTTTAATTTTTTCTGAATCCGTTTTATTAATAACAGCTTATTATTCACCACTAGCCTTTTCCTTTGATTTTAATTACTCCTATAACTTCCTACTTTCCAAATTTGCTTTAGTCAATTAATTATTGATATTGCTCAATTATTGAATGTATGCTTCTTTTTCAATCCCTAAATCTTTGACCTTTCTCTCTAATTATAAGATCTTGGATTCTCTTTCTGCTCCTTCTTTTCTATTTTATTACATCTTTTCTTAGAATTCAATTTCAATTTTCATTTTATCAGTCTAACTTGCCACTCCTTCCATGTAAACTAATTATCCATTCTTCATCAATGCTCTACCAGCTTTAATATCTTATATTGCTTTCTCTTAGGCTTATTTTTACACTCCTCTAATGCTGTCCATGAGAGTGTTTTCTAAATTAAATATCTATTCTCTCTCTTTATGTTATTACTCCTCAATTTCTGCAGCCTCATCATCAATTTCATGTGTAATTCTTCTTTTTTTACCTAAGTCTTTCAAAACTTCTTTCAAATTGGCTTATGCTTTAGATTCTCCTACTGCCATTAAATCGAGTTTTCTATTTTTTAAGAATTCAGATATCTTCAAACTATCTTCATCTAAATCATCTTAAATATCCATTAATTCCTTTTACTTTTTCATAAGATGATCTTGATTTCTAGCATTTTTCATATCTTCTCCTGTATCAGTCCCTTTTTCTTCAAACACTTTCTTAACCATCTTCTTAACTACAGGTTACAGTTGCACTATTTAATGAGCCATTTTATTAGTTTCTCTTTCTTCGGATTAATCAACAGATTTTCTTCTTGCTTATATCATATTTTTCTATAAACTTTCAAGCATTTTATCAGGTTGCACCTCAAAATTAGTATTTATTCTATTTTTTGGACAAATACTTACTTTAATATATAATGAACAATCAAATTCTAGCCATTATAAATTTTATTCAATGTTTATCTCAATTCACTGAAGTGTGCAACTTCTAGCATTTCGCTAATCTCATATAAAACTATTTAATAGATTTCATGCATTGTTTTCATTAATTCCATTAACTTTGGCTTGGTTAGATCCTTTGATTATTTTTGTTTGAAATCATGATCCACCTTTGATAATAATTTATCCAATTTAGCTATTTTTTAGAAATCCAAGCCTCCAGCAAATTGGTTATCAATGTCTGAAAATCTAGCTTCAGCCATAAAATAGATTATAAATTGATAATTATTAATAATTACTATGCCTAAACTATTTAAATACAAAAAAGTTGGAAATAGCCTTATAGTAAATAGTACAGATTCTCTTGAGTCACTTGAACAACTAAGATCAGAGCACACTAATCTTAGCAATACTATCTCCGACTTAGAGATGAAAAGATAGTTAATAGAGGATAAATTGAGAGAATTATCAATCAAACTAAATTCCTTTTACTCATATAGCGATTAACCAAGTATTCCTATGTTAATCTATAAATTACCTTTTGATCCAAATTAAGATTAAATAACATAAAATGAAGTTGTATACATTCAAACTAATGACTATTAAGAATTCATTCCTGAGTTTTAAGAAAATGGCACTAAAACCAGGAAAGAATTGTTTAATTATTTCAATTATAAATCTGATGTTGAAGATCTATTTAATGATCTTGATAATACAAGCAAAATTTAAAAACTTGCAGAGGAGTTTGGAATTAAATCAAATAATATCAATAAAATGAAATAATAGATTAAGATTATCTATAATTATTTGCTAAACTAATCGTTTCCATCTTCATGGAATAATATTTATAATACAGAACTATTCAATAAATTAGAAATTTGATCTATGCATCATAACTAGTTATAAATAATTATAATTCAATTTTTTCTATGTAAATCTATCTTTTCCCCCCATCTCTTCTCTAGTCTTTCCAAATTTGCAACAGTTTCATCATACTTTCTTTTTAATATTTGATATTCTTCATTTCTTTCAGACAGTTCTCTTGATTTTCTATTCATTTCATTAGACAAACCATTGATTTTTTATTGTAAACTCAAGTTCTCTCTGGATAGATTTTCTAAAGCAATCTAAAGATCTTATTATCTCAACACTGATCCTAGATATTGATATATTTAAATATTTACTTCTGCTATCATCAGACATTTTTTTGCTTTGCAATTCTCTCCTCATCTCTTCCAAATTTGAATGTAATTACTCTGTTTCTTCCTTTCTCTTTTTTAACATCTCACTTAAATGCTATTACTCTTATCTAGATTGAGTTAACTCATTTTTATAATTGGCAATAGTAGCTTAATGTTGATTTAATAGCATTCCTTATCTAAGTAATTCTTCTTAAATATTAAAATTATTGCTTCTCACCTTCTCAACCTCAGATTTCAAACCCTCTATTTAATCATTCTTACTTAAAAGTTCTGCTTAGAGTTGTTATTCTCGTTAATCATAGTCGAAAGAGGAAAGGGCATTTCTCTTATCTAACATTTTTATTTGTTAGTCCATTGTTTATTTTAAGTCTAGAATTTCTTGTTCTTTGACTTATAGAAGTTCTTCTTATTGCAGTCTTTGATTTTTTAATCTTCTTTCAAGATCATTTACATTTTCTTAGCAAACTTTCTTTTAGACTTCATATTAATCTCTCATTCCACCCATTTCTTCAATTAATTCATTTAGTTATCGCTCCTTTTCTTGTGTTTTTCTTGCTTGTAATGATATCATCTCATTTAATTCTGTAACCTGATATTTCATCTCGGATTTTACAGCCTACATTTGTTTTTCAAGTTTCTCATATTCCACTCTTACTTGTTATTCACTTTATTTTAATCCATCAATTTGTTAAAGTAATTGTTATTATAGTTATGATTATTACTATAATTACTAATTCATTTGATCATGCTATGCTTAAAATTAATGATTTCTATCAGTAGATTTCTTTAATTCCCCTTTTGTATAGGCCAATTCTTGATTTAATTAATCAAGTTTCTTTTCAGCATTCCTTAAATCTTCTTGCAATTTACTTTTTCTAAGGTCAATTTATTTAAATTCATCTAATAGTTTTTAGTAATCTTGCTTTGCTACTGAAACCTTATCCTCTGTTCCTTTTAACATTTAATTTAAGTAATTAATCTAATTTCTATGATCTCTTTCTGACTCATTTTTTTATTTTAATAAGTTTGACACTTCGCATTCTTTGTTTTAAAGCCCATTCTTTAATTACTCATTCATAATTTCAAGATTATGGCAAATCTAAATGGATTGCTCCTCTGATATACTCTTTTCTTTTAGAATTGATTTTATTTTCTCTTCCAATTTCTAAATCATATCATTTTTGCTGTCTATCACTTTAGAGTCCACTTGATTATGAGCCATTTCCGCTTTTAAATTGTCATTCTCTATTTAAAGTTAAAGTAATTTTAACTCCAATTATTCTGATTACTTTGTACTACTTGAATGAATTGATTTAAGGATTGATGGTGATTTGGGGATCTCTTTTTAATTATTCTTCTCTGTTAATAGTTGTTTGTATTTCATTTCTAATTATTCAAGCTCATTCTAGAGTTATTGATTTTTCATTTTATAATTATTAATTTCATCCATTTAAACTCTATTGCTCGTTTAACTTGATAAATTCTTAAAGCTGTCTTATGAAATGAGTTTATTTTTTAGCTCTTCATTTTCCTTTTAATTTATTTGAAGGCACTCAAAGACTCGATTGAACTCTTTATTGGCTTGATTTGCCTTTTCCTCAGCTAATTATTTTTTCTTAATTTCCTCAGTAACTTTTTGTTCTTATTCAATTAAATTTTTATTTAACTAAAATAAGTAAGATCATATACTTTTTAATTCTCTTAAACTAATGCAGTCATTTTGGTTTGCAATTACTCCAAAATAGTTTTTAATTTGTTGTAATCTTCCGCCATTGTAGATATCTTTGAATCATTATCTGATGCAGGTATAGGCTCATTATTAGCTATTTCTTCTAATTTTCTAAAATTTGCTAAAATTTCGATCATTTTATCATTAATCTGGTCTGGCAGTTTACCATCACCCATCATCTTCTGTATTGAAGACATTAAATCTCTCAAAGCACCAGAAATTCGATAAATTTCAGTTTATATCTTTGGTTTTGATTATATTAGGTTAATATTTTGTGATGATAGTCTGCTGTTGCCCACGGTTGGATGATTGTCTGTGAATGGAGACTTTGCCTAATATTGCTAGTAATTCTCCTTTTAATCAATTAGAGTAGATCCATCTTTTTTTGAGGTGTTGCTTTTTCTTTCAGTTATTTATTCTTTATTTGCATCACTTTAAAAAGTTCCAGCAAATGTTTTGTTGTATTCATACTTATATGTTTCATAGGAAGGCTTAAATTCATTGTAAGATTTAATGGCTTCTTATTGGTTATTTGGCTTAAAAATATCATTTGTAATTGACCCATTTTTTATACTAGGTTTGTATTAATAGGAATTTTCTAATTTTTAGGGAGGAGAAGGTTAAATGATTATGTTATTTTAAATTCCTTATTTGGCATCAAATTGAGGTGATTATATATAAGGGGATGGACCATATTATTGAATCTTGGCTTATGATTATGTTTTCGGGCAATAGATTTATTTATCCGGAGATTACATAGAAAAATTTCCCATATCTTTTGATACAGAAAATTGCCTAGTCATTGCTGAAATCTGCGTTGGCTTTTATACACTTTTCATTATATGCTGTTAAATAACTTTATTTATTTTTCTGTTAAAATTAATATATTATTTTACTATTATTAAAGTAAATAGGAGTTCTTATATCTTATTCTAATTTTATTATGTATTACAGATAATTAATATTGTATTCTAAATTCTAGAACTTTGCAAATTATCTTTCAGATTGATAACCTTGCAAATTCAAGAATTAAATATCTCTATAGAAAATAGGTGTATTGGAGAAAAGTACACCTCAAATATTTTAAGCTCTTTCAAGAAAATTCAATTAACTAGACAAATTTATAGCTTCGTATGGATCATTTCATTACGGATTTAAAAGGTTTAATGTTTTTATTTAGATTAATATCAAAACAATTTTGGAATTTGACCATTTATTGTGTTTAAGAAATTTTAGAAATATAGTAGATAATAAATCATTTTTATAAGAATTTCATTATTTGAGATTGATGAAAGAAATAATAATTTGCTTATTGGTATAAATAAAATGGAGTTCATTTTGCTTTTTCAAATATCAGGTTAACTATCAAGCTATGTTAAAATAACATATGATTATTTGCTTATCATATATAAATAGCTTAAATATTATAGTCTAATTAGAATTTCATATAGTTCTGCAATTAAAGCATCGAATCTTATTGTGTTTTACAAATCTTCCTACTATAATCAATCTGTCAAGTTTTAACCTGAACTTAATTATTCTATTTGACTTCTTACTTTAAAACTATATAAATTTACAAAAATTTTATTATATAATTAAAACAAAAATTCTAAAAAGTTCTCCAGTAAAAATATCCTAAAATTTTTCCTAACAATTTATTTAACAATATAGAGTAATAAACAATGTAGCAGTTTATCAACATCATTTAATTAAATTATATTATCAAATTAATCTCTTAATATTTATTTAATGAAAATAATTCAATATTTTACAACTCCAGCTTATAACATATGAAAGTCAAGAACTTCTACTTCTGTTTAATTCAGATTTCCATTATGACCGCATCCCAATGGAATGAAGGACCCTAAATATGATTTTAATGATTCATGAATTTTTGAGGCTACTTTAATAGTAAGAATTACTTGATTTTCTCTCTTCTGAATCTTTCTATTCTATTTGAACTGATTAATGTGACGGATGTTAATGTTAATTCTTCAAGGTCTTTTTAAAGTTTTCTCTTATCAACTTAAGTCTTTAAATGATTAATTCCAAATCTTAAATTAACTAGATATTAGTAATTGATAAATACTCTAGTTCCATTTGGAGAATCTAAATTATTCTTTTCATTTTTAATCAAAGTTTCAATTTTATTGATGTTGGAAGTAAATCTTGCAAAAGCTAACTTTTGACAAACAACAGTATTCATTTTTTTTTTGGGAATGTTTTTTAGAGGAAGGTAGGATCCCCACAAGAAAATACTCAATAGATAATCAAGGAAGACATCGTATTGTTGTGATTCACTGAAAGCTGAAAAGACATCATTTAAAGTCATAGAGGCAGTTTCAAAGGATTCAAAACATTCAAAGACTTTATTTACAAATGTGAGAAGACTTTCATTAGATTTTTCTTTTTCAGACAGTGTGTAAGGCCCTGCCAATTAAGAAATCTTGATCATAGTATTTAAACATTCATACCTCATCAATATCAACAGTTGAATTTTAATTCTACGAATATTGCTTTTCAATTTCTTAAGACTCGTTTAACTAAGATGAGTAAGAATCATCTAAAGTCTTTTTGTTTTTTTCAGTTTATAAATCTTTCATAATAAATTGGATTCTATTTTCAATATGACATAAGATTTACCTTTTATTTGCTTCAAAAAATGTAAGCATTTCTTACTTATTTAATAACTAAGAATACCAAATGTCATAGAAGACAGTGCTCTCTGATTTTGGAATCCATGGTATAAATCTTAAGAGTTTTTAGCAAAATGTATTTCTCTGATCACTTTATTTAAACTACAAATAGAATACAAACAAATACATTTTCATCACCTTAATATTAACCTCCAAATTCCCTCAAGAATATTTATTTTGTGACATCAACTTTTAGTGATGAAAGAAAGGGAATGACTTCATCCTTCTAGTCCAAAGCAAGAATTTTATAGCTTTGGCATTCGACATATGATTTGGCAGAATTGTAATCCCATGATGTCAGTAATTTAAAGAAAAAACTGGCATATTTAGAAAATCCAACTTGGGCTATTTTGCTGATACTTGAAAAGGTTCTGTCTGCAAATAGTAAGTTACATTATCTGACTCTACCCAAATGACATGCGACCATTCCTCCTAAAGATTCACCATGAAATATCAATTAAGTCACCTTTAATTGAGAGGTTACATAATCACAAATGGATTCTGCATCTTTCATAATATCCTTTGTATTTGGCAATCCTTAACTTTCACAATAGCCTCTATAATTCCATAAAAACATGTTTATTCTACGTTTCAAGTAATAATCAATCCATTCTGATTCATAATACATATATTCGTAATATCCAGCATTGGGCTAACAAAATATGACTGCTCGATCATTATCAGCATCATCTTCACTTGCATATATATATAGACTTTGATAATCCAATTTATAAATACCAATCTATCATTTTTCCATCATATCCTTGCACTTTAAATCTTCTGGTCTTAAAAGTATTTTCTAATTCAACTCTCATTTAATCTACTGTTCCAAGTGTCTTGTTGAAGATCCATCTTTCTGCTTCCAAGAAAATGTTTTTAGGCACATATATTTCTTATAATTGATCTATTAAGCTGTCCAATATTATAAGTAAATTAGAACACAGTTCAGATTCAATTTTAACATTCTGCTTACAATAATTAATAATATCTTATGGATTATCTAATTGATCATAAAGAGACTTGGATTCGATTAGAAAATCCTTTAAGCTCTATTCCAATTACTGACATAAACCAAAGAGATATTTTTATTACTCGTTCAATTCTTTTCTATAGTTTAATTAAGAAAAGGTGTTTAAAAATGATTACAAGGTTTTTTTTATTGGCACTAAATCTTCAACATAGATTTCTTTAGTACTAATTTACCTTAAATAAATTACTCAGGCATCTACAGTAATTTTCTTATCAAATTTTGTAAATCTTCCATCCTTTTATTGGCTCTTTTTGCCAAAGCCTTTGCATATCTGTTTTCTACGTTTCTTCTCCATAACCAATATGAGCCTGGAAATACAAATAATCTTATTGTATTTTTTATGAAAACATATAATCCAACAAAAAAAATCTAAAATTTAATGAATGAAATTTGAATTACAAAGTGGCCTAGACAACCAAAGTACATCACAACCAGCTAATCAATAAGATATAAGATTCCGAGTAATAATATAGCAACTCCTGTGATAGCCATTATTTTCTTTTGCTCATCCGTAATTTACATAATTAATATAAAAAAATTATATATATCATAGGTTTGATAACTTTTCTTTGATAAGTTTAAGTTTTTCTTGATCTCTTCCATAGTATTGATACTATAATCAAAAATATATCATACTAAAAACAACTAGCATTCGCTAAGGCTTTTAGACAGTCCTTCTTAAAATTGAATTCTTTTTAAATTTTCCATTTTATCTATGAGAAAACTTAAGAAATCTTCATTTTTCATATTTATTATATCATTATAATCTTTCTGTTTAATCACACCTTGCTTCTGACTAGTAATTGCATCATTTTTTAGTTGCTCTCCTATTTTTTTTGGTTCTTACTAATTATTGATTTTATAATATGTTTTTTATTTAAAAGCCTTTTAAGCAGAAATAGTATTAATTTTAAGAAGACCTTTACTTCCAGAAATAATAACACTATTATTTTATGAACATATTTCTGGAGTGTTTCTTCTTTTCATCTATGGCGTTATTTATCTATTATCAAGATGCGCACTACTTGTCATTGATCTTCTGTTTCTAAGATATTTCTAAAGAATCTGAGCCAAAGATAGTAGATCACACCTATTTTAAGGGTCGAATGCTAATAAATTTCTAATTGCCTCAGTACTGCCTGCTGAAATAGGATGTGCAAAAACTAATACATTATCTGACTAATATTATTTCAGCTTTCTAATTAAATCCTCTAATTCCATTGAAAAAAACGGTACCACACCTTAAATAATTAAAAAATAATACCAAAAATCATTTCATAATACAAAATTCCTAAAGACCAAATATCAGTTTTATGATTATACTATTATTTTAATAGAGTTTCTGGAGACATATATAAGGGAGATCCAACTTATAAGTTTCTCTCTTCAAATTTGAGCTTATCCTACTAGATTGCAAATCCAAAATCAGCCAATCTTACCTCTCCATTATGAATTAAAATGTTAGATGGTTTAATGTCTCTGTGTATTATTTCTTTATAAATTTATTGATATACATTTCTAATTTAAGTATAATAGTGCTTCTGCTATCTATAAAACATACATGATAACCAAATCTTCGTTTACTTTCCCTTTCTGTTTAAGAATTGATAAAATATCTATTATAAATATTTCTTATTATACCTGTTTCACAATACTCAGATACAATATAAAAGTTGTTAATAGTTTCATAATGCGCATACATTTTGACTATATATTAATGATTTAATTGTTCAAGAATTTCAATTTCATGTCTCAGCATCTATTCATATATACCTTTCACTAATTTTTTATCTATTTGTTTGATTGCTACTAATTGGTTAGTTATCTTATGATAACCCTTATAAACATGGCCGAATTACCCTGCTCCAACTTTGTATTCGTTTGATATAAGATAAGCATAATCCCCAATAACTTTTTCGTTGAGCATATTAAATTTTAATTAATTTAACATAATGGATGAATATTAGACTGTGACTAATGTAAACAACGATATTATTCAAATTTGTAGTAACAAAAAGCAAGAGATTGCAATTTCAACACTTAAATCCATCTTTGATAGTTCTCTTAGCAATCATTTGAATTACTAAATTGTGTTTCAATATGAGTAAAATGATTAAAGCCTGATTTTATTATTGTTAATTACATTAAATTGTAATGAGCACCAAATAAACCAATTTACAATATAAATTAAAAATGATATTGAAGTATAATAAGTCACAATATTCAAAATTGAATAGATTTCTTAAAAATTTATCCTCTAAATAAAACGAGAATAAGTTAGCTTTATTATCTAATAATTAAATTTTTTAATGTATAAGGCCATCAAAACTAAAAAATGATGCTATATGTTATAATAAAGAACTCTTTGTATATTTTCCAAAAACTGCTATTTTATGATAAGGATTTTTATTTTTATAATGGGGTCAATTATAAATTTAGTCTATCCTTTAGAAATAAATTGAAAATTTCATAAATCATTTTAATCTTTTCATTGAATTCTAAATTGCATTGATTATTTTACTAATAAAAATTAATTAGTGTAGTAATATAATTCTATATTAATCTAAATATGTAAAATGTTTATTTTTCTGGTGAATTAATAAAGCATCAAAATGAATTATAAAGTGGAATTGGGACATTTTAAAAAAGATGATAAAATATTTGCATCAATGAAGGGAAGTCTAACAATCAATGAATAATTAATATCAATATTTCCATCCCATTAATAAGATCATGAATTGAAAATAGGAGCAATTATTATAGGGTAAGTTAGCATCATTAGAGAAGATAGGGTTTTTGTTAAGATTTTAAAGATAAATGAAGTGAAGGATAACAATTACATAGAAGGTGTCTTAAGGTATTGAAGTCAGATCAAATGATAAAAAATAAAACATCATATTGCACGAAATTGATTTGATCGAAATGAATAAATGTTATTTGCCAGGAGATATAATAAAAGCAAGAATCATCTCATATGGGGATTCCTTAAAATTATATTTGAGCACAGCAGAAGATGAATTAGGTGTATTGATAGCTGAACACTAAGAAACATAGAAACTGATGATTCCTTTATTTTGGGATGAAATTCTTTCTGTAGAAAGTGGTTTAATAGAAAAATGAAAAGTAGCTAAGCCAAATTTCAATTAATTGGTCTGATTTGTTGATAATTTATATAAACGTTTACGTATAATTAATCCTCATTTTTACTTTTTTGGTTTGCTTGCAAATATCTTCACTTTCTGTTCTCCAGATTTAGCTTCATGCATAATGTGTTAAGCATCAGTTTAAACTTGTTTTTATGGGGGAGCTGTTGTTGTTGTTGTTGCGACATCATTATTTAAATCAACTCTATCTTAAACAACAGCTTTAACAATAGTTTAGATATTCATGTTATTTTATCTCTCCAAAATAGTGCCAGGTAGGTATTTAGGAATTCCAAATATTCTATGGTATATATTCTTATATACTTTCTGATCTTTTCTTGTCTTGCTAGGGCTGTAATAATTAAATGGCACAAGGCTGAGGAGCACCAATAAAGATTAACGCCGGCAGGGAAGAAGATAACAACAGGGATAGAAAAGAAAGGTAAGAACCTTACATATCGATAATACTTAGCAAAAGGAACAGTAGATTATGATTACATGTTGGGATTCAAAGAGATGTTCCAAAATGTGAAAAAGGAACTCATAATTGGCAATATTCCGTAGGGATCATACTCACTTAGGTCTTAAAACCTATTATTTAATGCAGTTCTAACCATAAAAATCCTTGACTTTTAAGTCCCTCGTATTTATCTGGCAATGAACAGACATATCTCAACGATAAAAACCATGTGAAGAGGAAGGGCATTTGTAATATGGATAATCCTGGAATGAGCATATTGATGTTGTGCTTTCTTTTAAAAAGTTTAAATTATTTTTGTGCTGCTCTACTAGCTTTGAAGTCCTGAGCTCTCATCGCTCGTTAAATCATGTTTTAGAAGTTTTTGGATTCAGGTTCGATCAATTTCATACGACAAGCATTTAATTATGCAGAAAACATCAGAGGTGTAAAAGCAATCTTTATGCCCATAGATATTGCTAAGATTCCCCATCCCATTCCCCAACTCTTTTAAATAGAAATGCAATATTTACTAAATCATTAGCCAAATAAAGTAGTAATTCTCTTGAGTATTCATCTAATGAGTTGTACATGTTGGTAGGAGTGTATGCAGAGAATCTTGTAATTAAGTCTTCTACCATAATACTAGAAGGAGCAGTCAATCCTTATTATACATTGGCAAAATCAAAGACTCCTGTAGGGATTTTGGTTGAGAATTTGTATAATTTAAGTGATCTCGATATCATAAATATAATTTTATCATTTTATAAAACATTTGCTTTGCTAACCCTACAAATTATTTAGAGCACTTTAATTATGTATTGATCATTTCAATAAGCCCTAAATGCCTATTTTTTAAATATAGTCCTCTTTTGGTTTTCAATCCCCAAATTTATAAATTAAAGTTGTAATTTGGAATGAGAATTTAAGGCGATTGAAAACTATATGAATGTTAATTAAAAATAATATTGAATAAATATTTCAATTATAGAAAGATATCAAATAAAGTAGCTTTATTATATTTTTCGAATTATAATAGCATTGAAATTATACTTACATTTTATTTGTGACCATCTTGATTTAATAATAATTATTTTTTTTGGAGTTCTAATAATTCTGCTTGCTTTCACCATCAGTTAATAAATAATAATATTAATATTGGAATATATTAAAATTCAAAATTAATGTCATATAGATCAAGTAAACCTCTTCAGTCGGTAAAGAACTAACCGGGGTCGTTCTTTCCAAAGCAACCTTACTCACCAGCTAAGTCACATATAGAGCACTTTAGGTCTGAAAATCCTACACCCCATAATCGAAAATAATAATAGGCTTATCCTCCGAGACAAGATTCGTTTAACATGTCGAGCGGGGAAAGTCTGGAATAATTTCATAGAAAGCGTTAAAATTCTAATTTTAGTTAAGATAAGAAAGCAAAAAATTAACTGTTTAATATTTTATTCAATAATACAAAGCGTAATGTAAGTTTTAGTAAAGACACCATGTAAAATATGATCATGTATAATTAGGAAAAAGCAAACTCTACAAAACCCATTTAATAATTAAGGATAAAATTGGTATCTTCCAAGTAGATAGAAGTTATCCTAAACGATGTAAAAAAAGCCACCCAAGATAAACAATAGCATGGATGGATAGTAGACTGTTGATATCAGTTTTGAAAACATTTTAATCAAAGGATATTAGGATCATAGCGGCTTTTAGAGTGACACAACAAAACCTGCAGAAGACTACAACCCTAGATCAATCAAATTATTTGAAAAGGGCAAATAACTGTTAAGAGAAAAGCAAATTGATGAAGCAATAGAGTAATCAATGTATTTTAATCCAAGTTTATTAAAAAAATGCATAGAAGTTGACACCAGATTATTAGAGGGCCATTATTTTTTGGGAATCGGCTATTTGGGAAGTCAATTGTATTAAAAAGCTATTGCAGAATTCTAATATGTAATTTAGTAGGATGCAGTTCATCGCAAGAACATTTATCTACTCTTAGCAATTTCTCATAAGAAGATGAATGAATTAGATTAAGCAATTCAAATCCTAAATAAAGTGATCACCATGTTCCCAAGATATTACGATGCCTACATATACAGAGGTAAATTGCATACCAAACTTAATTAAATTGACAAGGCTGATTAAGATTTCAACGTTGCCATTCAATTAAGCCCTTAAAAAGGTTTAGGTTATTTAGGTAAAGCGGATTGCTTAAGAATACAATGCTAATATAAAGAAGCCATTAAATGCTACTAAAAAGCTATCAATTGTGAATAAGCAGTTGGAAATGCAGCTATTTTAAAAAAGGCCATCACCTTATATGAAAGTTAATAATATGAAGAATGTGCAAAAGACCTGACGAAACTGTTAGAAACTGATCCAACAAATTCAGAAGCCTATTATTTCAAAGGATTAAGTAGATTAAAAATAAGTAATTTAGTATTTGAATTTTAGAGAATAACACCGAAGCACTATTATGTTTTGAATAAGCTATAAAGCATAACAATTCAAAAAAAGCAGTTACCAAATCATTATATGAAATAGCCAAGATGAAAATTGAATAAAGAGACTTTTATGCGGCTTATCATACTTTAAATAGATCTTCAATGCTAGATACAGAGAAGAGCTATTTAGAGAAATTTAAATTGTTTACTGAAGTAACTTAATCAAATTAAATTAGGCTGTGATATTTTTGATGAAAAGAAAATTCTAAGACAGTATGCTCAACTTTCAAGAAATCCAAAACAACCATCAATTAAATGACTTTTTAAAGCCCTTGTTTTATGCTTATAGAGCTTACGGGTAATTTTGTTTATCCAAACATTAAAAAGCATTAGATGATTATAAATATCTATTAGAAATCTAACCTGCTGAGTCAAGTGTTCATTATAATAAATTTCTATGTGAAGGTATTCTGAAAGTGCAATCTGGGTTATACACTGATGGTATGGAATTCTTTTAAAGAGCCTAGAAGATATTTTAGAAGAAAATGGAACCCACCTTTTATTTGGCTGTTACTTATATTAATTAATCCTTCAAAAAAAAAAATGATTAGTACAAAGATGTCATCAAGGGACTAGAACTATTGGATAAGGCGAACAGTATGAATGATCAAAATGCCAATTTATATTATATTCGATCTATTGTGAAGTGCTTTTTAGGTTAAGTGAATGAAGCATTGATGGACATTGAATTTGCAATCTCAAAGTCAGAAGATAATGTTGCAAAGTATTTCTATTTTAGAGGAATGGTTTTTGGAATACTCAAGCAATATAAACATTCACTAAATGATTTTAGCATTTGTCTAACACTTGATGAAACATTTGCTGATGCCTACTTAAACAGAGCAAAGTGCCATTTCCTAAATGGAGATTCAAATTCTGCTTTCTAAGATTTACAACAATGTATTCAGATTCTATAAGATGATCCAAGAATGCATGTATGGGCTGGTAACTTTTTGTTTGCAAATGCTGCAATTGAAGATGCCATAAAAGCTTATTCAAATAACAAGGATTTTAAAAATAATCCAAAATTACTATAATTGCGTTCAGAATGCTATATGGTTTTAGGTGATTTGAATTAATGTTAGGACGATATAAATAGATTATATAAGTTAACTAAAGAGAAGACTGCTGAATTTGATAAGGATATGTTGCAAGCGTTGAGAATTATTTTTAAGGATGATTAGTAAATCTATTTTAATGAGGAGAGTGATAATGAGTAAACTGAGTTCAAGAATAATCTTAACAAAGCAATTAATAGTCTAAATCAATTATGTCGAGGGAATGGTAAATTGTTTCAGCAGTTTCACGTTTACATATTCCGTGGAGTCTTTTTATTTCATCAAGAAAAATATGAGGCTGCTTTAAGAGACTTTTAAATGGCCAAGAGTCAGAAGGAACTCTCTATAACAGAGAAGAAATTAAAATAAAGGGGAAGCCAATCTGATATTTTCACAGAAGAGGAATTTCATGAATTGACCGTTGATGAAGAAGATGCTGATTTATTAGAAATCTTGGAAATCAAATTTAATGAGTTGATATGTTTAGTTATACTTAAGCAATATAAAAAAGCTAAGGAAAAATGTAAATAATTAATAGAGAATATTAATGAAGCAAAGTAAGAGGGCTTATAAATTTTATTGATGCATATTGAATAAATTCTTATGAGAAATTAGCAACCCATTGATTATCAAAGAGTAATTTGCTTGTATGATGAACCTAAAGAAAACGTCATTTGCTTCTAAGTACCAATCGTTTATGTAGATGGGTTGAAAATACGATTATCTTTTAGTTTACCAAAATTATCTCCTCCATCTTTATCCATAACATTTGACAAAAGTTTAGTTTAAGATATTGGAGTATTAAATAATCATTTATTTATTTAGCCACTATCCGTTGAAAATAAACCAGAAGCACCCTGGATAAGAAGAGAACAACAAGATGATATGATCATTTTTACAGAAAATGTTTAATTAGTAGATGATATCAGATTAGAGACTGAAAAAGATGACGAGTAACCTCAGTAATAATAATAAATGATAGAAATTACTTAAATTAAAAATAATCTAATGTTGGATAAAGATATTGAAGAAAAATTATAAAGATTTTTCGAAAAAAAAAATAACAAAAAATGATTTATTATATAATTAAATATATCTAATTTTCACTAAATACAACCTTATATCAAATATCTTCTCATTATATAAATTAAGAATATATCTTAAGAGAATACTCTAAGGTCACTTCAAAAGATTAACCTATTATATCCTTGAGTATGCATTAATACTTATAATAGATTAACTCTATAATACGGATTTCCTATATATAATTAAAAATGTAAATTAGATATCCTATCGAAGTGATAAAAAAAAAGATTGCCACGAGAATAGAATACAAAATTAGGTGGAACACGGGAACCGTCACCTATGAACCAATGACAGACCTTACACCTGAACTGCTTTAAATAGTGAATTAATGGGAATTGAAGCAGAATAAAAAGAAGAAAGGCAAAATTATTGTGAAGGGCAATAAGAAAACATAAAAAATTACTCGATAATAATAAAACAATATTGTGCAATTAGAAGAGATTCCTACTTAAAATAAAAAGCCAATACCGCATAGAGAACGAATTGTAGAAAATGGAGTTGTCAAAGAGGCAAGAAAAATCTCAGGAAAAATAGAATTCTAAATCATGTTAAAAGAGGAATAAGAATTAAGGTGGACCAATCTAGAAGAAGTTAAAGCTAGAATTCCTGTTGCCTTATGTGACTACTTACTCTAAAGAATAAAGTTTAGCGGAAAATGAATTTAAATTTGATTAAATGCATTCAAATATTTTGTTAACAAATTTTTAATAAAAATTAATATCTTAAAAATTCTATTACCTTTAATAGGATAAGCCATATTACACAATTGGAATTACTTATTATTAAAAAGTATATAGTATTATGCTCTACAATTTATAAGTGACATACATTACTAATATATAGAGTTCCATTATCGTGATAGTTATATGCAATTAAATCATTAATCGAATTAAAATTTGTTTGATTAATAAATTTTGTTTATTCATGAAATATATGAGAGGTTCAATCTGATATGCATTAATGTTTGGCTATCATCTATACAATATAAGTTTGGAATATCCAATTATGGTGTGACGAGTAGTCATTAAAAATTTTAAATTAAATTAAATCTTTTATACAAATAAAATGTCTTTAGTTTTGGAAAAGGCTGATTCATTCAGACACATTATTCGTATTTTGAACACAAACGTTGATGGAAAATAAAGACTTGCTTACGGTATTAGAAGCATTAAAGGTATCGGAAGAAGATTTGCTATCTAAATTTGCAAGGTATTCAATGTTTTTTTATTCCTTCTATAGGTCCTCCGTCTTGATCTTACAAAGAGAGCTGGTGAATTGACAGACGACGAGGCTCACAAAATCACAGAAGTCATCAAATCACCAGAAGCTTATAACATTCCAAGATGGTTTTTGAATAGACAAAGAGATTTCAAGGATGGCAAAAATTATCAAGTCACAACAAACGAATTGGAAACCAAATTAAGAGAAGATTTAGAAAGAATGAAGAAAATCAAGTATATCAATTAAATTATGTTAAGGTGTAATCGTGGTTTGAGACATCATTGGGGATTGAGAGTCAGAGGACAACATACTAAAACCACTGGTAGAGGAGGATAAACTCTTGGAGTTGAAAGAAAGAAGAAGTGATTAATAATTTATTAAGTACATTAAAAATAATAAATGGACTAATTATGGTTTAATGAATGGATAACTTCTTATTTATTTGTTAAAATTAAAATTTCAAAGCTTTTTCATAATAACATTATGTACTAATGTTATAATTCAAGTTCCCTTAACTAAACTAAATATCAACAAATATATCTTTGTCCTCTTTTAAATTCTCTTATTTAACAATATATCCTTGGATCTCAACAGAGATGATCAAAACTAGGAGTCTAATAAATTTAGTTAACAAATTAGAATTTGATTGGAATTTCACGAATGTAATTTTCCTTTAGCTGGATCCTTGATTCTTTATTTTGTGAATATAGTAGGAAGCTTGGAAACTTTAATAGTGTGGCAAACATTAGTTATTTATAAAATAGAATTTGATTTATTTTATAAATATTATTAGAAGAAAGTGAGTAATTCCGTTAATAATTAACATCTAAATTCAGAATTGATAAATGGTAAAAATTAGTAACGATGATAGATCAACTGATATAAGATGCATATACTCTTGAAAATAATAATTAAAAAGAATTGTGAAAAATACTAAAATATGTATAATTGTTTATATTATCTTAATTCATCATAATATAACATACACATTAATTAACTATTGTTTGAAGTAAGATCCATAACTTCAATAAAATGTATTTGAGTTGTTCATTTTAAAGTTTTTCCCACTTAGGATTACCTACAATTTCTTTCTATTTCTATTAGTTCTTTGTTTTCTGATTTCAAAGTTTAATGAAAAGGTCTTTAGATTTGAGGAGAAAAGGATAATGTTGAATTATATGAAATATTGTTAAAATGATTCTACTATTTTCTTAGATCCTCGGCTTGAACAGCCTATGGAGTAAAATAGTGAACCTTACTTCAAAGAATCAAATTCATATGAGATAACGAGGATTTATGAATGCATTAATTAAATAAACATAATTTATCAGAATTAAAGCTATCATCCCTGATCAGGGATATTTATTTAATATAATTAATAAATTTAATGACTGACACAGTTACATAAAGCATTCCAAGAAGAGAAAAAACATGGGCAGAATTAGCTGAAGAGGAAGATGAGTATTTGGAAGAATTATAAAATTAAGTTTAATTTTTAAATTATACTAAGATTAAAAATGAATAAAGCCAATTAGCGGGAAAATAATTAACAAATTTTCAGAGGAGAATGATTGAAAGAATATCAAGATACGAAAAACCAATAGAAGTGGGCTTATAATAAGTTCCTGATAGGATAAGAGAAGAGGATATCCTTATCGCTTTTAAGCAATACCATATTAGAGATTGCTCTAACAAAAGTCCAAATTGGTTCTTTTATTTGCCAAAAGAGCAGGCCATTAAATTGGTAGAAGAAAGCAATTTAAGAATCACAATAAAAGGTGCAAATCTATTGATAGTGATGCTTCCATTAAAAATTTGATTGATATATATTGTTTTCATATCTACTTAGTGATATCACATCAATTGTTCTAATTAATTGTAACTAATAGATCCTGGTTTTCTTTCTATAAAAAGTTCAGGTTGAGAAGCCTTTTAAAACTATTTGTAATCTGTAGGGTAATCTAAAACCTTTTGAATTAAATCCTGATAACCTACTAATCCTTACAAGATGAATGCATGCATTTATAACTAATGATAAGTTTAAAAATTACATCTTCTGGCAAAGTCTGCTCTTGTTTGTCAAATTTAATAAATTAGAAGTTCTATTTAATTTCTGTTATACTCAATCTTAAATACTATTAAGTTGTTTTGTAGAACGAATCTAATTCAACTAAGTTATTATTACACAACACTCCAATAATAGAATCTTTTTGGAAATCTAATGAAATATTACTGAATTGTTTACTATTTTTATTGGCGAGTTTTAAGATTTTTTCAAAATGTCTCAAATATTTGTCCTGATATTCTGAAATTGCTTAACAGAATCTTTTATATGATTCACTTTTTCTATAGTTCTCAAATTCAGTTAAATTAAAAATGTTTTCTGATTTATTTTCTTTATCTAAGATTGTGGATAGCTTATTTATTTTAATGGCTATGTTTTTGCCCATTAGAAATAGTAATCTATCTCTAATATCTGTCGGAAATACTTTTGTGCTGGCCAAGTGCTATGAAAATTTATACAGGAAACGACAGAAATTAATTTAACAGAATAAAATCTCGTTGTTTTATTTGAAATCAAGAGTAATTGATTTCTATTTTTATAAGGGGGGAGTGGGTTGTACTTATTCTTCAAAAGCATTGGTATTAACTATTTTTTAAGGTAACAATAATTAGTTTTAACTAGCTGATCGCAATATTTATTCTTCAAGCTTCTTTTGATTTTCTTCATGCAATTTTCGCTTTTCCTCTATCTACTGAGGTTTGAAATCCCTAACTGTATTCTCCCTAATGTTCTAACTTTGACTTCTTTTAATTTTCTTCACTTATGAGTTTTCAGTAGGCAGAGTGATATTTTGAATTTGTTTTAAGGGTTTTCTTTTTTCAATGGGACTTAGATTTCTTGATTGCATAATAGTGTGTTCTGTCATGTCCTTAACTCGCCATCTTTTAAATTCATCTATCTGTAAACATTTACGGATGAAATCCTTTGATTCATCTGAGACTATGGGTGATGAAGGTAGAACTAATTATTAATGTTAGATGTTAGAAATGAGAGCCGCTTCAGATGATGCATTGTAAGGTGTTCTACCTATCTCAATATAAATAAAACATTACCATATAGCATTTCAAAAAATACAATTCCGATGGCCCAAACATCTCCTTTTTCAGTGTGTCCTTACTATCTTAGAGCTTAAGGAGACATGTACAAAGGAGTTCCTACGTTAAAGTTTCTGCCTTAGATTCTAGCTTCATATGCGGGGACTGCAAAGCCAAAATCAGCCAGTTTTGGTTGGTTGTCATTGAGTAAAATGTTAGCTGGTTTAATGTCTCTATGGATATAACCTTTTTTGTTCATTTCATTTAATGCGCTAACTACTGCTTACAATATTCTTATAGCTTCAGATTCGTCTATTCTTCCTTTCTTCTTGATGTAATTGTTGAGATCACCCTGAATTATATATGAGTGAATACCGAGTCACAAAATTCTGTGATGATATATGTGTTATTTTGGGTTTGAAATACATCATGGAGTTTCATAATATTCTTGTGATTGAAGGCTTTGAGTGCGCTGATCTCATTTTTTAAGAGCTGGGAGTGGATTGATTGCTTCACCATCTTCATATCAATCACCTGAACTTTAAGTAATTATGTTACTTTAACAGCCACATTTTCTGCCGTGTTCTCATCTCTCCCCTTGTAGACTCTGCTGCTGAATCCCCTTCCTATTTCCTCATTAATGGCATAGGAATAGTGATCAATTGCTTTCCTTGTTTCACTTCCTGCTTTATTATGAACTGATTCATATTTGAATATAGTTACATTACGTCCTATAAGCAGATTAGGATGTGGCATAAGATGGTAAATGAGGGCGGGTTTAGAACATTATTTGAAAATAATTAAATTACCTTATTAACGATTTTCTAAATAAATATAATCGAATTAATTATTATAAAAATAGCCTCTAAATTTAAATCTCATTTTAGAATAGAAATATTGCAAAAATCAAATTTCACTAGAAGTAGTCAACTTTTGTCTTTTTGAATGACTTTTTATTAAACAACCCCGTAGTGTTAACTTCTTCATTTTTATTGTTCTTTTATTACATCTATGGTAGAATGTCTTTTAATTCAACATCCTTGTCTGCCAATTCAATTAATTTTTATTACAATATTCTGTTTTTGTCCTTTCCAATTTACCCAAATATTAAGACTTCCTTAACAAGTTCTTACTAATTTTTGATAGTGCCTTCCTTAATATCTTATTCAATCTTCTCTGCCAACTACTCCTCATGATTAAGTTCAGCTTCCCCTTCTTCTGACTCAGAAGTTTCTACCTTAAATTTATTTAAAAAAGCATCCTCAGTTTTCACAACTTCCCACTAACCAACCTTCACAACTAATTCTTTATCTACATTTTCAACAGGATTCTATTGATATTGTTCCCACGCTTCTTCTTCATAATCTTCTAACATCAACCCCATAGGTTTTTCATAATTGATAGTCCCAGTAATTGTATTTCTGAATCTCAACTTCCCTGTATCATCTTCTTTTTCTAATATCCACACTTTGCCTTCTGCAAAAAATCCCAATTAATCTGCTACTTTTGCCTGTTATTATTAATTTTCTCCTGTGTACTCATTCTCAACAGCCTGATGATAATTATGTTCCTCTTTTTTTTAATTCTAATTTTTAAACCCTTTAGATGTCTAAGGTATTGAATCATAAGCTTTATTTTATGATTTATGTTCAATTCTTGCCTTCTTGTTCAATTCTCTTAAATGATACTCCTTGTTCTTTTTGTGTTTAGCAGTATTCTCATGATCCTGAATAGCAGCCCTTGTGTAAGGTATTAACATCTTGCAGACTTCACACCATTTCTTTCTTTCACTCATTATTTATCAATTTAATTTATAATTGTTATAATAATAATCGTTTTTAATAACAATGCCTTAGCTCTTTTATTAGATTAAGCTATCGCTTGTCCTATTGATACTATTATCCAGTCTCCCCGCTTTTGCTATTTAACAAAATACGATTTAATTTGAAGAAGCAATAAACAATTAAAGTTTCCTTCAATTGGATAATGAAAAGCAACAAGGGACTATCATAAAGCCGTTAATAGATCCAAAATCATACAAATACATTGAATTAGAAAACAAGTTAAAAGTATTGCTTATTCATGATCCAAACTCAGAAATTGCCACTGCTGCACTGGATGTGTAAGCTGGATCTTGGAATGAACCAAGTGAATATCCTGGTTTAGCCCATTTTTGTGAACACATGCTATTTGTTGGATCTGTTAAATATCCCAGACCTGATTACTTCGACGAGTTATTGGCAAAGGGAGCTGGAAGTTCCAATGCTTATACTGATGCTACCAATACTAATTATTATTTTGAGATTACTTCATAATACTTAGATAAAGCTTTAGATACATTTGCTCACTTTTTTATAGACCCTCTTTTTACAGAAGATTTAGTAGAGAGAGAGAAAAACGCTGTTAATTCTGAGTATGAGATAGATGTTTCCTCAGAGGATTGGAAAATCTAAAATCTATTTACATTATTTGCTGACCCTAAACATCCTGCAAGTAGATTCAGTCTAGGTAATGATGAAGTGTTGAAAAAGAAGGGTATTGAAAAAGCATTACAATCCTTTTTTGAATAATATTATTCCTCAAACCTTATGAGTTTGGTTATTTAGAGTAGAATTAGTTTGGAAGACATGGAACGATTAATTAAACCTTTTAATCACATAAAGAATTAAAATTTATAACCTTCATAATTTACAACATTTCCCTATTAATTTGGATTCATATGCAAATATAAGACTGAAAAAGATCAATTGACTTTAAATTGGTAACTTAAAGGAAGAGAATAGTTCACTCACTAGAAACCAATTGAATTTTTAGATTATATCATATAGAATGGAAATCTAATAGATTTTATGAAGGAGTAAGACTTGATTATTTCTCTTTCTTCTGAAGTTTTTATGGAAGAGTCTTCATTTACTAATTACATGATGGAGATAGTTTTAACTGAAAAATCTCAAGAGAATGAGGAAGTTGTTGCTGAAATAACTAAAATTATATTCAATTACATTCAAAAACTAGAAAGTTGGTTATCAGATGATGAATACATCAACCAAGTATTCAAAGAACAAAGAAAGATTTCTAAATTGAATTTCAACTATTTAACCGAACAATTGGATACTTCTACTATGGCCAGAATTTTGAACAGATAGAAACCAAACGAGGTTCTTTCTTCAGAATTCATTATTGATACATTGGATAAGGATTTAATATTAGATTACATTCAATAATTGAAGAATACATAAAACTTAATAATTTTGATAGGTAACCATCAATATTCATATTCAAATGAAAGAGTTGATGATAAAAAGAGTAATAAATAGTTTCTTTAAGATAAACTATTAAATGAAAAGAGCAATTTATATAGACTTGTATACTCAAAACAGAAATTTGATGACCATTTTATTAATTTTATATCCAGATAGGATGAAAAATTGCAAGGTATGTTTGATAAACCATAATAAAATGAATTTATCCCAGATAACGTGGAATTAATTTCATTGTGCGATTCCTCGGAATCCAAATTACCTTAAATCGTCCATTCAGATAAACTAAAGACTTTAGATTAACAAAGTAAGTTAAATTTATTTCTGATGGCTGGTTAAGATTTGAATCAATATAGTGATGAGTAATGTTCATTGGAAGAACATAAATACTAAAAGTAAAATCATTATCCAATTTTACTTAACAAAGAATAGCGAGAATGGTGGAAGAGTTAAACTTCTTATAAAGTACCATTTATTTTCGGAGCTTTATAAATGAAATACCAAAAATCTTTGAGTTTACGATAATTCACTTCATTAAGATTGTATAATTTTATGGCAGATGAAATTATATCTAAGGAGTTGAAATTACCTTTGTCTTCTGGATATTCCTATGAATTGGATATGAATAAGAAGACTCAAATAAAGGTTTATGGATTCAGTGAGCATGTGAGAAATCTATTTAAGAAACTCTGTTCTTGCTTGAATCCATTTAGGGATAAATCGAAAAGCTTCCTTGAACTCACTGAGTCAAAAAGATTTGAAATAGCTAAATAGTCATTGCTGTTGTCAATTAAGAATATGTATTAGGATAATTTATTTGAATAAGCCATCTAAATTTATTTACCTTAATTATTACAAAAGGATTCTCATGATCCTGCTAAAGTTATAGAATAGATTGATTAAATTACATAATAGGAAATGCTTAAGGATGTTAGAGACATCATGAATGATGTGTAATATTCTAGTTTGTTTATTGGAAATATTGATTAATCTGAGGCAATTGAATTATCGGATGAAGTTCAATCATGTGCTAAAAATAAAGAATCATCATCTACTTAAGATAATATTTAAGATAAGGTGGCAATCATAAATTTAAAAGGAAAAAACCTTATTGATTCTAGATTTATAGAATCAGGGGATGATGATGACATTAATGGAGTCACTTTAAATTATTACTAAATTGGATAAAGAAAGTAAATGAATTAGGCATTTATTAAATTATTAGAACCAATCCTAAATTAATAAGCTTACAATTATTTGAGAACTGATTTATAATTGGGCTATGTGGTAGCAGTTGAGTTTAAAACAGCTGCTTGCGTTGATGGGGCTTTGATTTTAGTGTAAGGAAGCACAGAAATCCCAATGAAAGTGAATCAAATTATAGATGACTTCTTGGATTAATTTTCAGTCTATTTGGAGTAAATGAATAATAGAGAATTTCAACATCTTAAACATGGAGTAATTACTGGTTTAAAGGAAAACCCATAGAGTTTAAGTGAGGAAGGGGATCGCCTATGGAAGTATATTAGTGCTGGAACAATTGAATTTGAAGATAGATAAGTGGCAATTGAAGAAATCAGAAAAATATCAAAACAAGATTTAATTGGGTTTTATAGAAATTCATTCATTGAAAACAAATCAAAATTAAGTCTGCAATTATATGGGTATAGATTATCATTATTGGTTATTAGGTAAGGCATGGTGACATAGATGATGAACTTGGAGACTTAGGCTGAGTTTAATGAATTTATTTCTAATACGAAGCCTGAAGAGGCATAATTGTTTGATCCTCTCAAGGCATCATATTATTAGTGTGAGTTTGAAGCGACTTAGATTTGAGTAATTTGATGTTTGCAATAAAATTTAGTCTACTCAGAATATTTCTTTATAATAATTAATTTCATGGTAGATTTATTAATCAATAAATATAAAATAAATAATTAGAAATAATAATAGATCACATGATATTTTATCGATAATTAAGTTTATTTGCTCGGTATTAATTAATGAAATCATTTTTAATTAGAGTTTAACTAAATTTAATGTATTTCTCTTCATCATATTTAAACAGAGTTTAATGATCTCAAATTATTCAATTAATAATCAAAATTATTATGGATTAGTTTCTGAGTGTAAAACATAGCGCTAGGTCATTGCAATTCAGATCATCTCCTTGTTCAAAACAATCTTTTTAAAGTGAAGACGATAGAGATACAGCGCTTTCGTTCGACATTACTCCAAAACCCAAGCCAAGACCTTTGTAGGGATTGAGTCCTATGTCTTCTGCATTTGATAATGAGGATAGTGATAAAGGCAGTTAAAGAGGGGAAGCAATCTCAAAGCCATTTAGTAACAACATTTGATCGAATATTAGTTCCTAAACTTTCACGCTTCAGCACTCAGAGAGTAATAACGATGAATGAAGGGGATAAGGATGAAGAACCAGAAGTGATAGAAAAAGAAGTTAAATAAGGTTCAAATATCTAATCATAAATGCACGATGAACAAACGAAAACCATGGAAGAACAACTCAAAAAAATGGAAGAGAAAGTAAAAATAAACCCGAAGTTAAAACAATTGAAATCTAAACCTCTGTCCATGAGAAATTTCTAAAAAGTTGGAGAGTCCAAAGAAGATAAGTTATTGGAACACCCATTTCGACATTTGATATTTAGTCCCAAAATAGACGAGTAGGTTTTGGAAAAACATTTAATGATAACCCAAAGAGGACTAATTTATTCGAGAAAATGTTTAAAAGGGCCTTCAGAACAATTCATTGAAAAGAAAAAAGTAATTTTAAATAAAATCAACCCCAATAAAATTAATACAATTTTCCTTGATCTTGACGAAACGTTGGTTCATGCTTGTCATTCAAGAGAGACACATACCGTTAAGTTGAAACAACAAAATGAAAATGGATCTGAAATAGAGGTATCTTTATAGTAGTCATTGTAGGTTGGAATCAATATAAGACCATACACAACCTACTTTTTGCAAGAACTGGCTCAATATTATACCATCTACATTTATACAGCTTCCTCTCAGCCGTATGCCCAAACAATTGTGAATTATCTTGATCCTCATAAACAATACATCAGTGGGATCCTATCTAGGTCTAATTGCATGGAAACCAAAAATGGATTTTTCATAAAAGACTTAAGAATCATTTAGGACTTAGATTTAAATAGAACTCTTATAATAGACAACCTCGTTCATTCTTTCGGTTTACAGGTTGAAAATGGAATCCCAATCTTAGAGTGGCATGATAATTAGGAAGATTTGGAACTCAAATATCTATTAGAATATTTAATAGAAGCTTCTGAATAGCCAAATTTAAAGGAGTTCAACTTAACTCATTTGTAATTGGACAATTTAATCAACTATGCCATCAAGTAATGAATTTTATATCTTCCATAATAAACCTTCAAACTCGTAATATATATATTTATGAATCAAGAATTCACCTAAATTTATACAAATGGGATAGTTATTTCGATTCTCCCTGTGTTCTTAATTCAATTTCCTCTATTTTGAAATCCTTAATTGAGTTGTCCTATGATAAATGAAGCAGGTACTTGAGTCACAAAATCATAAGGGATGACTTCATCCTTTGTGTTGAATACATACATCATTCCCTGATCTTTTTTCGCTGCGAATATTAAATGCCCTTAATCAAAGAGACTTTAAGTTTATAAATTGGTGGGTTGATTAATTTGGAGAATGAAATATCTCTTAGGAGTTACTGCTGACATCCGAAATAAAGGAACAACCAAATTCTTCATATTTAAATTTAATAATTGAATTACTTTTTATTAGGCATACATCATGACCCATATTCAAATATGTTCATGTGCATTTGAAACAATTACTAATACATAATGTGTGATTTTAAAGTGGTAATGACATTTGGTAATAACAGGATTAGAAATTATAAAATAAAGTGAATGATTGAATGAATTCAAAAAATTTTTAATCTTTTATATTTTTTTAAATAAAAATGGGCAGAAGACCAGCAAGATGCTATAGAGTGAGTAATGGTAAACCATTCCCCAAATCCAGATATAACAGAGGTGTTCCAGATGCTAAAATTAGAATCTATGATGTCGGAAGAAAGAAGGCCAACGTTGATGAATTCCCAGTATTGAATAATTAATATGATTTAGGCTGCCATCCACATTGTTTCAGATGAAAAGGAATAAATCTCATCAGAAGCCTTAGAAGCATGCAGAGTCGCCATCAATAAATATATGATTAAGAAAGTCGGAAAAGACGCATTCCATCTTAGATGCAGAGTCCACCCATGGCACGTACTCAGAATCAACAAGATGCTTTCATGTGCTGGTGCAGATAGACTTTAAACTGGTATGAGAGGTGCCTTCGGTAAACCAAATGGATTGTGCGCCAGAGTCAAAATTGGTAGCATTCTCTACTCTTTGAGATGCAAGGATGCTTCAATCAATCACGCTATGGAAGCCTTGAGAAGAGGAAAGAACAAGTTCCCAGGAAGATAAAAGATTGTTGTCTCAGCCAAATGGGGATTCACTAACTATTTCAGATCTGACTATCTCAAATATAAGGCTAATGTAATAATACAATATATTAATATATAGGATGAATTATAATACTATGGTACTCACGTTCACAAATTGAGATAACATGGTAAATTGGATAAATTGAAGATTTTCTAAGCCCTAAGAAAATGATTTGTTAGAATAATCGTATAATATAAATATATCAATGGTTGTAATGGTCTCTCTCTATAAAGAATTGCATACATTAATTTAATTATTTCTTCCAAAACCATCCTTTATATAATTCTAACACTCCCAAATACAAAATTCTTGGAGCATTCAAATATTTAAAGGCTCACTGTTATATAAATTTCACTATATGGATTTCTTTATTATTTGAAATTCAATACTCAAACTTCAAATCTAAATTTTTGTTTCTACATTTATATAATGGTAATTTTACTTAGACTTAACATTTATCATCAGAAACTTCATTATTATAAATTTATACCTTAGTTTGATATTAATTTATATTATTTTTGCTCAATATCAATTAGAAAAGGAGAAATTGGTTGAAGTGTCATTTTTCAGATTTATACCCAACATAATTTCAATTTTTCTTAAATCATATAGACTTCTCTTCTGAAATATAATTATCATTTAAATTCCTATTAATGAATTGAGAATCAATTCATATGATATCGAATTATCTATTAATAAGGATCTTATCTATTAATGTCTCTGTTGAAAAAGATTCAATAATAAAATATACATAAATTAGTAGAATATTAAAATTGTTAAATAGGAACATTATTATAGGCTTACATTAAAAGGTTGGTTTAGAATGATAGTAATTTATTTTATTAATCAAGAAGACTGACTAACTTAGATAAATTGTCAAAAATTAAGTTATTTAGTTCTTACACTCAGGACCAAAAGTAATAATTAATAATGAAAAAAAATATAATTATACTCAAATTTGTCACTGCGATCACGCAACTCCACAATTTAAGGGCATATCTTGAGAATTGCTCCGCATTCTACTTTAGTTTATGAAATAGAGAGAGGATTAAAATATTAAATTGAGTATCATTGTAATTCAATAGAAATATGATCAATGAACTTCCAGTATTCATAAATGATTGTATATTGTTGTCAAATCATATATGATGTAACTTAAGATTAATTCCTTCTTCTTTGAATCTTACTTATTTTTTCAAAGGAGAATTAGTCTCTATATCTGAATCTTTCCTTTTTAAAATTGAAGTTGGGGTGTAATTTCTGAATTTTGTTGGACTAAAACACTCAACGCCAATGATAAAATTGTGATCGTCCCTTATATCACTAATTTTTCTTCTAATCTATTTATGCTTTTCTTTTTGAACAGGTGCATCCGAGTATTTTCTCTTTGGTTTCAATTCTTATTACTTATTTACTTTTTTAGAAGTTTTAGAGCTTTTTTTTGTTTTGATTTCAGCCTTTGAAGTACTATAAATAGGCGAATGAGAATGGCATTTAATTTATTATTTCGCATGAGGACTTTGGCTTTAGAATTTAGGATTTTAAGCTTGATTCTATTTGTTTTTACCTTTTAGAGAAGATTTCAATACTGTATGAGTTTATGGATATTTTTTTAGTTAGTAGATTGAGTTTTTATCGATTTCATTGTGAGTGTCCTTTGACAAATTGAACTGAGAAAAAAATAGACTATCTTCAGAAGGCACTCTTACCAATGATTTAATTTCGTTATGTTTTGGCATAAAGGGTTTAGTAGGGGACTGAAGCATTGCATTAGGTATATCAATTTGAGTTAATTAACTTGTATTTATTAAACTATTTAGTTTAGGTTTTGACATTCCTTTCAGTTTGCTTAGACAATTTAGTTAATCCAATTTAGTTTTATCATTTATTTATTCTATATCAGAACAATTATTACCCCATTTACTATTTTTAATAATATACTTTATTAAATGAATTAAAAATAATATTATCTTAATCTTTTTAGTAAATAACTTAATAAACTGTTATAAGATTAAAATATAGATTACAAGTGTTTCAAGATATTCTAATATATATGAAATTGAGAATAATCATATAAAGCCATTAAAAATGAGACCATCTAGATATCGTCTCATTCTTACAATTAATAATTCACTTATTCAACAAAATATTATTTCATTTCCTTTTGATCTTAATCTAATACATTTTATTGATATTAAATCAATCAATTTCCAGATAGTTTTTATGATGACATTAAATTCCGTCAACTATAAGCTTCTCATACATGATTATTTTGCAAATTATCGACATCATATTATATATTAATCTTGGGGATATTTTGATTCACCCATTAACAAGATAAATAAGAAAATTAATTTATTCAAGCTACTCAAATGAAATGATAATTATAATCTTACTATAAGCTACAAAATAGATGTGGAAATTCAAAGGAATTAATTATACTAATTAATAAATAAATATTATTTAGATGAATTTTACCGCTTTTCATAATTTGAATGATTTCTTTAAAGTACAATTCAATGGGAGTTCTGCAAACACCATTAAGATGTTGAATGAATAGCAAAATTGAAATATCAATTGTTTTTTCCTTGCACTTTAAATAATATTAGATTTAATTTATAAGATGAAATATAATTTAATTTAGGTATTTCTTTCAAAATAGTATATCTTAAATAATTAGAATGGAGGTTTTAATAAACAAAATCATAATTTGACATTGTACAAGACGATATCTAATTATAATTTTTGTGCAAGTAATAAATATAATTCTTAATAATGCCTAAAATTGAAAATACAACAGGAATGACAATTAATTTGATTATAGATGAATTAAAAAGTGATGATATCAGAAAAAGAATTCATTCAGTCAAACACTTAGATTTGATTGCCAGTACAATAGGTCCGGAGAGAACAAAGAATGAATTAATCCCTTTCATCTAAGGTATATACTCGAATATCATTTAGAATTGCTTGACGACGACGATGAAGTCTTGATTGAATTAGTTGAATCACTATCTAAGAATTTTATTGAGCTCGTTGGTGGATAAGTCTAGGTGTTGCTCCCCACTTTCGAAACATTATGTCGAGTGGAAGATGCTTCGGTAAGGGAAAAAGTAATAAATGCATAATATCGAGGCTGCTAATCAATTAAAGAAATGTTTTGCTATGTTGCCTGATTAAAAGAAGGTAGAGGAATTATCAATGGGGATTATAAAAAGATTGAATGATAGCGATTATTATTTGGCCAAGAACGCAGTTGTAATACTGGTGCCAGCAGTTATTAACTAAGTATCCTAGAACAACTAGAATGATTTGATTAACATCATACTTAAAATTTCCTAAGATCAAATACCTCAAGTTAGAAAATTTTCATCAATGTATTTTTAAGTATTTTGTTACATAATTGCAGGATTTAGTGAAGCATTTTCCAATAGTAAATGAGGCCTTCATTTAAAATACCCTAAACTCGTTCATTAAAGATGAATAAGATTTCATTAGGATGTATATAGTAGATGCATTGATTGCATTAAGCAAAACCGCCTTCTTCTAAAAACAATAAACCTTTGTTCTTAATATGTTTAAATAATTGGCAGAAGATCAATCATGGAGAGTGAGATATTATTTTTGTGACAAATTGGCTGATGTATTTGAGAATCTAAATTGTATTAGATAGGAGATTCTGTGGGGAAGGAAGGTTATCGAAAGAACTTTTAGAATTACCATCTCAAGTTTTTGTAAGACAATGAGCCTGAGATGAAGTCTATCGCAGCACTGAAAATTGAAAGAGTGAGTTCTTTGATGGATGCAGATGACATAATGAATAAATTAATTCCACTTTTGAAAACAATTCAATAGGATTCAAACTCATTTGTTAGAAGTATGATGTGATTTATAAAAATCTCTTTAGATTCCTTAGCTGCCTCTGTCTTATCATTGTCACCAATTATTGGTAAGAAAAATACAAGTGAATAGATTTTACCAATCTTCTTAACCTTACTGAAAGATCAAGATTCGGAAGTCAGGATCACTTTATTCAAAAAATTAAGTCTGATCACAAATGTGTTAGGGGTTGATTCTTTATCATAAAGTGTCATTCCAGCTCTGACAGAATTAGCCTAAGATAAGAATTGGAGAATCAGGGCATCTACAATAGAGGTTCTAAGCTTCTTTGCCAGAGCCATAGGTCCAGAATTCTTATCGGATAAAGTTCTGAAGTTACTCTTAGATTGGCTTGGTGATAAAGTGTATTCTGTTCGATAAACAGCAATTCAATAAACTGCTTAATTGATCTAAATTCTTGGCATTGCATGGGCTGATAGAAATTTGTTAACTAAAATTTGGGGATTTTAATCTATACAAAATTATCTTTAAAGACTCACAGTGTTATTTACAATTAGTGTATTACTATTGGTTTATTATTGTTTAGCAAATAGCATCTTCATTGAACAATGATTACATATTGAAAACAATTCTTCCTCTTTTATAATAAATGTCAAAGGATTCAGTTGCCAATGTCAGGAGCAATGTTTGCAAGACATGTATCTTATTAGCAAAAGAGAAAGGGGGAAATGTTGTAGAGCCATTGAAAAAAGTGTTATAGTCTCTTTGTGATGATTAAGATGCAGAGGTTAAATACTAAGCAAAAAGTGCATTAGAATCATTATGAATTCAATAATGATTAATATATTTTATGAAATATTAAATAAATAATTTCATCTTTCCAGAATTTTAAATGTATATATATATATTTGGATAGAGAATGACAAGATGTTGTTATTTATTTATTATTATATATTGTATGATTCATTATCAATATTATTTTTGAATACTGCTGCTACCAACTGTTGATCTTGTTACAGTTCTCTTTTCCACAACTACTTCCTAATTACTATAAATATTGAATCATACCTTCTTTTATTACTTCTGAAGAGCCTCTAATTCTGCTTATGCCATCATCAATTGTTCCTGACATTCATTATAATCATGATTAATTTTGATGAACTTCTATTTCCAGACTTCAATTTCTGAACTTAAGAAAGTGACCTTTTCTTAGACAACGGTAGTTCCTTATTCTTCCAAATATTAGATTCTCATATGCAAATCATCAATTTCATGATCCTTATTGGCTAACAATTATCTTAATTTTTCAATTTCAGTTTTCAATCTCAAAATTTCTTACTCCAAATCACTAATTTAGAATCTGTATTAATTAAGTTTAGAACTATATTCTTTGTCATTAAGTGCTAATTGATTTCTTAAGTCTTCACATTCAGTAGTTCTCTAATACAATAAACCCTTCAAATTATTAACTTCCATTTCCAATTCCCTAATTCTTGATTAAGCATCTCTACTCTCATTGGCTGCTGATCTCA